CTCCTGCAGAATGTGCGCAACATGCACATCCCTCTGCCCAGATACATGGTGGGGCCAGGACTGCGGACCGTAGCATCACCGGAGCCTTCTTCTTTTGCTATTGTCCGTGTTCCACTCCTGCAAAAGGCGTGCGACCTCCACATGTCCTCTCTGAGCTGCAATGTGCAACGGGGTGGTGCCATCCTCAGCGGCCTTGTCCATGTCAGCATTGGCGTCGAGCAAAAGGCGTGCAATCTCAAGCTGCCCGGTCTCAGCTGCAACGTACAAAGCGGTGGCGCCATCATCCGCGGCCTTGTCCTTGTCCGCGTTGGCCTTCAGCAAAAAGCGCACAAGCTCCATGTGCCCATTGTGAGCTGCGATGTACAATGGGTTGGCGCCATCCTGCATGGCCTTGTGGATGGCTGCATTGCTCTCCAGCAAAAGGCGTGCAACCTCCAGCTGCCCCTCCTGAGCTGCAATGAACAACGGGGTGGCACCATCCTGTGTGGCCTTGTCCCTGTCCGCATTGGCCTCCAGCAAAAGGCGTGCAATCTCAAGCTGCCCGGTCTCAGCTGCAACGTACAAAGCGGTGACGCCATCATCCGCGGCCTTGTCCTTGTCCGCATCGGCCTCCAGCAAAAGGCGTGCGACCTTCAGGTGTCCTCTCAGAGCGGCAGTCTGCAAAGGGGTGGTGCCATCGTGCATGCCCTGGTCCTTGTCCGCGTTGGCCTCCAGCAAAAGCCGCGCAATCTCCATGTGCCCATTGTGAGCTGCGATGTACAATGGGTTGGCGCCATCCTGCATGGCCTTGTGGATGGCTGCATTGCTCTCCAGCAATAGGCGTGCAACCTCCAGCTGCCCCTCCTGAGCTGCAATGAACAACGGGGTGGCACCATCCTGTGTGGCCTTGTCCCTGTCCGCATTGGCCTCCAGCAAAAGGCGTGCAATCTCAAGCTGCCCGGTCTCAGCTGCAACGTACAAAGCGGTGACGCCATCATCCGCGGCCTTGTCCTTGTCCGCATCGGCCTCCAGCAAAAGGCGTGCGACCTTCAGGTGTCCTCTCAGAGCGGCAGTCTGCAAAGGGGTGGTGCCATCGTGCATGCCCTGGTCCTTGTCCGCGTTGGCCTTCAGCAAAAAGCGCACAAGCTCCATGTGCCCATTGTGAGCTGCGATGTACAATGGGTTGGCGCCATCCTGCATGGCCTTGTGGATGGCTGCATTGCTCTCCAGCAATAGACGTGCAACCTCCAGCTGCCCCTCCTGAGCTGCAATGAACAACGGGGTGGCACCATCCTGTGTGGCCTTGTCCCTGTCCGCATTGGCCTCCAGCAAAAGGCGTGCAATCTCAAGCTGCCCGGTCTCAGCTGCAACGTACAAAGCGGTGACGCCATCATCCGCGGCCTTGTCCTTGTCCGCATCGGCCTCCAGCAAAAGGCGTGCGACCTTCAGGTGTCCTCTCAGAGCGGCAGTCTGCAAAGGGGTGGTGCCATCGTGCATGCCCTGGTCCTTGTCCGCGTTGGCCTCCAGCAAAAGCCGCGCAATCTCCATGTGCCCATTGTGAGCTGCGATGCACAATGCATGCCCTGCTGCTCTCCAGCAAAAGGCGTGCAACCTCCAGCTGCCCCTCCTGAGCTGCAATGAACAACGGGGTGGCACCATCCTGTGTGGCCTTGTCCCTGTCCGCATTGGCCTCCAGCAAAAGGCGTGCAATCTCAAGCTGCCCGGTCTCAGCTGCAACGTACAAAGCGGTGACGCCATCATCCGCGGCCTTGTCCTTGTCCGCATCGGCCTCCAGCAAAAGGCGTGCGACCTTCAGGTGTCCTCTCAGAGCGGCAGTCTGCAAAGGGGTGGTGCCATCGTGCATGCCCTGGTCCTTGTCCGCGTTGGCCTCCAGCAAAAGCCGCGCAATCTCCATGTGCCCATTGTGAGCTGCGATGCACAATGGGTTGGCGCCATCCTGCATGGCCTTGTGGATGGCTGCATTGCTCTCCAGCAAAAGGCGTGCAACCTCCAGCTGCCCCTCCTGAGCTGCAATGAACAACGGGGTGGCACCATCCTGTGTGGCCTTGTCCCTGTCCGCATTGGCCTCCAGCAAAAGGCGTGCAATCTCAAGCTGGCCGGTCGCAGCTGCAGCGTACAAAGCGGTGACGCCATCATCCGGATTGCCCAAATCTGGGTCTTGCGGTCCTTGTAGACAAGTCTCCACTTCTGCTGACCGGCCACGTCCCGCTGCATCCCGAAGTGCTGTCACTTGAGAATCCGATGGTGGGCGGAAGCTTAGAAGTACGACCTGAACTTCGCCAGGTCTCAAGGTGCCATCGTCATCTAGAACCACATTGTCGTCCAGATATACCAGCCGTTGCCTGAACCTTGACACACCACAAATGGTGTACAAGTGCTGCTTCAGTGCCCGGACGGGATGCATGCCGGCAGGCTGCTTCTCAAGAAAGGTCGCCAAGTCAAGGGCAACGAGTTCTTCACCGGATGCGGTCCGAATCCGCAGCATGGCTGATGCTACGCGGAGAAGAGTGGACTCTAAAGAACAAGTTGTGCTGTATTTGCTCTATTCTTCGCAACGGGCTTAGCATGTTCATCTATGTGCTGCATCCATAGATGTTGTGGAGGTGCGGCCTCCTCAAAAAGGTCTGCTGCGTTGGCAATGCGGAGTATGTACGGGCCTTAATGATTAGAGGAGGGCTTGGGGGCTACGGGTACTATAGGGTTTAGGGTTTAGGGAACCAACATGTGAAGCCAGGCTCTGTGCTTAGACCGAAGAACCGAAGTGACATAAAGGCGTAAAGTCGGGCTCTCTGCTTGCGCTCTGTATTGGCACTAGGGCCTTAGGGTTTCAGGCTAAGGACAACAAACTGCAGCTAAGTTGCCGAGCTTGCGTGGTGAAGGTCAGGTACAGGTCCCAGAGCAGACTCTTCCTTCGGATTCCCTATTATCACTGTATGCTATGACCCGATTGAAATCATGAAGTCAAAAGGCTGAACGCGAACCCATGTTTGTTGAATGGGGTTTAAACAGGGTACTATGCAGGCCTTAAGGTTTAGTGCGGTATGATGGGGCTGTACGAGGCTTTCATGGGGTCTGAGCTGTGATTATAGAGAGGGTCGCGGCAAGTAAGGTGCAGAAGCCCATAATGTGGCGTTCTGAATAATGTGTATCAATGTCCCGCTCTAGCACTCATATGTAATAAGTTAGCGTGCAATGTATAGATATGTACATATGTATATATGTATATACATATATGTATATATATATATATATATATATACATAAACGATCCTTCTGTAAACATATATGTATGTATGTATACACACACATACATAGAGAACTACATACATACATACATACATACATACATACATACATACACATCCAAACACATACATACATACATACATACATACATACATACATACATACATACTACATACATGTGTATATATCTATATCTATCTACGTATATATATATATATATATATATATATATATATATATATATATATATACACATATTATATCACCGAAAATCTATTGACAGCTTCTGATTTTCAGGCTTTGGGGTTTGTCGGGGGGGGTTCTAGCATTCAAGGTGACGCTACACTCCGAAACTCAGCTCTACAACTTAAACCCGCGAACACCCAAGTCCTAAAGCCTAAACCCCTAAACCCTCAACCCCTAAACCCTAAACCCCTAAACCCTATAGATCCCTTTAAAGGAACCCTTATGCATCCCTTTAAAGGTGACCCGAAACCCTCAGCAAAAGCCTTCAGCCTAAAGCTCGAAACCTCTCAGCCCGAAGCTGCCCCGGAAACCCAAAATCACAAGCCTCATAAAGATACCAGCAGCACTAAAAGCTCCGGATGGTGTTGATTATTATGATGATGATGGAGATGGTGATGATGATGATGTTGTTGATGAGGATGAGGATGAGGATGGCGAAGAAGAAGAAGAGAGTAGCAGAAGGAGTACGACAGTCAAAATAGTGATGGTGATAATGATGACAGTGATATTGGTCATAACAATACTACTACTCCAAATATGAAACAGACTCAGAACAAGAACAATCCGGCAAACCAAAAAAGCCAAGATCCCCCAAACCTCCAAACCCTAAACCCCGACCGAAACTCTAAACCCCTAAACACCAGGACTGCCTAAGGAGAAGAATGGCGCTGAGCGGATCTGAGGCGGTCGCAGCGCCCGGGGGGCAAAGCCCAAGGTTCTACGTTCGGCTCTGAAGCCCAAAGCGGCGAAAGGCTTGGGGTTTGGGGGTTTCTTTTTCCTGGCTTAGGGTTTATAGATGATTTATGCATTTATTCATGTGTTTGTGAGAGCCCTATTTAAGATCTGAGAAGATGCATGCTTCAGTTGTATGGTTTACATTACGGATTAGGGGTCTAGGGCTTGGGTTTTGTAAGAACCCAACCCCTTGTACAATCACTAGGACAGGGGTTGTGTTTTATGCTAATGCAGCTTATGTGGAAAGCCCTAAGGAGGGGGCTTGCTAATTGTTCGGGCCCTGTGTTACAAAGTTAGCCCTTCCACTCCCAACTTGTTTTGGCACTGCGCGCCACGGTCTTGCATCGGTCGCTGAGCAACCACAACATTAAATGAGGCTGAGACGAATGCCAACTGCATCTTGCAGCCTGGCCGTCAGTCTCAGCTACTGCGAAGAGCAGCGACTTGAGTGAAACTTGAGCTCGTTAACGGGCGCAGGGCAGCAGCGCAAGCCGCTTTAAGGTTTGGAACCCTTTTCGGGTTGTGGCTGGCTGCTGGGTGGGATGCAAAGGCTGGTGCTGCTGCCGGCGATAGGTGAGACTCCCTCTCAGGGCTACTGCCATGCGGCATCGCAGCAGCAAGAGGGCAGGCACCAGGCTGTCTGACGCTAGATCGCCATCTCAGCCTGCACCTTCAATCATGCATCGTGTGCCACAGCTTGCACTCGCTCTGACATGAAGCGAATGATCTACAGCTCGAAAAGCTAGAAAATGCCCACAGCAAGCGCCTGCGGGTCATTCTCTCGGCCCTCCTCCGCGCATGTTCTCCTGCGCAGGCGTACTAGTATTCTCGTGTACTGGGCCTTGTCACGGCTTCAAATCTTGCTTTGTCTATGTTTTTCCTGCTGCGATCTTATCATATCTCTCAATAGCGATACGGTCTATGCAATGCAGATGTCTTTCGATGCCCATCCCCGCTCCAGTCGCATGCCCCTACACCCCACAACTTCTTGATCCCTAAACCTTACCCGAAAAGCCAAAACAAACCTTACAGAGCTCTTATGGAACCCGTATAGCAACCAACCCTCCTTCAACAACCCAGAGATCCCAATACCCCTTAATTCGCCTCGGCCCCGGCCGAAGCGGTCAGAGGTTCCTATTCGGATTCCTTCATTCCCCACCTCTGAATCCCCTCCCCAGTGACCCCACCCCCAAAAACCTGGCCCCCCGCCCCCCCCCCCCTAAAACATGGAAACCCGTCGATGAGCCCCAAGGTCCGGCGGTGAATTCTGCTTCCTCCAACGGATTTTGGATCTCTGTAGACAGGTCCGAGCTTTCTAGTCTTCATGTCTGCCCCCCCTTCCCCTCCTCCCCTCCTCCCCCACCCTCCCGCCCCTCCTCCCCTCGCTGACAGGTGCGAGCTTTCTGGGAATTTCCGACGACACCGGACTACAATGCAAATACACATTTCGTGTCTACTAAGTTACTACGCACAGGACCCTACAAAAAGAAGCACCCTGCATTACCCTAAGGCCCCACAGTAGTTCCTTTCCAAGACACCCACGACATCCACAGCCTCAACGGCCCATACTTAAGGCATCCCGCCGCTTGCGAGAGTCTTGGTATCCAGTGTTTCGGAATGACGACACCCAAATTCGTACTGATACTACCACTACTAATACTACTCACAATCATCCTGCTTCGCGTTGCTATGAACATTACTTTTACTATAAGTGCGATTCCAACTGTTACTTTTTTCCTACAAGAGCTTGCTGCAGATAGTAGCCACTCGCCGCATGCGCGTACAGCCGGGCCGAGGCCGACGACGCGCAGCGTTTCAAATTAAGGAATATACCTTAAATTATAATAGGATCCCTGATATGATTTAAGGCATATTCCTTAATTAGGGGATATTGGGTTCTCTGGGAAGAACCTTAAACACCCTAAACCCTAAACCCTAAACCCTAAACCCCTAAACCCCTAAACCCTAAACCCTAAACCGTAATAAAAGTGGGTCCTTGATGAAATTCTTCCGTCGACTCTGGGAGGCCTTCTGCAACTGCGCCTCCATCTCCCTCGTAAGCCTCCGTAGGTGTACTTGGAGGCCCTTTTGACTTAGTAAGTAGGGTTAGTAAGGTGGGTTATGGGGATTATACTAGGGTTTCTAGGGGATACTAAGTAGACTTACTAAGTCAAAAGGGCCTCCAAGCTCCGTAGGTGTAGGGTTTAGGGGTTTACGGGTTTAGGGTTTAGGATGGTTTAGGATGGTTTAGGGGTTTAGGGGTTTAGGGTTTAGGGGTTTACGGGTTTAAGGTTTAGGGGTTTAGGGGTTTAGGGGTATAGGGTGTAGGGGTTTGCAGGTATTCTGGTTTAGGGGCCTGGGGGTTTAGGGGCTTTGGTTTTAGAGGTTCAGGCTTTAGGGGAGAGGGGTTTAGGGTCCGTCGAATTGGACGCCTTCCCAGAGAGCCCAATACCCCTTACTTAAGGAATATAGCTTAAATCATAATATGAAGCCCCTTATTATTTAAGGTATATTCCTTAACTAAGGGGTATTGGGCTCTCTGGGTTTGGGGATTTAGGGATTTAGTGCTTCGAGTATTGGGCTGCAGGCTCGAATCGAAGCCGGCTTGGGGGGGCCCCTGACGATCGAAGCTCGTCCCTTACAGACTGACCCCCGAAGCCTGAACCGAGAACCCCAAAGCCATTATCGAGCCCCTGTAGACCTCTTTTAGAACTATGATAGCAATCGTAAAGCTTAGAAGCTGCCCCAACCCTGTAATGGTGACGATAAGGATTATATTAGAGCCCTATTATATTCCTACTATACCACTATTACAGGATGGGGGCCCCTTCTAACGTAAAGCCCTCAAGCCCAAACCCTGGACTGTATCGGATGCTTCGAAAGCCCTCGGACGCATCGACGACCAGCCGTCACAGGCCGGTTGGGTTTAGGATTAGGGTTTAGGGTTTAGGATTGCGGGACAAGGCCACGTCAGTCAGGATGCAATGCTGCTGGGTTTACGGCTCAGAATTCTGCTAGTAAAAAGATGACAGCGACATGCAGCATTCGTCAATGAACTACCAGCGCATGTCGTTTGGCGTGTTCCCGCCTGGTTGCTACCTTCGGCTTGTCCACCACTGGGGCACTATACTTCGGGTGTGTGCCCTTGACAAGGTAGGACCAGAACACATCCTGTCACCAGGGGATGCAACTTGCGCGACGTGCTCACGTTTGCATAAACACCTAGGCCTGCATGAACTGCACATCACAGATACATCCAAGTGTACCAAGATAAGGGTTATAAAAGACTCTAGATCAATCAAACACAAACAGAAGGGCTAAGTATAAAAACCTGCAAGTAACGTTGATGGGATACCCTGAAGGGAATGCACTCTGCGCGGGTCCTCTGTCTGAATGATTAGCTTGCCCTGGACAGGCTTGCCATACTCCGTGGGCTTGTACGTCACCACCTCCGAAATGGAGCTTAGGCTGACAAGACAGCAGCAGTGCACAGCAAGACATGGTCATGTAGCACAACCTGTCATAGTTAATTCCGTAAGTTACAGTATCATTATGGGCAAGAGAACGACGACGAGCAAAAGCTTTGATAATAGCCCAAGTGAAGCTTAGATCAAGGCCTGAATAAATCAGCCGTATACCCTAAACCCCCAACCCTAAACCACTAAACCCTAAAGCCTTAAGCTTCGCAGTTTAGGCTGTGTAGACCCTAAACCCTAAAACCTAAAAGGACCCTACTTGGAGGTTCATGTAAGGTTATAAGTGGGGTTCAAAGTCCCCTGATCTGGGTTATAATTATGGATACCTTACTCATAAGCCCACTTATAACTACCCATGAACCTCCACGTACCCTAAGTTTCGCAATTTAGACCCTAAACCCTAAAACCTAAAGCCTGAAAGTTTCGGAGTCCAAGATGCAAAAGTGGTGCCACTCGTCCCTGCTGGCTCCAGGACTCCTGGCACTTAGCCGAAAAGAGGGTTTAGGGTTTGGGGTTTAGGGTTTAGGGTTTAGTGCTTCGGCTTCTTTCGTTTTAGGGATTCCTACAAGGAATCGGCTCCTTCAGGAAATCTATAGGGGGTTCCTGCAAGGGCTCCTTTAAGGGATCCAAAGGGCTTTAAGGGTTTTTTTGAGGAGTCCTACAAGGGGGGGGTTTAGGATTCCGAGTTTCGGGGTTTCAGCTAAACCCGAAACCCAGGTCGCAGTTCCTGCCGTGGGCTGCACTGTGAACTCGTACGCAGACTCCGCGTCGAAGAACGCTTCAAATTCGGAGTACACGCTGGTGTGGTTGTTCAACCTGAAAGCCACCTCGGTTCAGGGTTGAGGGTTTGGGGCTGTTCAATCTGAAAGCCACCCGAGCCAGGTATAGGTTCAGGGCGGCTGAGCCGTCACTTGCAGGCTGCTCAGAAGGCTATGGGGCCAAGCACTGGTACTTTATATATCTTGATATTACGGGGGCCCGCAATAATTATGCTGATTTGAGCGCCCTCAGCACTTAAACACTAAACCAAAGGGAAGCATGAAAGGTTCAGAGCTAGGTGATGCTGCAGCAAAGCGGGTCGTGTTTCATTTAAAATGTGTATGACCACAGGGGGCACCGAATTGCCACCGCAGCAAGGCACACTCGCCGGCTTGTTCAGAGGCGACTGGATTGAGATTATGTCGTCCACCTGCCAAGGCAAGCACCCACGACGGATGCCAATAGACTCTCTTTGATGCTTTAATTTACCTAGGTTCTGCTGCTGGGACCCGCTCTCTGGGTTTCAATGCCTTCATAGTGCAGTGCAGATTCACGACACATACTTCCAACAGCATGAGCGTCCATACGGGCAAGCAGATAGACAGACAGAGAAATTGACAGACAATGACAGACAGATAGGTAGATAGATAGAGACATAAACGGCGTTGGCTTGTACATTTGCCCGTCTGCACGTATGCATGTATAAATGCAGGTACGTATGCGTGTCTGAACGCACACATTCATGCTCACGTATACATGTACATACAAACATGTAGGCATGTATGTTGAGAAAGTGCACACAGACTCAGCTGCGAAGTTACGAAGTGCTTCAAGAATGGAGTCTAAGACGGTGATGCAAGACCCTGATGAACAACCTCCGTTACTGTAGAGGGCTCAACAATAGGATCCCCACCATAACCTTACAAGTGAAGGGTGTTCATTTGTCAGTGGTCTACATTGGCAGCACCAAGACGAAAACATCAATAGCAAGAGCAACAGCAGCAAACTAAACAGCAGCGGTCATCGCAGCAACCCTTAACCCATCCCACGGCCCCCTTGGAGGGACTCTTACAGGCATAGTAGAAACAACCCTTCAATCCTAACCCCTCAACCCCAATGGCACTAAAGCCCCCCTAAGAACAGTTGAAGCAACCCCAAGCCACTGCAATAATGATACAAAATAAGCTAACCTTGCGGCATGGTTGTGCAAAGCACACAGGATCAGATAAAACCGCAAGAAATCTTCAACAAATTCTTCAGGCAACCCTCTAACCAAAAAGCTGATACAGATATTCATACAGGTATATATATATATATATATATATATATATTACATATACGCAGAACAAAAGAAAAGCTCACTTCTCGAACCTCCGGCTCGGTGGCTTCCAGCTTCAGGTCGAAGCGCCAACGGCCGCCGGAGGCCCGGGTGATGACCAAATTGCCTTGGCATCTTTCGTCAAAGGGAAAAGGAGGGACCCTTAATGGGTACCCCTACTCTATAATGGGCTATATAATGGGTATATAAAAGCTAGATTGGGGGTATTTGGTGCTTTAGAGTTTAGGGGTTGGGCTTAGGGTTTAGGGTTTAGGGTTCAGGCTTTAAGGTTTAGGGTTCAGGGTTAGAGTTTAGGGGTTTAGAGATTAGGGGTTGGGCTAGTATAAGGGTTTAGGGTTTGGAGTGATGACCAAATTGCCCTGGCATCTTTTAGGGCTTGAGAGTTTAGGGGTTTGGAGTTTGTGGTTTAGGGCTTAGGGTTTATGGTTTAGGTTTCATGCTTTAGGGTTTAGGGTTCAGGGCTAGGGTTTAGGGTTTAAAGGTTGGGGGTTACTGTATGGGCTACTATAAGGGTTTAGGGTTTTTGTTGCGATGACCAAATTGCCTTAGCTTCTTTTGGGGCTTCAGGGTTCATTTTGATTTTTTTTGTCGGCTCTTTTCCTTCTGTATGACTCTCATGTGCCCAGAATGCCTGACAGGCTGAGGCAATGGTACGGGCTTTGGAGCTTAGGGGATAGGCTACTATAAGGGTTTAGGGTTTGGAGTGCTGACCAAATTGCCTAAGCTTCTTTCGGCCTTCGGGTTCAGGAGTCTTTACGGGTTTTAAGATTTGGAGCTGGGGGTTTGGCGATTTTTAAGAGTTAAAGGGTTTGGGGTTTAAGGTTCAGGCCTTAAAGGTTCGATCAGGGTTCGACTATAAGGGTTGCTGCTTGTAGAGAAATCACAGTCAGCTTCGACATTCGACAGGGCTTTTGAGCTCGCCGGAACTCCTGGACATTGCTGTGTCTGCAGGGCACCGGATTTAGGACCGAGCGACTTCGCAAGTGTGGTTATAAATCAGGTAACTGTACTTATAAGTACTTATAACCCCATTTAAGGCACTTATATAACCCTACTTACTAAGTCCCATGATCCTCCAAGTAGTACTATTGTCATCACTATTGCCTTGCCTGTGACAAGTAATGACAATTACTGCTCGAGGCTGCTACATTTTGGCGCAGGGCTCTTAGCTATCTAGGTGGTTGTCGAAATTACGGTACATTTTTGGGTCCGTATTATAATACGGCACCTATGACCCTAAACCCTGAACCCTAAACCCTAAACCCTAAACCCAAAAAAGGGCCATAATTTTGACAACCAACCATCTGATGGATCTGCATCTGAGCAAAGCCTCTCCGGGGTTTCGGGTTGAGGGTTTAGGCGTTATTCTAGACCCAACAGTAACCTAGGAATAAAAAGGGTGCCCGTTTTGCTTTTAAGGGGCTTATAAGGGAACCTGAACCCTAAAAAAGGGAAGAAGGGCCTACTCTGAGTCCTAGTATTAGGCTTAGCGGGTTGGGAGTTTAGGATTCGGGTTCAGGCTTTGGCGTTCAGGGCTTAGGTCTTGTTGGGGTTCTAGGGTCAAGGCGGGTGGAGGGTTTTAGCTTAGGAATCGGGGCTTAGGGCTTAGGGTTTAAGAACCCGGCCCTAGATTTTCTTCCTTGCGACCAGATAGCAGAGGGCCACAAAAGGCCGTAAGGGACTGAAATTCACCTCCCACACGGCACAGCTATGGGTGCTAAGCCATCGACACTTTGGCATTGGGGGATATGGAGTGAAATGGGTCATAAAGAGTGAGCAGAGACAAGTCCGGAACAACAGAGTGTCTAGTTATTGCAATCACACAATGTTCGCAACAGCAATCCTGATACCGAAAAACAAGCTCGGTGATGGTGATCATGAGTATGATTGATCAGAACCACCACTGTCATCATCCTGAGCATCATCGACACCGACAGGAGCACGAAAACGTCAAGACTACTTCGGAATACTTAGTAGTAGCAAAATACATCAGCAATATTACCGGTCTTCCTTCACAGCCACATGCCAGCTGTGATGTTAAGCAGTCTCTATCTTCGTCATATGAACATGTCTTATGTGACGACTCAATCAGCTTGCCCGTGTGCGTAGGTGGGTAAACCCAAGCAGATATGTGGTATGGAATCGCACGTCTTTCTCTCTCTCTCTCTCTCTCTCTCTGTCTTTCTTTCTCTCTCGATGTCTATGTCTTTGTCCTATATCTGTATCTAAATTTATACCTATACCTATACCTGTACCCATACACACATACACCCATACATGCACGCATACACCCGTGTCTGTGCCAATAGTCGTGTGCGTATGTGTGTCTGTGAATACAAATATATATATATATATATATATATATATATATATATTTATACACACACATATATATATATATATATGTAATACATCTGCATGAACGACAACGTACATTGTCTAATTACAGAATATGCACGTCAGAGTGCGAATAATCCTTACACACATGCCCGTTTGTTGTTCTTTTCCCATGCCCACCCACCCACCAACCTGGCTACGGGTGCATCCACACGTGTGCACAGACATATGTATACACGCTCGAGTACATCCCGAATACAGACATACACGTCAAATGCATACATAAGTCCATGCCATGAACTATTTGTGAGAAGAGTTGAATCCTAAACCTCGGCACCCGAAACCCCGAGCCCTGAACTCGAAACCATGCCCTAAACGATTAAATACACCTAAACAAGCAGAAGGGCCTTCAGCATCACCTGCCCATCGGCCGTCCTGGCAGAACGTGCCTTGGACGCCTGTGCAAACCGCACTTCCAACACTGCCGTGGATCAGGGGGTTTAAGGAGTGCTCCAGAGGGGTGCTACAGTTTAAAGATTATTTAGGGAACGCCTGCCCGGATTCCACTCAAGATTGCCATAAACATTTCGCAAGTTTGCGTAGGGTGGTTACAAGGCTTCGGATCTGGGTTTCAGGGGTTTCTTTCAGAGTCCTACAAGGGCTTTGCACTGTGTTCATAAGGTTTGGGATGGTTTCGGTATCTGTAGGCCCCGAAAATCAACCCACCCGTCCTGATTCTGCACAGTATGAAGATGATTTACGATCTCTATTATCCTCGTGGCTCTACACTGTTTCAGTTAAATGTCAGTACCGGCATCAATGGTCAGCACGATCGCTAACAACAGCAGTCCAAAAATACAACATCAGCAAAGCAACATCAACAGTCATAATGACAGGAATGTAAACTACAAAAACAAGGCTGAATGACACTACTACTGCGAGCTGCTCGCACTGATCATCATGAGAATCGTCATAATACACTAGTACGAAGAATTATCATAATGCTGGTAAGAAGAAGCACACTTTACTGCTCCCAGCACCCGAGCCTGACTGGAAGCTGTTCGCACCGGCGCCTTCCAAGCGGAGACGTGCACAATGCGGGAGGGCTTTGTTCAGTAGAGCCTTTGAGGCTTAAGGGCTTTGGTCATGGTAGGGTTTAGGGTTTAGCTCAAGTGGTTGTTCAAGGTGAAGGTTCCCTAAACCCCGAAACGGGTTGTAAACGTAGGGTGTAGGGCCAGGGAGAGGACGCGAGCATGGAGCAACGGGGCTTCCCCTGCCTCGCTGTCCAAGCTGATGTCAAAGCACTTGGAGACCTTAAAGCATCAGCTCTTTTTGTTTAGGGTTCAGGGTTTAGATTTTAGGGTCTAGGGTCTAGGGTTCAGAGCTCAGGGTCTAGGGTTGAACTGCGATCATCATGATGATCGTTGTAGACATCACGAGTCGAATGCGAACGCTGTGATCATCAATACGGCTGCTGTTTGCTGCTAGTGTCAGCCATGTCTCAAAATGGGAGTTTCTGAACATAGGGGACCCTAATATAGTACCCTAAATAGTAGGATCCTTATTATAAGGAGCCCAAACTGAGGTACCCCTAATTTTCTCAAACTCCCCAAATGCGGCTGAGTTGCCATGGCCTGATGCTGCGGTGGCACTTCCAATTGGCATGAGAGCTGATCGCCATGCCTACCAAGGGAAGTCGTGGCTTGCTTTAAGGGTCTATACAGAAGGCTTCTGTTTAAAGACTCTATAAGGATTCTTTCAGAGGTTTTGGGGGTATCTATAACGGTTGAAAAGTTTGCGAAAAATTTCGACATATGGCTCAGTATGACGGTGATAAATCAGGCTGCTGCAGCGACGACAGAAAATTATCGCTGCATGTTCTAGTCTTAACTGCACCAGCAGGACGAGCACGGAGATGCGGAAAATTCAGATGATGATGATGATGATGATGATGCAGACGATTTTTGAAGACGATGATGACGATGATGACCGTGGCCGGGAATGGTAACGATGGTGGCGTCTCTCTGTGTTTGTTTTGCTGTTATGATGATTCCTACAGTTGTTAAGAAAGCCAAAACCACAAAAATTTCTGCGAGCCAAGACTCGACATCCCGTTCGATATACTTATTACGGGTACTACGATAATGCTTGTCAGAAAACATGAAACTCTCTGTATCAAGCTAGCAAAAGTATCCGCTGACTGGGAGATCTTCTGACTGAAAGTTCTGCTCCAGGTTTCGCCTGATTCTTCAAGCCCCTCATATAGGGGCCTGAGTGATTAGAATAGGGTGTTGGGCCCCATTCTACGATACTTGTAAAAAGGAACCCCCAAAATAGTATCAGTGATTATTAAGGCCCCTATACGAAACCCCATAATATCCCTTATAGTCCTTATAGACCCCTTTAGGACGAACAGTAATTACTTAGGCCCCTAAACTCTCCGAGCTTCCACAAACCCCCCACCTGTCTCCAGGCGTGGTATCCAGGCCGATCAGAGTGAGAGCATAGGTGGTCTGCAAGGACTCGCGCGCTTGCACCTTGTGCCGTCTTTTAGGGTTGAAAAGCTAGATCGGGGCTTAGAGTTCAGTTAAGTTGAGGGTTGAAGTTTTAGCTTTCAGGATGTAAGATTACGTTCGCACCTTGTGGCTTTGCTTGTGGTTTGGGGCTCAGGAACCCTGCGCATTGCTGTCGTCGCATGACTGCACTCTCTTCTCTATCATCATGAAGGCAGGGATGGTGATGTTTGGGATGATGGTGATGATGCTGATGCTGATGCTGATGCTGACGATGATGCTGACGTTGATGATGATGTCAATGACGTTGACGATGAGGATGATGATGATGATGATGGTCATGATGAGGATCATGAAGATGATGATGATGATGATGATGATGATGATGATAGTAATTGTGATGCTGATGATGACGGTGATGATGATGATGATTTCTTAGTTTTTTCCCATTTGCGGTGCTACTGTAAACCTTGATATTCCCGGGTTTCTGACAACTCGTAATGTACAACGAGCCACAAAAGCCTAAGACAGTCATCAAGGACCCTGAAACTTAACCTACTGATTTACTGATTGAGCATCCTAAATCCTAGGCCTTTAAACCCTACACCCAAAACCCGGGTTCCTAAACCCTACACCACCCCTAAATCCTAGGCCCTAAACCCTGAACCAACACCAATGGAGCATGGCACCGTGAAAGTGTGCAGGGTAGGATCCGCCGGAGCTTCTGCGACACCTTGAACACGGTAAGACCACGTAAGGTTCGGCTTCATCACCTCAGATTTCGGGTCATTATAAGGTTTATAGAGCATATGGTTTAGGGTTTAGGTCTTGATTTACAGTTTAGGTCTTGATTTAGGGTTTAGGTCTTGATTTAAGGTTTAGAGCATATGATTTAGGGCTTAGGTCTTGATTTCGGGCTTAGGTCTTGATTTAGGGTTTAGGTCTTTGCAAAGTCGGCACTACTACGTCCGTATAGCCCCCGTATAATCGAAACAAAAACCAACAAGGCCCGTAGATGATTCTGGGTTCTGCATCCTGCCACATGCGACCAGAGCTGGCAATGTGAACACAAAGTAAGAACTGAAATCCAAAGCTGCAAAGCTGCTGAAAGCGCAATCTCTGCAGTGTGCTGAGTCATAGTTGGCGGACAGAACGAGAACGGAATCTGCGTTGTCGCCAACGGTCCGATTTGCACCTTCTCACAAAAGCGATCCCTCTTCTGTTGCTCCCGTCGGTGTGGCGATTCGCTCTGTGTCTTGGTGACCACACAAACGTAAGAAAACGAAGAAGATGATCATGCTTTCGCCTGATTCTTGTTGACTGCGACCAGTACATGTTAATGTCATGATGACGGTCATGAGGAAAGCTGATGCGATACGGAAACCCTGCACTACTGAGGAGCACTGCTAGTTCCTACTATGTACGTGCGTCTACAGACATGTACATATGCATACATATATATATATATATATATATATATACACATATCATGTTGATTGCGTGTATGTGCCTGTGCGTCTGTGCACTTGCGTGCCTCTGATGTTGAATCTCTTCAGGTGTCCACACTTTGCTGCTGTCTTGCTGTTTTTGTGCGTTGGCATCCCGTCTTCAACACAACTTTGAAAGGTTGTGAGACGGGTATCAATGCTGACAGAACATGGCCGTCGATCTGGTGATTACCATCCAAAAACGCTACTACAGCCTCACTGCCAACATCATCGTTGTCATACCCAACACAAGTTCATAGCAGTACTAGTCCTTCTGCGACTGACCTGAAGTACGTTTTCATCTACCGGATCCTGAGAAGAACATGACCTAAACGCTACTGTAGGGGCCTAAGTAATTACTAATACTATTCTGTTGTTTCCTTATGAGAATTATAGAATGAGCCCCAAAAACCCCATTCGAATTATTAAGGCCCCCGACATTCTAGAACCCTACCATAGATCCCTTTAAAGGAACCCTTTAGGGATCCCTAAGAACTAGACTAGGGTTCCTTTAAAGGGATCCTTACAGGGTTCTAAGCCCCCAAAAAGGCCCCTACTATAGAACCCTTGTAGAGCTCCCAGAGGAACCCCTTCAAAGGATCCCTTGAAAGGGAACCCTTTTCTGATCATTAAGGCCTCTACATTAACAGAATACACCCCCCCTTATAGAATCTTTAAAGGACCCCTTAAAGGAACCCCTAGGATCCCTTTTAAAGGAACCAAAAAAGACAAAAAAGAGGCTGGCCTTCGCCTTCTTGCTCAGCAAGTTGAAGACGCCCTTCTCGCTCTTGGACTCGAGCACGATGAAAATCGTGATCGTCTCCAAGAACGGGTTCCTGTCTGGGCGTTTATATAAGGTTTGTTTGGTTTAAGGTTGAGAGTTGAGAAACCCCGAGCCCCCAACCATAAACCCTAAACCCCCAAACCCTAAACTCCAACTCCCCATACCAAGGCGCTTGAACTGGATGGTCGACGACACGGTGCGGTTCACCTGCGCCGCCACCGTCACGCTGCGCGCTTCCAGGGGAGGCAGTCCAAGGCCTTGCGCCTGCGTTGGGTTTGGGTTGGGGTTCAGGGTTTGGGGTTTAGGGCTTAGGGTTTAGGGTTGGGGGCAGTATGTGGAAGGGCCTTAGTAAATAGGGTTCATCTTAAGGGATCCGTAAAGGGTTCTGTAAGGGATCTAGAATAGGGTTCTATATTAGGGGCCTTTATCACTAGAACACGGTTTTGGTGTACATTATGACATGATAACAAATCAGGAACCCATGATTTTAAGGGTCTATGGTTGGCACCTTTGCGTTCAGAGTTTGGGGTTTGGGTTTCGGGATGTAGGGTATGGGGTTTGGGGTTCGGATTTAGGGGCTGTTTAGGGGTCTTCAGATTCCGCGAAAGCCAGAAGGTGGACAGGAATGTAGCAAGGCAAGCTTACTTGGACGGTCGGGGGACTTAGTAACTGGTTATTTTAGGGACGTATAAGTATCATAACCCCAATTAGGGTCCCTTTTAGGGTACTTATAAGTCTACCTACTACCTACTTACAAAGTCCCCCGACCCTCCAAGTAGCGGTGCGAAGAGCAAGGGCAGCCTTGGGTTGCTCGCCTGCTTCTGCACTTGCGAACCCTAAGGCCCTAAACCCCAACCCCTAAAACCCAAAACCCCTAAAACCCTAAACCCCAAAAGCCTAAAACCCAAAACTCCTAAACCCTAAACCCCTAAACCCCTAAAGGCTAAAACCCTAATTCCCTGAAGCCCAAAACTCCTAAACCCTAAACCCCTAAAGGCTAAAACCCTAATTCCCTGAAGCCCAAAACTCCTAAACCCTAAACCCCTAAACCCCTAAAGGCTAAAACCCTAAGTCCCTGAAGCCCTACCTCCTAAACTCTAAAACCCCAAAAACTGGTTGAACCCGGAACTCCTGAAAGCCCTCCACGGCCTTGTAGACCCAAGATCCAATAGAAGGATGCTCAAAGACAATCTGCGCTTCCTCCGTGACACCTCGGCACAGACGTAAGGGCTCCTCCAAGCGCTCACTCCGGGTTCCTGCAAGTTCTTTTCAAATTCTGAGTTTAGGGTGCAGGTTCCAGGGTGTAGGGCGGTAAGTCTGCACCCATGACATGGGGGGGGGGGGGGGTATCTTAAAACTAGAGGGGTGGTAGGGAACCGTTTTCGATGTCTGTCTTTGGGTGGCGTGTCTGCTTTGTTGAAATGCGGAACCTAAGCCCTGCACCAAAAAACTCCCCCAGCCACACATCCCAAAAGCCTAAACCGTCAAGGAAGCCTTCAGGGAGCCCTTCAAAGAGCCCTTAAACCCTGAACCCCAAACCCTAAACCCTCTGAGACCCTGAACGGCAGAAGCTTCTAGGGCCCCTACATCATAGAACCCTGTTGTAGAATCCTTATAGATCTCCTTCAGGATCCCTAGAAAACTTATGAAGGCCCCTACATTACATGAAATCTTGGCGCCGCACCAAGAGACGCCGGGCTATACTCAATGGTGATCTCGGTGGACTCCAAAGGCGGCAGAATGATCCGGTTGTTCATGACCTTGCAAAAGCATGAAGGTCTACACTTGGAGGCCCTTTTGACTTAGTAAGTCTACTTAGTATCCCCTAGAAACCCTATATTATAATCCCCATAACCCACCTTACTAACCCTACTTACTAAGTCAAAAGGGCCTCCAAGCAGGGCTTAGGGTCTTTAGGTCTTAGGGTGTAGGGCCTATAAGGGTTCCGAGAACAGGGGTTCTGTTCAACTTTCCCTCAAGGCTTCCAGTAACGGCTCTACCCGGCTGTAGGGCACTGTAGGGTTTAGGGTTTGGAGGGCCATCTTCCAGTGTCGCGATGCTGCAGCCCTTCGGAAGCCCTTGCACACAAATCCGCAGACCCCCAAACCAGGAAGCATCCAACAAAACAGTTACAAGTATCGTGCTAAACATGACAACGCTGGTAATAATAATGATAACGATGCTGATCCTGAGCATGACGATGACAATGAGTAACTAATGATAATGACGGCGGCCATGGTAGTAATACCAATGTTGATGGCAGTGAAGAAAACAATATGATGGTACTGGTGATAATAATGGTAAAAAATGAACATGATAATGATCATCATAATATGGCATATCGATCATCGTGATAAGAATGATAATAAAAACAGTATTGATAACGGGGATGATGGTGATAATCCTGATAATAATGACCATGATAGCAACGGTAATTAGTAGTTAGGACAATCTCAACAACTTTTAAATGATGACAATAATATCCAAAACTGGCACGCTTAAAAAAACACGGCTGAGCCTTGAAATTGATCTTGTTCGTCGAGCGATGCTTCAGAGCCTCGGGATGTGGCATGTGGGAATTTCCGAAAAATAGGGGTACTTTATTTTGGGGTCCTTATAATAAGGATCCTACTATTTAAGGTACTACATTGGGGTCCCCTATTTTCCGTAATGTAGGAACCTGATTAAGAAACCTTGGGCCCTTATTAGGGTTCCTTATATGAATCCTACCATTTGGGGCTATAAGCCCAGGGTTTCTTAATCAGGTTCCTACAGTAGGTGTGCAGAGGTCGCGGTTTGGAGTTTGGGCCGCTACAACCGAATCCTGTCCTGGAGTTTAGGAATGTAGCCTGCTTGTCGGGCATCATGGGGAACTAAACATCATCCTTTTTAGTTAGATAGGGATTATATAGGCACTATACTACCCAAAAAAGGTTAAAGGTCACCTACTCTACTACGAGGGCTACCCCTAAACCCTGAACCCCTAAACCCTATAGATCCCTTAAAGGAACCCTTATAGTACCCTTTCAAAGGAACCCTTTCAAAGGAACCCTTATAAATGTTACCTGCTCTTCTGCTAGGGTAGGGTGTGGTGTAGGGGGGACCTCATCTCTGCGTCTCCTGCGAGGCAGCTGGAGCCTCTCTCTGCGTTCCTGGTCGCAGCTCCGTCTGTGCCGCTAGGGGGAGGCCGTTTGTTTCGTGCTGCTTAGGCTAAACTAATATGGCCAATAGCATTACTGTTATTGATAATGAACTAAACTCATATTGTTAATAGCATTACTATTCTTATTGATATTGAATTCAAGTCCGTAGAAAGAACCCTGTCTTGGCTCCTGACCACCTCCTGGCCAGTTGGGTTGTCTACTTTCACCGTTGTCTGCGCCGTCCTGCTCGCTCCCGAGGGTTGGGAATTAGGGCTTAGAGTTTGGCGGATGTGGGGTTAGGGTTCAGGGTTTAGGTTTTATCGGGCCTTCACCAAGGACTCCTACAGGGCGTCTATCAGGTGTTGGGGCTTAGGGCTTCTAGGGTGCTTTCAGGAATAAAGCTTTATCGTTTAGAGCTTCGGGGTTTAGCTCGGATTGGGATGGTGGCTGTGATGACTAGTTGCACAATGGGGCTGATGATTGTGCAATAAACTAATCCTGTGATACAGATTTTTCGATTCGTTTATCGGCATATCGTCGCTCAAAGTAGCAGTTATTGCAGTAGTACTAGTCGTCGTCTTCGGTAAGCCCAAGTCCCAGAGCCCAAGTTCCTGATACGAAAATCTCAACGGCGAATCCCTGATCTCTCAACCCTACCTAAACCCTAAACCCTAAACCCTAAACCCTACCCTGCGACCGCCAACTTAAACCCTACGACCGCCAACCCTAAGTTGAAGGCTTCTAGGCTTAAGGGCCGAAGGCTTCGGCCTTTTAAGCTTAGGGCTCTAGGGTCCTAACTGGAAGCCCTGTTGACTTAGTAAGTCTACTTAGTATCCCCTAGAAACCCTATTATAAGCCCCATAACCCACCTTACTAACCCTACTTACTAAGTCAAAAGGGCCTCCAAGTAGGGTCCTAGGGTTCAGGGTCAGGCCCTGGGCCCTAAAACCCTACACCCTACAGCGTGTCACGATCCCAAGATGACTAACCAATGGTTTTGGGGTTCCTTAAAGGGCTCCTTAAAGGGATCTATAGGGTTCCTTCAAAGGGAAATGTGGGGATTAGGGTTTAGGGTCTATAACTAACCAATGGTTTTGGGGGTTCCCTTGGCTCTTTAGCTCCTTATTAAGTAGGGATTATCATCACCCCTGGCTCCTTAGCTCCTCCAATATCAATGGTTAGATGAGGTCCTGCCCAGCTCGCACTGCATCAACGGGATCTCTTCTGGAAGGGCCGCTTCGGCGATCAGGGACAGGTCGTACCAGAACTCGCCTGCGCTTCAGAGATTGGGGCTCAAGTTTTCAGGGCATACCTTCACCCTGAAAAACCTACCTTTTTCGGGTTCCCTATTATGATTTCTTTATATAAGTCCTTGAAAAGGTAGGGTTTTCAGGGCATAAGGGTTTAATTGGTTGACGGCGCGTGCTTCAGAATTTCGGGTTTACGTTTTAGCGCTTAGCGCTTGGGGCTTATTACAGGTTTAAGATTAAAAGCCAGAAAGCTGGAATATGATTATCCTAAACCCTTTATGGTAAATTATAAGGTATCCTACCCTGAAACCATATTCCAACTTTCTGGAGTTCCCTTTAAGAGCTTGAGGGTGTGGGGCAAGGTTTTCGGATTTCGGCTTCAGTTCTGGGGGGCACGGCTTTTCGGTTTAGAGGTGTAGGTGATGTACCTTGGCATGTGTGATACCACGGTACAGCAGAAAACGGCTAAACTACCCTAAACCCTAAACCCTCAACCCTAAATCCTAAACCCTCAACCCTGAGCCCTAAACCCTCAACCCTAAACTGCCCCTGCCTACACCGTAAACCCTAAACCTGCCCCTGCCTACCACCTCGTTGAAGAAGACAGCGGTGCCCTTCGTCCTTGCTGGGAGAAGCGGGCTGAAGACCTCGGCAAGTTGTGTTTTATTTTAGGGGGTTTAGGGTTTAGGGTTTAGGGTTAGGGTTTAGGGTTTAGGGTTAGGGTTTAGGGTTTAGGGATAAAGCTATCGTATTAGGATTTGGGGTTTACGGCTACAATTTCTACGGTTTCGGGATGAGGGTTCAGAAGCATATTTATTCCTAAGCGACTATAAAGGAGATTTCTTGCAAATCTGTCGAACCTCCGCATCGGACCCTTCAGTGTGCTGCTTCGGACAACGGTAGGCCTCCGGCTTTGAGCCTGAGGGTTTGCCATTTCGGGATTGGGGTATAGGGCGTGCTGTTTAAGGTTTAGGGGCTTAGGTTTAGGGGTGTAAGAGATTTGGGTTCAGGGCGTAGGGCCCCGAACCCCATGTTACACTGTCTTATACCAAAGTATATTATAGCTATAGTATACAGAACTGTTATACCATAGTATGTTATAGCCATAGTATACTATCTTACTATACCATAGTATGTTATAGCTACAGTATACTATATTGCTATACTTTATAATATTTCAGCTATAGTTTACTAGAACATTATATTAGTATACTATATTATTGCATTTTTATACCATAGTATATTACAGCTATAGTATACTATAGTAATATTATTATACTATAGGATACTATATTATCATATTATTCTACTATATAACACACCCCAGCAGCGCTCCCCCGCGCCACCCGTGACCGAGCATCGGGCCAGCTCGTAGGTCGCTGTCTCTTTCGGGGCCAAGACGAACTCCGCCTCGCCATGGGCAGCTCAGGGCTTGGGGTTTAGGGTTCAGGATTTAGGGTATAGGGTTTGGGGTTTAGAATTTAGGGTTGAGGGTTTTCGGTTTAGGGCTTAGGGTTGAGGGCTTAGGGGTTTGGGTTTTGGCTTTCTTCAAAGGTGTAATGGGTTTAGGCCTTAGAATACGGCTTGAGATTTTTGAAGTGTTCAGGGTTTCGGATGTAGGGCTTAGGGTTTAGGATTCAGTTTCAGATTTTAGGGGTTTGGGGTTCGGGTTTCAGATTAAGCGCTTAGGGTTTAGGATTCAGTTTTAGATTTTGGGGGTTCCGGGGTTCGGGTTTGGGGCGTTGGGTTCAGGATTTCGGGCTTGAGAGCATCGATGCACCGGGCGAGGAAACCGAAACGCGAAGCTCAAGTCCCAAAGCCCAAAAACAGGTGCACTGTGCAGATAGTACATGATAGTATACTAAGGTTTATGATAGTGTAATTTGGTACATGATAATAATGTTATAGTATGTGAAAGTAACATTATAGTCATATATGGTAATATGATCCGGCGCTCTTCGAGACCGATAACAACGGCCCACCTCACCAAGGAGGCCATCGCCGTTCAGGGCCACCTGAAAGATCACTGCGCTCCGGTGTCGCAAGAGCAAGATACTTCATATTGCAGTACCAACCATGGATCTAAGGCATAATATCAGGGCTCCCATATTGCAGCTATTGAAGGAGCGGTGGAGGTGGCCACTGGTGATGGTTGTGGTAGCCGTGAGCTTCTTACTGCAGCAACCTTGACACCAAAGTCCCCACCTCGAAGACCACAACATCGTCAAGAGGATTCACCAGCTGGATGTCAACAGCCACTGCCTGCAACGGCTCTGCCCCTGGCTGAGAGCCCTTTAATGGATGTCCATGAAAACTGTTGCACTGAGCCTGTCGCACCACACATGTCAAAGTAAGCTGTTGCTGCGGCTTCGGAGGCAGCGTCATGAGCTCGACCTGAGAGTAGCTTATGCGGTGTCATAAGATGTGCAATGATGAGCACGAGGCATGCTCACACAAACTGGGTCCCCTTGTGCTGACAAGAGGCAGTGTACCACGTGAAGTGCCCAGTGTGAGTGTCTCGGAACATGATGCAGCCTTGTCAACACACTGCGCTGAGGTCAGGTGAGCCTTCCTTTCGTATTTAAACCGAATGGACACGGACTCCACCGAGTCATGTAGTAATTCACCGGATGTACTAAATTACCTACCTTTGGTTAGTAGGGAATGGAGGAATGGGGTTCAATTATAACTACCATATTACTACCACTGTACTATCGTATTACTACCATATTACTATGATATAACTACTATTACTACCATTCTTCCATTCCCTACTAACCAAACGTAAGATTAAAGCTACCAGCTACCAGGATGCTCTAAACGTTAACGCGGCCTTAAACCCCAAACCCATAAACCTAATGTAGGGGCCTTAATAATTAGAATAGGGTTTTGGGATCCTTTATACTATAATTATAATAAGGAAACCCCAAAATAGTATAGGTAATTATTTCGGCTCCTACTTGGAGGCCCTTTTGACTTAGTAAGTCTACTTAATATCCCCTAGAAACCCTATTATAAGCCCCATAACCCACCTTACTAACCCTACTTACTAAGTCAAAAGGGCCTCCAAGTATACTAGGCAAGGTCAGCCGTACGGGGGCACTCGGAGTACCACGTGAAGAGGAGCGTGAGGAATCCCTACCCTCCAGCCCGCTGGCTCCTCTCTCACGTTCAAACGGAAGGAATCCCTATAAAGCCCTAGTAGTCTACTCTCTCTATACCATACATACATACATATATATATATATATACATATATATATATATATTAGTCAATCTTGTTCATATATCGCATTTTTCCTACATGCAGACGAGAAAGTCTGAGCCCAGAAGCCTTGTCACATATCGGACATATCTCAAAAAACGTGCATGATACCATATCGTATCATATAAAATCTCTCAAGCTTGACCTCCGCTGAGCCCCGAAGCCGCGAAACCCCAAGACCCCAAGACCTGAGCCCCTAAACCCCTAAACCCGAAACAGGGCTTAGGGTTTAGGGTTTCAGGGTTTGGGGTTTTAGGGTTCGCAAATTCAGGATTCCTTACAGAAGACTTGTCAAAACTCCAATATGGGGGTCGGGCGAATGAGTAAGAGTACGTATTCCTCAGGGCTCCTTGTTTCTGATGTCTCAGGTCTCTATGCTAAACCCTAGACCCTAAACCCCAAAACACTAAACCCTAAGCCCCAAACCCTAAGCCCTAAGCAATAAATTCTAAGCCCTAAGCCCTAAGCCCTAAACCCTAAACCCTTAACACCCCCTTTTGAAAACCCGGCCTGTGACCTGGCCCGCCTGCAACGGCTGGAACACTAGCTCGTACTCCCCCGTGCCACGGCCATCCACCTGATTTTGGGTTTAGAGCCTCAGGGGTTTAGGGATTTTGAGTTTGGCGAGTAAGTCAGAGGTTCAGGGTTTAGGGTTTAGGGTTTAGGGTTTAGGGTTTAGGGTTTAGGGTTTAATCTATTATTTAGGGCTTAGGGTTTAAGGCTTGGGATTGAGGGTTCAATGAAAGCTTCATGAAACAACAACGGGTGTCTAGTCCTTTTCCGGGCTGTACCGGGCTCTAAAAGCTTCTAGGATACCCATAAGAATAAACAGGCCTCTCTTTTTGGTATTAGGTAACTTTATAAGGAACCTAGGACTACAAAAAGGGAATAAGGGTACTACTAGTAAAGCTCTGAAATGTACAGCGGTTTCGGGGATGTTGGTCCAGGTCCAGGACTTGGGGGGTTGAGGGCTTAGGCGCATACTAAACACCCTGGAACCCGAAACGCTACTGAAATTCTACAACCCTGAACTCTACAGTTTTGCACAAGCTGTAGAAGCCTCATCAGCCACCTGATTTATCAAATCCTTTGGCAACACTTATAAGAACTCCCTCAACCCTGTTGAAGCCCTGAACCGCCAAAACCTCTCATTCCTAAACCCTAAACCTCTACACCCCTAACCCTAAACCCCTACACCCCTAAACCCCTACATCCCTCAACCCCTAAACCCCTAAACACCTCATTCCTAAACCCTAAACCCCGAAGCTCTCAAGGAGTCGAGCGACCTGAATCGAAGAGGGCCCCGAGATATGGACGAGATCGCTCTCGACCTGCTGCAATCGTGGATTTCAGGGCTGAGGTTTTAGGGTTTCGGGGTTTGGGGGTTTAAGCCCTAAACCCTAAACCCTAAACCCTAAAGGGGTTTGGGGTGTCGGGATCCTTGACAGGCCCCTCAAGGGCTTCTATCAGGGTTTCTGCGCAGCTACACAAGGTTCATGACTTAGGGCCTTGAGGGTTTGGAGCTTCTGGATTTGTGGGTTGAGCTTACGGATCTCTGGGTTGTCAGGGTTCAGGGTTTAGGATTTAGGGTTGAGACATGTCGCTGAGGGTTTTGGGTTTAGGGCTTCGGGCTGAGGGCCGTAGGGTTTGAACCTTAGGGCTTAGGGCCCAGAGCTTCTTGTAGAGTTCAGGGTTTAGGGCTCAGGGTTCACAAGGGTCCAGAGTTTCGAGTTTCTCTCCTTTCCAAACCCGCATGTCCTTGACGATCCCAAGCACCATGTTCTTCCTACAGCAGCCCGTCACCCCAACCCGCGTCACAGGGAGCCCTGAAAAGTGAACCCGAAACCCTAAAGAAAGAAGTAAACCTCCACTCGAAACCCCAATGGCCCAAGCCCTGAATCTAAACTCAACAAGGGCCCAAACCCGAGCACGACACGGGCCTCGAAAGTGGCGGTCATGTTGGAGTGGTTCTTCACCTGGGAGGTTCTGAAAGCCAAGGCTTCCACATCTGGGTTGTTTACGGCTTAAACCCTAAAGCCTATACCCGTAAAACCAGACCACTTAACCCTAAGCCCTAAACCCTAAACCCTAAAACCCTAAACCCTAAATCCTAAACTCTAAAACCCTAAACCCTAAGCCCCAAACCCTAAGACCCAGCCTGGGGCAAGGAGCTCGAGTAGGGCTTAGGGCTTAGGAGGTCCATCAATGTTTGGGGTGCTAGGCTTGAGCAGGGCGTGGGGGGAGTTCAGCGATGAAAGTCAACACTTAGGGTCACCTATGTCGGTACGATCAGAATCCCCGTGTATTCTTTGGGTCCGTGATGCTGTAATATACTATACTATCTTTTCCTATACTAGGTTAAACTATAACTTACTATACCTTACCATATTGTGGCAAAAAACAGTGTAGTATAGCATACTATCCCATACTACACTGCATCATATTGTAGAAAACATACTTTGCTAAATACATTATAAACTAAAACGTGGGTCCCTCGCAGTGCCTTTAACTTTGCCGCCTCGGCCTGGCCTTGTCCGGAGCTCTCAGTCTAAGCTCCCATCGTTTTACGATGATACGATATAGTATATTACAAAAACATAGTCTAATATAGAAACAATATAATTTAGCAGTATGATATAAAATGATATCGAATACTGTAAGAAAATATGGCATAATATTGTAAAGCCCTCAAGTCCCGGCACCAGAGCGCCAGACTGAGTGTACTGTCTTGATAGTGGTGGCGGCCCTGGTGATCCAATGGCTAATGTAGTCATATCACAATAACGGTAACAGTGCGAACAGTATTGCATCGATCATGATGGTAAACGCGATCATGACAACATCATCTGCTAAGTAGTAACCATACTGATTACACCAGTGAATACCTAGAGAAGCAACGCTCAAGCACGACGGTGCCCGCGGGGCCCGGGCCGAGAAGACATGCGAGGTCTTCTCCCGCGCCTCGCACCTGACGATGCCCATGGTGAAAGGGTGTAGGATATAACATGGAGTTTATGGGTATGTTGGTATGTTGATACTAATAGGGCCCCAAGAAAGCACATAGCCCATTAAGGTAGGGATATCCCTATAAAAAGCTTATGCTTATGTGCTTTTGGGGGTCCCTAAACTAAGGAGCCTGAAGGAATAAAAATGCCCAAGGATTGAGGTCCCCGCGGTTCGGGTTGAGGATCTTTGGGTCAACACGACCTCCCCTACTTAAAGGATCTAAAGGGCTCCTTTAAAGGGATCTATAGGGTTCCTTAAAGTGATCTATGAGGTTTAGGGTTTAGGGTCTACTTAAAGGATCCTGGGACTTAGTAAGTGGGGTTCTAAATAAGGTAACTATACTTATAAGTATTTATAACCCCAATTAAGGTACTTATAACCCTACTTACTAAGTCCCATGATCCTCCAAGTACCCACCTAGCCGATGTCACAAAAGACAAGCCGTACCACGAGTAATCACCAGTATCCCGGAACCCTAAACTTAAACCCTAAAACCCTACACCCTAAACCCCAATTCTACTCATTATGGCCACGGTTTAGGGTTTAGGGGTTTAGGGTTCAGGGTTTCGGGTTTAGGCTCAGGCATCGACTTCACCACCACATGCTCCTCTGCCAAAGGCTCTTCTGCGACACCATGCAGGTCGTACCTCAGGTGCACGCGCAAGAATCGCCAAGGTCGCGTAGTACAAGGCATACTATATAATAGCTAATATCTGAATTCTAGTTAGAAAGTTTCTAATATCTAATATATAGTATCGATTATGTATTAAATCCTATTCGGCTTATGGCCTAACCCTCGTAGCATGGCATATGATATACATACAAGTATATAGCATATAGCATTTACTACACAGCATCAAGTATATAGTGTGTCGGAGTTCCGCAAATAGGGGGCCCAATATAGTACCCTTTATGAGGACCCCAACGTAAGTTTCCCTAATCTTGGGAAACTCCCACGTAAACCCTAAACCCTATGAATCCTTTGAGGAACCCAACGGATTGGATTTATTTTAAGGAGCCCTAGTGTGATGGTATTACTGGCTCTATACGGGTATACAAGGAACCCTGAAGGGAGAGCCTTTTTTAGAACATGTAGTATGCGGCCTGCTCCTCAAGGCGTACGATACCCTAAACCTTAAACCCTAGAAACCCTATAAACCCATCCTTGGGCTCCCTTTAAAGGGATCTATAAGGGAACCTATAAAGGGATCCTTTAGAAGGGGCCCCCACCCTGTAATAGTGACTATAAAAATTATATTAGGGCCCTATTATATTCCTAGTATACCACTATTACAGGGTGGGGGCAGCTTCTAAGCGATCCTCTAAACCCTCCAAACCCTCGAAACCCTCTACGGCCTGCTCCAAAAAGGCCAGGGGGCTCATAGGTCTCGTTGGTACCCACGTTGTACAGCACCAGCTGCGCCTCGCATCTACACCCCCCTAGACCCATGATAAAAATGGTTTGGGGTTTCGGGTTTAGTGTTTTTATATGAACAAAAATGAAAAGAAAATCCTGAGACTATAGGCATTTTTTAGTCACCGCCACAGGCCCCGAGTCGTTCAGGGCGTAGTGGATACTATAAGGGGCTTAGGATTTAGGGTTTAGGTATAGGGCTTTGGGCTTAAGGCTCAGGGTTTTTGTTAAGGCTTCGGGTTCAGGGCTTAGGGTTTAGGGTTCAGGGGTACGATAAACAATGACTACATATATTTTGCAGCATATACCGTACACTATATATCAGATGCTACATACCACATACTGCAGACTGTGCACTGCATATACTGTATGCTGTACACGATCTACTGTCTACTGCCTACCATCCACTACACATGCCCTAAACCCTAAACCGTTTCTACTAGCAGCGCCCCAGCCTTTACATCGCAGACCCACTCGGGCTTGAAGGTCAGCGGATAGGTCGTCACAGTGGCCTGCCCGGTCGCCTTTGCTCGCCAAACCGCAAGGGTTTCAGAAGGATCCTACTTGGAGGGTCGGGGGACTTAGTAAGTAGATAGTAAGTAGACTTATAAGTACCCTAAAAGGGACCCTAATTGGGGTTATGGTACTTATAAGTCCCTAAAGTAACCAGTTACTAAGTCCCCCGACCCTCCAAGTATGAAGGGCTTTTAGGGTTTAGGGCTTTAGGAGTCGAAAGTTGCCTTCGAGGCTTCTAGAAGGGAGAAGAAGGGTTAGTGTAAGGGGGCTTTATTAGTGAACCCCAGAAAGTTGGAACATGGATTTAGGATGATTCATGCTGGGATCCCCTATACTTTGCTTTAAGGGCATGAGGCTACTGATGTTCCAACTTTCTGGCTTCTACTGTAGAGGGGTTACTATGAGGGCTCTCGAATAAACCCTAAACCCTAAACCCTAAACCCTAAAACCTAAACCCTAAACCCTAAAACCCTAAAACCCTAAGCGCCGGACTCCCTTCTTCTTGGCGAAGAATTCCCGGGGCCCGTCAAACTCATGTCCGATCTGCGAGAACGTCGGCTTGATGGCCTTGGCGCGGCTTCAGACAGCTCGGGGACTTCCGGAAATTCAGGGACCCTAATAGTTTAGGCTTTAGGATATTTTTTTTAAGGCTGTAGGATTTAGGGTTTAGGGTTTGGGATTTAGGCTTTAGGGTTTAGGATTTAGGGTTTAGGCTTTAGGGTTTAGGATTTAGGGTTTAGGCTTTAGGGTTTAGGATTTAGGGTTTAGGGTGTAGGGTTTAGGGTTGGGGGTTTAGGCTTTAGGCTTTAGGCTTTAGGATTTAGGGTTTAGGGTTTAGGATGGCCCTACTATAAGACCCTGATCACCAAGTGTAAGGACCCATATAAAGGCGGCACCTAATTTTCTGACACCCCCCTGCTGGAAGAAGATGCGCGGCCCGTCTGCATCCAAGTGGCCCATTCTCTGTCCGTTGGGTTCACGATTGGAATCTCCTGGTAGCTGAAATGGGTTCAGGGTTTAGAGTTTTGGGTTCGGGGTTTAGAGTTTTGGGTTCAGGGTTTTGGGTTTAGAGTTGAGGGTGTTGAGGTGGCGTCCAGCACATCCAGGGCTTGCATCTGAAAACGTGCACAGGACAGAGTGTAACTTGCCGCTGCCCTTGAAACCCCGCTCCTGCGTGATCGGTTTCCTGGGATGAGGCGGAGGCAAGGCGGCAAAGAACTTCGGAGTGTGTTCGGAATAAGGTTGCAGGGTTCAGGGCTTTGTTTGGGATTTAGGGTTTAGGGTCGAGAGTTCAGGGTTTGGAGGCTTACGGCTTGAGAGTTTTTAGGGGTTGCGGGGTTAGGGTTCACGGTTTGGGGTTTAAGGGTGTAGGGTTTCGGGGTTTAGGGTTCCTCGACGGGTTCTGCGGCAGGTGTTGTAAGGGGTTTGCCGGGAGATGCATGCATGCATGCATGGATGGAGGATGGATGGCTGGCTGGCTGGACGGACGGATGGATGGATGGATGTATGGATGGATATTCGCAACAGCAAGTTCTGGGAGCAACAAAGGCAGCGCGCAGAGTTGTGGCATCAGAATGTGTGCAACCTCCACATCCCCGTGCCCAGATGCATGGCCCAAGGGGTGGCACCAGCACCAAAAACCTTGTGCTTTTCCACATTGCATTCCAGCAAAAAACTTGCAAACTCCGACTGCTGCGCCACATCACCGCTAGTTTCTTCGTTTCTTGTTGTCCATGCTCCACTCCTGCAAAAGGTGTGCAACCTTCGTGTGCCCTCTCTGAGCTGCGATGACCAAGGGGGTGCCGTCCTTCCTGGCCTTGTCTTTGTCTGCATTGCTCTCCAGCAAAAGGCGTGCAACCTCCAGCTGCCCCTCCCGAGCTGCAACGAACAACGGGGTGGCGCCGTCCTGCCTGGCCTTGTCTGTGTCTGCATTGGCCTCCAGCAGAAGACGCGCGACCTCCAGCTTCCCACTGCAGGCTGCAATGAACAACGGGGTGGCACCATCGTGCATGGCCTTGTCCTTGTCTGCATTGGCCTCCAGTAGAAGACGTGCGACCTCCAGCTGATGCCGCCAAGTTGCCATGAACAACGGGGTGGCGCCGTCCTGCCTGGCCTTGTCTGTGTCTGCATTGGCCTCCAGCAGAAGACGTGCGACCTCCAGCTTCCCCCTGCAAGCTGCCATGAACAACGGGGTGGCGCCGTCCTGCCTGGCCTTGTCCGTGTCTGCATTGCTCTCCAGCAAAATGCGCGCGACCTCCAGCCCCCCCTCCCGAGCTGCAATGAACAACGGGGTGGCACCATCGTGCATGGCCTTGTCCTTGTCTGCATTGGCCTCCAGCAAGAGGCGTGCCACCTCTGTGTGGCCGTGCTCAGACGCCTCGAACAGAGGGGCCGGATCGCCCAAATCTGGGTCTTGCGGTCTTTGTAGAAAAGTCTCCACTTCCGCTGACAGGCCACGTCTAGCTGCATCCCGAAGTGCTGTCACTTGAGGATCCGATGCTGGGCAGAAGCTTAGAAGAACGACCTGAGCTTCGCCAGGTCTCAGGGTGCCATCGTCATCTAGAACAACATTATCGTCCAGGAATACCAGCCTTTGCCTGAAACGTGACAGCCCGCACAGGCTGCGCAAGTGTTGTTTCAATGCCCGGACGGGATGCACTCCGGCAGGCTGCGTCTCGAGAAAGCTCGCCAAGTCAAGGGCAACGAGCTCTTCACCCGACACGGTTTGAATCCGCAGCATGGCCAATGCTAAGGCGGGGAGCTGTGGACTCCAAAGAACAAGCTTCGCTACACATCTGCTCTACCGAAACCCACTATTTTGTAGGGTTTAGGGTTTACGGCTTACTTAGGGTTTCGGGTTTAGGGTGGGTCCCTACAAAACCCATATTTGGTTGGAACTGAGAACCTACATAACAGTAGGTTATGGTAGTTTAAGGTATGTTCTTCAAAACAGGCTTGGGCTGCTGATCCGCAGGCTGTGTCCATAATGTAGGGGCCTTAATAATTAGCTTAGGGCTTGGGGGGATATTATACCATAGTTATAAGACGGAACCTCAAAACCCTATTGAAACTATTAAAGCCCTTACATTAGGTTTGTGGTTGCGCGGCCTCCTCAACAATGTCTGCTGCATTGGCAGTGCAGTGAATGTATGGGCCCTCATAATTAAAATAGTGCTTTTCCGGGGGGACGATTATACGAAATATAGAGATATATTTATATATAATAGCCCTCAAGCCGATTCTGATAGAAAAGGATAGTGAGATGTCAGGTCAGCCTCTGTCCTTCAGCCGAAGACTCCAAGCTGCGCTCCGCATTTAGGGTTTAGGGGTTTACGGGATTAGAGTGAAGGGTTTAGGGTTTCGGGTTTAGGGTTTAGGAAATCCCGAACCCAAACTCAACACATCCTACCACGTAATCTTGTGGCCTTGGCCATACGAACCAGGGAATGTGCTGGTCTCAGATATACGGACAAAGGGGCTTAGGGGTTTAGGGTTTCATTCGGACCACGCCAAACGACTGCAACTAAGTTGCCGAGCTTGCGTGGTGAAGGTCAGGGAGCAGTGCGTGTTGGGCGCTGTGCCGGTCCCTGATTCGTCAGCCGGAGGTAAGAAAGCATCATGTTGAGCCCTTAATAAAGGCAACGGGATCTGTGGTGTGTGTGCAGATATATACATATATGCATTTTTATATAGGTATATATATATATATGTATATATATATACACCTCACGATAACCTATAACCATTTAATATAAGTAAGTACTACAAGCGTGCATTATTACAAGTTATTCAGATACCCAGAAGGTGTGGGCTCCTGCACCTTACATACCACCCTCCCTAGAATCTCACTTGAGCTGGGTCAGCCCCTACGAGAGCCTCGTAGACACCTCTCATACCCTAATATAGGGGCCGTAATAATTAGAATAGGGTTTTGTGGCATATGACACTATAGCTATAATAAGGAACCCCCGAAACAGTATAGGCAATTATTAAGGCCCCTATACTACTAACCTCAGTGAAAGAGAAAAAACCCAGGGTTCCCTTTGCAACCCTTGGAAGCACTCTACAGAAAGCTTCTAACACCCATGACATAAGGACTTTCATGATGTCAGTCGGGTTTTGCGGCATGTTAGACTATAGTGCTAATGCGTAGTACACCTTATTGAAACCCTGAATGAGAGTTTCCGAAAAGTGGGACCCTAATATACTACTGTAACACCCTGAATAGTAGGATCCTTATTATTACAGGACCTCAAAATAAGGTACCCCTAATTTTCGGAAACGGAAACTCCCTAAAAGAACCTTCTAAACCCTAAGCCCTAAAGGAACCCGGAAGCAGAGCTGGGCCCGATGCCCTCGAATTGGTAGATGCGGATGTCCACATCCGATGTCAGGGTCACCGTGCAAGGGTACACGCCAGGCTCCTGAGGAAGAGGGTTTAGGGTTTAGGGTTTAGGGGTTTAGGGTTTAGGGGTTTAAGGGTTTAGGGTTTCGGGTGTAGGGTTTTGGGTTTTAGGGATTTGGGGGTTTAGGGGTTTATGCAAGCAGTCAGCAGACAATCCGAGCGAGAGCGACGCCTGGATCCTTAGCCGGATCGCACGGCGAAGGGACTGACCACCTTTACAATAATTGTTCCACGCCTCTTGTGGGGACACGTACGCTATCGGACACTCCATAGGCTCCTTATCTGGGTTAAAAACATTTTTCATGGCACTCGGGTATTTCCAAGCACCCAACAACGAATGGACCGGTGACTGCCCCGCCGGTCTGAGACAGCGTGGCACTAAAGACAGACTAGGAACCATCTCGTGGCAACCGTAAACCGCCAAAGACTTAGACCTGCTCAATTGAAATCCAATGCCGTGGCGTTTCGCCAAGAACTTCATAGCATGATAGAAAGTAATCGTTTGTTTGCCGAGCGGTTGTCTGCAAACACGAAGTGCTGGATAATCCACTCCCGTCAAGAAGAGAGATGCGCACTTACACTTGGCTAAACTAGGTGGCCGAACTCCAGGGAAGAGAGCCGCCAAATTTTGCTGTGACAACCAACCTGTCCGCTTCACGAAAAGGACATACACCTCCAACAGGGACATCGCCTCATCTGACTGGACCCACTCCTTTAGGGGTTTAGGGTCCCTAAATTTCTCTGAACCTTTGAACCCTGTAGAAGGCGAAAAAGGTCCTTTGGAACCTTTCAAGAAACAGAACATCACGCCCTGGTGGCGTGTGTTTGCGATGACATGGTTTTAGTAGAAAACTTATTGAGTTATGCAGTATATTGCTTGAATGCAGGCTCACAGAAAGATGCGCTGCAAGACTAAAGAAGCAAACCTGCACCCTAAACCCCCCTAAACCCCTAAACCCTTAAACCCCCAAACCCCCCAAACCCCTAAACCCCCCTAAACCCTTAAAACCCCAAACCCCCCAGCCCCCAAACCCCTAATCCCCCAAACCCTAAACCCTAAAGGCTTTGGAGGATTTGGGATTTCGAGCTTCAGGGTTTCAGGTGAAGGCTTTCGGAGCGGCCCAAGGGATGAAAGCGACTCTACACTGAAAGCTAAGCTTAAGAGCTCAAAACCCTAACCGCCCTAACCCTAACCCTAAACCCCAAACCCGAAAAACCCTAAACCCGAATCCTCAACCCTAAACCCTAAACCCGAAAAACCTAAACCCTAATCCTCAACCCTAAACCCTCAAAGAACCCGAACAGCCCTCACTGCCAAAGCAAGAAGAGCCTTCTGCCTCAGGCCCCAAGCCCTCGACTCCCCCATGAAACCCCAATAGAAAAAAATCAAAAAAACACTTTTCCTAGAGCCTCCCTAAACTCAAAGGGGAGAAGGAGGGACCCTTCATGGGGACCCTATAATGGGCTATATAATGGGTATGTAATAGCTATATTAAGGGTATATACCTAGGGGTCCTTATTAAGGGTCCCTCCTTTTACCCTTGGATCCTAGAGCCTCCCTAAACCCTAAACCCTAAACCGATCGCTCGTCCTTGGGCCAGAACTCCACCACCAGCTTGGCCACCTCTCTCAACACCAGATGGGAGTTTCCGAAAATTAGGGGTACCTTTAAAGGGATCCTGAAAGGGATCCATAAGAGTTCTGTTAAGGGTTTAGCGTTTAGAGTTTCCGAAATTAGGGGTACCTTAGTTTGGGCTCCTTACAGTAGGGATCCTAATATTTAGGGTACTATATCAGGGCCCCCTACTTTCGGAAACTCCCAAACCGGCTTCCCACGATTTAGAGTTTTACCATGGACTTAGCAGCTGCCACAAACACCTCTGATGCCCACAAACCTGGTATCCTACGGCCAGTGAGAGGTCTTAGGAGTAGTGAGAGTTTTTGATGAATTGGAGGAGATGTTGTGTGGCACTTACGGTCTGTAAGCTCCTGTGCTGACTTGGGGCCCATATAAGGCTCACGGCTTGGGCTTTTCAAGAATAACCCACTTTTCAAGAATAAATCCAAATCACAAGGAGTTCTGAATCCCAAACCCTAAATCTTGAAATTTCTAAACCACAAGCCAAGCAAGAAATCCTGAACCCCGAAGCGTGAAACAACTCGCTCTAGTTATAAAGCCTTCTGACCCTGCCTTCAACACTCACCGAACCCCAAACCCTGGACCCCAACCCTGAGGGGCGGCGCTTTGCCTGGCTGGCCTGCGCCGAGGGTCTGCGGCCGTCACCGCCCTTGCAAGCGGGTTCACAGGGTTCCCGAGAAGATCACACCTTTCCATGATTGGCTGATGCTCTCCGCCCTTGTACTGTGAGGAAGTAGCAATAGTCAAACGTGTATGTATGTATGTATGCCTGCATGCATGTATGTTTATGTATGTACATGTTTGTATGTGCATGTGTGTGTGTGTGTGTGCACGTGTGCATGTGTGTCGATGTGTCTGTCTGTCTGTCTGTCTGTCTGTCTGTCTGTCTGTCTGTCTCTGCCAATAGGCAGGAGGTAGGTACGTAGGTAGGTATGTCGGTCTGTATGTAGGTATTTTCAGTCGAGCGCAGGAGGGTTCCCAGCAGGCTTGTGAGAATGCACAAGCACGAGTAGAGGTACACTAGGACAGTGAGACAAGTTCAGCAGTCATTGAGGATACATTATCTTCAAGATATTTAGCGCTGCAATAAGTATACAGAAATGGAAAAGTTTGCACCACACTTCCCAAGCAGCAATGACGACATTACCGCGAGGAATACCTCGAGAAGCCGATGGCCTTTGGGATAGCTGCTGATGTATCACTTACATGTTATGCAGGATACACAGATAGATAGATGTATATGCATGCATGCATGCATGCATGTATGTATGCATATATACAAACTGGACATACATACATACATACCTACGTATCTATATTATATATAAATATATACATAGATAGATAGATATGTATGTACGTATGCATATGTATATATGGTACCTCACCATGGGCCCACCAATTTGCTTTTCGGGAGCATCTTGTGGAAGGCTGTTGGCGATCCAAGAGGGTCCGAGAAGGTTGAATAGTTTGAGAACGACGCTGGATCACGTGTGTATATCTCAATGCATATGTAAACACACATATGTATGTACTTAAACATATATATATGTGTGTGTGTGTACATATGTGTGTGATACATATATGTATAATTATGCACGTGTAGTCTATTCTTTAATCGCTGTAGTCACACACACACACACAAACACCTAGCAGAGCGAGAGAGAGACACAGAGCGAAAGAGAGCCTCTGGTACAGTATCCCCCAGAAACCTATTCTAACGCGCCTATATTTTAGAACCTTACTTGAAACAGTAACGAACCCCTAAGCCCTTGAACTCTGAACCGCTAAACCCTGAAACTCTTGAGCCCGTTAATCCCTTAGAGCCCTTAAACCCTAAACCCCTGAAACGTTCAGAAGCTTAAACCCGGAAACCCTAAACCCTCAAGGGTTCCTTAAAGGGCTCCTCGATGCCTTGCTCTTAAAGGGGCCGATGAGGAGTCCTTAAGGGCTGAGTGTCCCATCCAAAAAAAGCTTAACCTTCTCAATTATCGTAGGATTATATCAACCCCAGAAGTTTGAGGTTACCTACTCAGCTCCAAAGATTCCCTTATGGAACCCCTATAGACCCCTTAACGGAAAGATTCCTGTCAAGGAGAGACTAAGGCTCCTTAACCCTAAAACCCTAAGACTACTAGGATTCCTTTTCACTTAGTAAGTAGGGTTCCTTTAAAGGGGTCCTAAAAGGGATCTATAGGGGTTCCTTAAAGGGATCTATAGGGTTTAGGGCTTCTTATTATAGGATTCCTTTTCAGGAACCCTTATACTTCCTTTTATTTAAGGAGCCCTTAGGTACTGCCCCCATACAGTAAGAGACTATAGTGCTACTATTAAGGTCCTTATGAATATTATTCAACTGTTACTGGTACGCAAAGGAGCCCTTTCAGGGACAGAAAGAGTCACTTTGGCCTCCTATGAAGCCTTAACCCTGAACCCTATAGATCCCTTAAAGGAACCCTTATAGCACCCTTTAAAGGAACCCTAGGAACCCTTTTGGCCTCCTATGAACTTCGGGGAGCCTGGGATCGATCCGCCGCTGGTCCGCGGCCTTTGCCCTCGCCTTTGCCCTCGGAGCAATCCATGAGGAGTTCTTGGAGGCCCTGTTGACTTAGTAACTAGGATTAGTAAGCTGGGTTATGGGGATTATAGTAGGGTTTCTAGGGGATACTAAGTAGACTTACTAAGTCAAAAAGGGCCTGCAATCCACGGGGAGTTTAAGGTTCCTTGAAAAGGTTCCTTAACTTTGAGGGGCTCCTTAGAGGGTTCTATAAGGGATCTAGTGGGACTTAAAGGATCATGGGACTTAGTAACCCAAGGTTTAGGGTTCCTTAACTTGAAGGGGCTCCTTAAACTTACCTTTGCTTAGTGGTGAATGGAAGAATGGTATAATTGTACCCCATTCCTCAAATACCTACTAACCAAAGGCAAACAAAGGGTTCTGTAAGGAATCGATAGGACTTAGACTTAGAGGATCATGGGACTTAGTAACCCAGGGTTTAGGGTTCCTTTAAGGGGATCCATAAGGGTTCCGCTAAAGGGGTCTAGATTGTTTAGGGGTTAGGGTCCAGGGTTTTTAACGGGAGTTTGGGAAAATTAGGGGTACCCCCTTTTGGTGTCCTTATAATCGGGATCCGACTGTTAGGGTACTACAAGTAGGCTTTGGGCCTAGAAGGGTTCAGGGGTGAGGGTTCAGGGTCCAGGGTTTGGGCAGTCCACGCCGGGCAGAAGGGGCTGTCGGAGTTAGAGTTGGCAGACCTGCTTTTGGAGTTCAGGGTTTAGGTTTCGAGGCTTGGGGTGAACGGTTTAGGGTTTAGGGTTCAAGGTTTAGGGTTAAGGGTTTCGGTTCAGGCAGGTTCCGGCACATCTACCATCTTGTCCTGAAGGTCACATGAAGGATCTCACGTACTGAAAACATCTGCAAGCTGCGGGTGTTCCAAATTGGGGTCCCTTATTTCTTCGTCACGGCCAGTGATGCCCACCCGAGGCCGGCACACCGGCAGCATTTCCGTTGTAGATGCTCACCTCCCAATGCATGGAGGGGGAGGCAGAGGGTTCAGAGTTTAAGGTAAGCACTGGTAAGCAGCATCTAAATGCTAGATCCACCGGTGCTCAAACATCACCCATGCTGCCAAATTGGCATTGCCTCAAGCCAATGCGCTCACCACAAGCGAACAAGCGCCCTCACATACTGTAGGTGCCTGCTTCGGAGCATTGTAGTACGGCGATGAGACCTTCACGTCCTGAGCGCACGAGTGGGACACACCACATCAGGAACATGCGTGCTCTCTAGGGGCCTTAATGACTTCCTGTAATTTTTGGAGGTTCCTTTTAAAAGAATAGTATAATGGGCCCCAAAACCCTACTCTAATCAATTACTAAGGCCCCTATATTATGATGCCTCAAACTCAGTGCTCTGCGGTTAGTCACGGCCAAGCCGCTATCTGTGCTCTCTTTGTCGCCAAACCTTAAACCTACTCCCCTACATCGTGCTCTCTTTGTAGCCCAACCCTACACCCTACACCCTAAACCCTACTTCCCTACATTCCCGTCCACAGAAAGCCAAGCCGCTACCTGTACTCTCTGTGTAGTTAAACCCTAAGCCCCACTCTCCTAAACCCCAAACCCTAAAGCCTAAATTAGTATATTGTAGTAGATCATACAAGAATAACTAATATCATATTACCTTATTCACAGATATGCTATATTGTAATAATTTATTGACTATACCATCAACTTCAACCTTAAGCCAAGGCTCGTAGTTGATGTAGTCCGGGGGATTCGGAGGTCCGGCGCCCCGGTTCTGCAGCCAGGTGCGAGCACGCTCCACCTGCATGTTTCGCAGCGGCAGGATGATGTCCTGTGCTCCAGGCAGGTTTGGGGGTGTAGTGTTTCGGGGGGTGGCGGGGATTAGGGTTCAGGGATTAGGGTTTAGGGGTTTAGGGTTTACGGGTTTAGGGGTTTACGGGTTTAGGGTTCAGGATTTAGGGGCTGAGGGTTCAGGGGACTAGGGTTTAGCGGGTTTAGGGGCTCCCCAAGAGCAGAGCACACTGAAACCTGGAAGCCCACAGTGTACTTCCCTAAACACCAGGGCCGACAGACCCTGAGCCCGTCCTTCGTCCCCGATGCCTCTGCCTTCACTTGCATCTTATAGGTTTCCAGTGGCAAGGGTGGAGAGGAGGTGCCCATCAGCTCGTAGTAGTACTCCCCGGCCTGCCACGCTTGTTGGTGCAGTCACTTCGGAATGAACGTGGTGATGTCCGACGCTCGGCTTGCAAAGGTAGGGCGAAAGTGAGACACCATTCGAACATGACTTTGGGTTTACGGCTTGGTTTCGAGTTTCGGGTTCAAGGAGGGTTCGGGCTGGCAAAAGCATTGATTCCCAGACCTTCCCAAATCACTTACTTGAGGAATATGCCTTAAATCATACGAGGATCCCTTATATGAATTAAGGTATGTTCCCTAGGATGTCCAGCAACCTAGGAACAAAAAGGGCTCCCTTTTTGGTGTTGGGTAACTTTATAAGGGACCTAGGACTACGAAAAGGGACGAAGGGTAGTACTGGGCATCCTAGAATCTAACCCTAAACCCTAAAACCCTAAACCCTAAAACCTAAACTCCAAAACCCTAAAACCTAAACCCCTAAACTTTAAACCCTCAAACCCTAAACCCTAAAACCTAAACCCCCAAACCCTAAAACCTAAACCCTAAAACCCTAAAACCCCTAAACCCTAAAACCCTAGCACCCTAAAACCCCAAAACCCTAAGACCCTAGCACCTTAAGGGAAGGTCTGGTTGGCCAGAGCTAACTACTATTTGCTTAAGAAACCCCCAAAAAATAGAAAATAAAAATCCCTATATTGCCCCCATAAGGAATAAATTTCTTATTTCTTGGGTGGTTCTTAAGCAAATAGTAGCTAAGACTGGCCCCCGGCCTTCGAGTCGAAGACTCCCAGAAGGGCCGTGAAGTGCGCCGGCGCCTCCGGAGAGAAGGGGCGTTCGCTTTTTTTCTGTTTTTTTTTGTTTTTTTTTTTTTTTTTGGGGGGGGGGGGGGGGGGGGGGGGGGGGGGGGGGGGGGGGCGGGGGGCTTTGGTTTAGGGCTTATAGGGAGAGAAGGTGCTTTTTTTTTTGGGGGGGGGCTTTGGTTTAGGGCTTATAGGGCTTATAGGGAGAGAAGGGGCTTTCGCTTTTTTTTTTGTTTTAAGCTCCAGGGTCTAGGGTTTATAGGCTTTACAGGGCTTATAGCACTCATAGGGATTAGGGTGTAGGGTCTAGGGTTTATAGGCTTTAGGGAGGGCTTAGGGTTCAGGGTTGAGGGTCTAGGGTTTGTAGGGTTCAGGGATTAGGGTTTAGGGTCTGGGGTTTATAGGGTTTAGGGTTTAGGGCCTAGGGCTTTTATAGGGTTTAGGGGAGGGTTTTTATAGGGTTTAGGGAGGGTTTTGGGTTGAGGGTTTGTGTTGTCGGGCTGCAAAGCCTTGGGGTTTTCTAGGGTCTTGACCCTTAGGGCTTGGGGTTATGTGGGGGGGTGTAGCACCACCCTTCAAGTTCAGGCTCACGCATACCAAGGATATCGTCTAGGGCTTAGGGTTGCAAAGTTCAGGGCGAGGGTTCGTGGTTTAGGGAAGCTTGGAGCTTTCAGGGTTTAGGGTTTAGGGTTTAGGGTTTTTTAGGGTTTGAGGGTTTGGGGTGCCTCGGCGGGTTCTGTAAAGCTCATTAGCCTGCGGGGTAGGATAATTTTGCTAGGGCGCTTATTTCTGTTCAGTACGGTCCGATGTGTTGATATAGGGATTGTATATACACTTAAACTTTAATGACTTCGCAACAAGCGGTTTTTGGAGCAGCACAGGCAGTGCGCGAAGTAGTGATAGTAGTGGTTGCCTCCAGCAGATTGTGCAACCTCTCACAGTGCCCAGATGCATGGCCAAAGGGTGGCATCAGCACCGAAGACCTTGCACTTGTCCGCATTGCATTCCAGCAAAGGACTCACAAACTCCGACTGCTGCACCGCATCACCGATACTTTCTTCTTTTGTTCTTGTCCGTCCTAGACTCCTGCAAAAGGCGTGCAACCTCCAGCTGCCCATTTTGAGCTGCAATGGACAACGGGGTGGCACCGTCCTGCATGGCCTTGTCCTTGTCTGCATTGGCCTCCAGCAAAAGTCGTGCAACCTCCAGCTGCCCCTCCTGAGCCGCAATGCACAACGGGGTTGCGCCATGCTGCGTGGCCTTGTCTTGGTCTGCATTGGCCTCCAGCAAAAGGCGGGCAACCTCCAGCCACCCCTGTTGAGCTGCAATGAGCAATGGGGTGGCGCCATTCTGCATGGCCTTGTCCTTGTCCGAATTGGCCTCCAGCAAAATGCGTGCGACCTCCAGCTGCCCGGTCTCAGCTGCAATGAACAACGGGGTAGCGCCATTCTGCTTGGCCTTGTCCTTGTCTGCATTGGCCTCCAGCAAAAGGCGGGCAACCTCCAGCTGCCCCTCTCGAGCTGCAATGAACAACGGGGTGGCGCCATCCTGCATGGAGTTGTCCTTGTCCGCATTGGCCTCCAGCAAAATGCGTGCGACCTCCAGCTGCCCGGTCTCAGCTGCAATGAACAACGGGGTGGCGCCATCCTGCGTGGCCTTGTCCTTGTCCGAATTGGCCTCCAGCAAAAGGCGGGCAACCTCCAGCTGCCCCTCCCGAGCTGCAATGAACAACGGGGTGGCGCCATCCTGCTTGGCCTTGTCTTGGTCTGCATTGGCCTCCAGCAAAATGCGTGCGACCTCCAGCTGCCCGGTCTCAGCTGCAATGAACAATGGGGTGGCGCCATCCTGCTTGGCCTTGTCCTTGTCTGCATTGCTCTCCAGCAAACGGCGCACAACCTCCGAATGCCCGAACTCAGCTGCAATGAACAACGGGGTAGCGCCATCCTGCGTGGCCTTGTCCTTGTCTGAATTGGCCTCCAGCAAAAGGCGTGCAACCTCCAGCTGCCCCTCATGAGCCGCAATGAACAACGAGGTGGCGCCCTGCTGCATGGCCTTGTCTTTGTCTGCATTGCTCTCCAACAAAAGGCGTGCAATCTCCAGCCGCCCCACCCGAGCCGCAACGGACAACGGGGTGGCGCCGCCCTGCGTGGCCTTGTCCCCGTCTGCATTGGCCTCCAGCAAAAGGCGTGCAACCTCCAGCTGCCCCTTCTCAGCTGCAACGAACAACGGGGTGGCGCCATTCTGCTTGGCCTTGTCCTTGTCTGCATTGGCCTCCAGCAAAAGGCGGGCAACCTCCAGCTGCCCCTCCCGAGCTGCAAAGAACAACGGGGTGGCGCCCTCCTGCATGGCCTTGTCCTTGTCTGCATTGGCCTCCAGCAAAAGTCGTGCAACCTCCAGCTGCCCCTTCTCAGCCGCAACGAACAACGGGGTGGCGCCATCCTGCATGGCCTTGTCCTTGTCTGCATTGCTCTCCAGCAAAAGGCGTGCAACCTCCAGCTGCCCCTCCAGAGCCGCAATGAACAACGGTGTTTTGCCATCCTGCATGGTCTTGTCCTTGTCCACATTGCTCTCCAGCAAAAGGCGTGCAACCTCCAGCTGCCCCTCCTGAGCCGCAATGAACAACGGGGTGGCGCCATCCTGCGTGGCCTTGTCCTTGTCTGCATTGGCCTCCAGCAAAATGCGTGCGACCTCCAGCTGCCCGGTCTCAGCTGCAATGAACAACGGGGTGGCGCCATCCTGCTTGGCCTTGTCCTTGTCTGCATTGGCCTCCAGCAAAAGGCGTGCAACCTCCAGCTGCCCCTCCTGAGCCGCAATGAACAACGGGGTGGCGCCATCCTGCATGGCCTTGTCTTTGTCTGCATTGGCCTCCAGCAAAAGGCGTGCAATCTCCAGCCGCCCCACCTGAGCCGCAATGAACAACGGGGTGGCGCCATTCTGCTTGGCCTTGTCCTTGTCTGCATTGGCCTCCAGCAAAAGGCGGGCAACCTCCAGCTGCCCCTCCCGAGCTGCAAAGAACAACGGGGTGGCGCCCTCCTGCATGGCCTTGTCCTTGTCTGCATTGGCCTCCAGCAAAAGGCGTGCAACCTCCAGCTGCCCCTCCTGAGCCGCAATGAACAACGGGGTGGCGCCGCCATGCTTGGCCTTGTCTTTGTCTGCATTGCCACCTGAGCCGCAATGAACAACGGGGTGGCGCCGCCATGCTTGGCCTTGTCCTTGTCTGCATTGCTCTCAAGCAAAAGGCGCGCAACCTCCAAGTGCCCGCACTCAGATGCAACGTACAAAGCGGTGACGCCATCATCCGCGGCCTTGTCTTGGTCCGCGTCGGCCTCCAGCAAAAGGCGTACAACCTCTGTTTGGCCGTGCTCGGACGCCTCGAACAGAGGAGCCGGATCGCCCAAATCTGGGTCTTGCGGCCTTTGTAGAAAAGTCTCCACTTCTGCTGACAGGCCAATTCTAGCAGCATCCCGAAGTGCTGTCACTTGAGCGTCCGACGCTGGGCAGAAGCTTTGAAGAACGACCTGAGCTTCGCCAGGTCTCAGGGTGCCATCGTCATCTAGAACCCCGTGGTCATCCTGCAATACCAGCCTTTGTCTGAATCTTGACACACCACAAATTCTGTGCAAGTGTTGCTTCAGTGCCCGGACGGGATGCATGCCGGCAGGCTGCATCTCGAGAAAGCTGGCCAAGTCAAGTGCAACGAGTTCTTCAGCCGACACGGTCTGAATCCGCAGCATGGCAGGTGCTAAGCCGAAGAGAGGTGGAATCCTAGGAACAAGCTTCGCTACATGTGCTCGGCTCTTCAAACAAAACAGGCTTGGGCTGTTGATCTGCGTCCTGCGTCCATAGATGTTGTGCCGTAGATTTTGTAGTCAGGGGTTGAGAATGTTTTTGAGGACCTTTTTCCAGCTGCAGTACAGTTGAGAGTTTAGGGGTCAAGGCTTAGGGTCGATGGTTTAGGGCTTAGGGCTTTAAGGCTGAAGCTGAGAAGGTTAAAGGTTTAGGATTTGGGGTTTGGGGTGAGGGGCTGCGACGGCCAACAACTACAAAGACGAACACCACCTCTACCTCTCCGTTGCTCATGAGCCCTACACTTCAATGACTAAACCCCAAGCCCCAAGCACTAAACAACTAAACCCTAAAACAAGTCCCTACACCCCAAGCCCTAAACGCTAATTTCTACTTTCAGGCCTCGAAAACCTTAAATCCTACAGCCACTAGAACCCTACTATAGGGCCTTCATAACTAGAATAGTGTTTTTAGGGGCCCATTATACTATTATAATAATGAGGAACCCCCAAAAACAGAAAAGGTAACTAATAAGGCCCCTATAGTACAGTACCCCTTAAACCCTAAACCCTAAACCCTACACCCCTAAACCCCTAAACCCCTAAACCCTAAACCCTAGACCCTACCGCTTAGCTACCAGGCCTCAAAGGGCAAGAAGGACACGGTCAACTTGCCAGTCGCTCCAGCTTTTACCCGGCAACGGGTCGAGCCTCGCTTTTCCTACCCGAGACCGGGATTCGAGTCTTAGAATCGAGGATGGGGAAAGTCTTGCTTCCAATTCTAGGGCTAGGGGTTCCGATTCATATATTATAGATTCTTGTAGTAGCCCTTGTAGTAACCCTTACAGTAACCCTTATGGTTCCGATTCATATATGATCAGGCATACGACGTGGAGGAAGTCTGGAATCCATCGTCCCCGGAACGAAAGCCGTCCGGGTGCGAAAAAAAAAACGCAGCCCAAAACTCTGACCCATGATCTTTGGTTTGGGGTCTGGGGGCTTAGGGTTTAGGGGTTTCGGGTTTAGGGGTTTAGGGTTTCGGGGTTTAGGGTTTAGGGGTTTAGGGGTTGGTGGTTTAGGGGTTAGGGTTTAGGGATTTAGGGTTTAGGGTTTTGTCCTTCATTCGACTTGGCTTCGGCCTCTAGGAAGAACATAGGAGAGTCTTTTCTCGCAGTCTCTGTTACAGCGCATCCGAGAAGGGAACCTCAGCTTCAAAAACCACCCACATGGGGGTTTCCGAAAATAGGGGGCCCTAATATAGTAGGATCCTTATTATAAGGAGCCCAGAATAAGGTATCCCTCATTTTCGGAAACTTCCACATGGTTTGGGAGACCTCCTCTGCAGCGTCTGAGGACTAGAAGAGCCCTTTAAAAGGAAAAGTGCCCCAAACCGGCCCTGAACCCAAACCTTTTCTAATAGTGGGACCCCTGTTTACCTTAAAATACCTGCAAGACCCTACAAGACCCAAAAACCCGTATCGAACCTCGATAACTAAGCAGTGATTTTGGGGGTTCCCGCGGCTCTTTAGCTCTTATTTAATAGGGATTATCATGACCCCTGGCTCCTTAGCTCCCATAATATCAATGGTTAGATAAGCTCCTTGCGAAGCTCGACAAACACCCGCGCAAAGCTTCCCCGGGTCTGGCTAGAGGTTTCGGGGTTAGGGTTTAGGGGTTTAGGGTTGAGGGGTTTAGGGTTTAGGGCTCTAGGCTTTAGGGCTTTTGGGTTTAGGGCTTCAGGGTTTAGGGTGAAGCTCTTTTAACCGGCATAGAAGCGCTGCAAGCCCCTGAAAACCCGACAGAAATCCCTTGCAAAAGACACCAACCCCCACCCCCTCCAAAAAAAAAAAAACTTTAGCCGGGGTGCACAGGTAGAGGCCCTAAACCCTAAACCCTAAACCTCAAAGGGCGTTTGCCGAGGGGCTCAAATAAAAGGCTTCCATGCCCTCACATCGCTTCGAAGGAACCTGAGAAGTCCCAACAGCTTCGGTGACATCGGAGGCTTGATGTAGGCCATGAGTACTATGGTTACAATAAGGAATCCCCAAAATAGTATAGGTAGTTATTAAGGCCCCCAGAGTAATGTATAGCATAATATAGTTGTCTTAGAGAGTACGAAGGAATACTGCTGGCAATATCTCAAGCTCCTGTATGATACAGGTTTCGTTTGCAGGAATCAAGCAATCCGTATCGGGGCGGTACGCTCTAAGGACCTAAGGAGGCAACAAGGTTCGAAGATTGAGGGTAGTCAAGGGATCAGCAGACGTAAAGAAAGTTACTTAAACGTATGCCTTCAAATGCTATGACAGGCAAAAGTCAAGTATGCCTATCCTACATACCAAGTTCCCTGATCCTTCGAACAGGACTCAGGACCCTCTAAAACCTCCACATCAGTCCTCAGACGAAGCGTATGAAAGCCGTGAAACCCTTGCAGAACCCTCTGGAAACCCTTGTAAATCCCGTAAAAATCTCCTATGCAAGCGCACCAAAACCTTAAAGATCCCTTGTCAAGCCCGCAAAAGAACCCTTTGCAACGCTGAAAGAACCCAGAAGTACCTTCTGGAACCCGGCCACAATCCTTCCAGAACCCTCATACGCAAACCTTAAACCCTACACCCTACAGGGCCCTGAACCCTACATCCTAAAGTGGGCTTTGCTAGGGAAATAGACTGAAGTTACCATGGTCAGAAAACCCTAAGTTGCGATAGATCTCTATAATGGTAACTTAAACTCAGCTCCATTAACCTAGTTCATGGTTGGGATAGGATTATAAATTTAAACTTTCATTCCTTATTGGGTTTAAGTACCCATAAAAATGTAAAAATGTTACCCAACTATGACAAAGTAACAAGAACCCAGTTAAACCCCAAAGTGCCGAAGTCTGAGCTCTTCGCCGGATTCTTCTCTGCATCACAGACGGTGCTCTCTCGGAGGGCCACAGTGAACTCCGCGTCCTCCAGGGAGGTCCGGCGCCCTGAGGCGTTAGATGGAGGATCATGGGACTTAGCAAGTAAGGTTATAAGCGCTTTAAATGGGTTTATAAGTATAGTTACCTCATTTATAACCCCACTTACTAAGTCCCATGGTCCTTTAAGCACGGCCCTTTCAACGCTCCACTCTTTTCTCTACTTAAAGGATCATGGGACTTAGTAAGTCGGGTTAGAAATAGGGTAACTATACTTAGAACTACTTATAACCCCAATTAAGGTACTTCTAACCTTACGTACTAAGTCCCATGATCCTCCAAGTAGACCCTAAACCCTAAACCCTATAGATCCCTTTTCAGGAACCCTATAGATCCCTTGAAGGAGCCCTTTTAAGGATCCCTTACTTCCTAAGTCCCATGATCCTCCAAGTGAGGCTTTACAGCCGTTTCAAGGCTCCACTCTATACTCGAGGGGCCTTAGTGGGTTTGAAGGGTTCCTTTTAAGGGGTTTAGGGTTTAGGGTTTTTTTTTTTTTGAACACCTTTTTCCATACTGCAGTACAGCATAGAGAGCCCTTTTGGGCAGGTTGGTTCCGCTACTTTCAGCCCGATTCACTTCCCGACCTTCACGACTCCACTTGCGACCGACTTTGACCCTTTGGCTCACTTTCATCATCACCCTGTGCCCCTGTATCTTCACATCGTCCAGCAGGTTCAGCATCTGCACGTAGGCCACCCTCTTGCCCTTCCCCTTGAAGCACCAACGTCTCCGCATTCTCCACCTGGGTACATGAGAGAACCGCGTCCAGGAGTGTTTGTGCCCTCTGGGAGGCATCAGTCCCCATCCCATCCACCATCGCACCGGTAGACAGAGGCGGCACATCACCAGGGTCCCGCACAATGGGCCCGACACCACCAACTCCGAAGGACCCCTGGCCCGGCTCACCAGTGTCACCTTCTTCCGCTTCATCCAGGGCTCCAGCCTTCACTACCATCTGCGTCTCCAGCATGTCTAAGGTTGCCTCCCCAAAGCGGGTCTTCACCTCAGCACTACTGACCACTCCTTGAGACCACTGAGTTAACAGGTCCATGTACTCGCCAAACTCCAGAGGGATTTCGACTTCCCCCGACTGTCCAGGTGAAGCCCTGACCGTGGTGGCATCCTCGTCGTCCGACTCCATCTTGGTCTGCATAGTGAACACCACTTGCGACCCCGTAGAGGCCCAAGGCACCCTGACCGTCTGCGAGGTACCCGGCTGTCCTTCCCGCGGTCCCACTGTAACCTCAAGCATCATTCGGCGACGTTTCGCTCGAGCCCTGGGTCCATGCATCTCATCATAGAGCGCCCAGTCATCCCACGCCTGGTAGTTGTGGCTTTCTTCAACTCGCATGTGTTCTTCCACCGCCTTTTCCACACCCTTGTAGTACAGATCCTCCTCGTACTCGAACTTTGCCTGGGCCTCATCCATTGCCTTGGAATCACGGCGCTCTAGTTGCTGTTCATGCTCCCCCATCGCGACCAATGTAGGGCAGATAGTGGACTGCGACCTCGCTGAGCTAGACTGCGACCCAATGAGCACTGGTGTGTACGGGGCAGGGTCCGTAGAGGCACTGCCCCGTCTGCCTCGAAGCTTCAGTTGCGGGACCAGCTTCAGGAACCATGCCCACGTCCATGCATTCAGCTGCTCCTCCGAGGCCAGGAACCCTTCATGGACATGGCCCCTGCCTGCTTCAGCTATGGCCACACAGAGGGCATCAAGCTGGTCCGCCAGCTCCTTTTCCTCCAGTTTCGCCGCCACCCTCAACTGTGTCAGCTGCCTTCGCATGTTCAAGGCACGCAGCCTGGCAAGGCCCGGCGAGGGCCCTTCGAACTCTTTCTGCAAGTCCAGCAGGACCCCATAGGTCATGGTGACACCCTTCTGCACGAACACCACCTCCCCAAGTTGCAACAACCCTGTTTCGTCGTCCTCGTCACCCCGGCCCACAGCTCTTCTGTCTCCTCCGGTGTCGTCTTCGTCAAGGTCAATCTCAACCAAGGATGCCTGGTGCATGATTTGGCCCAGTTCGGTGAGAAGGGCACGGACCGTAGTGACCAGAGCAATGGTCATGATCATCTGCTGCTGGGTGGTGTAGTCCCGAAGTACCTCCACCATCCACTCTGCCCTGTTATCCGGGATCAGGGGTCCCCCAGCTCCGATAACCTCACGTCCTCGGGGAAGATCCGAAGTGCCAATTCCCAGCAGGTACCTCCAAATGTCCACTCCTGCATCCGAGTCACGAGGACCCGTCGGGAAGAACAACATCGTGGCATTGAAGTCGTCGAAGCGAGCTTCTCCTGAGCGGGTCCCTCCAGCACCAGGTCCATCCGAAACTCTAGCAGGCTCGGTGTGACCTCCAGTGCCACCAGCTCCATCACGTGAGCCCGATGCCGGCTCCGGTCGAGGTCGCCCCGCTGTTCTCCAGGGTGCAGATGCCAAGTTCGGATGCTCCCTTCTGTCCCCGCCAGCTGGGCCACACCGTCTGTTCGTCTCTTCTCGGTCTCGGGCACGGCCACGTTGGTGATCCCGATCCGCTGCATTCCTGGCGTTCGACCTGGATCTCCCACGGCCACGGTGTCGCTCTCCCCCTCGCCTCCCTCGCTCTCTTTCCATGAACCCCGCAGCATCGCCCTCCGACTCCAACACCTCCGCAGTCTCCCTTAGGTATATGGCATAGAGTGTTTCCTCTGCTTCCACAGCCCATCGCATGAAGTCCGCTGGCGAGGTATCCTCCGTTTCACCCTCACTGTTGGGAATCCCCGCTCCTAAAGTGTCACAGGGTCGGACAGCCCATCGCCGGTACTCAGCATCAGCCCTGGATTGGGCCAGGCGTCTCATCATCATAACAGCGATCCCGAGGGCTCGTTCTTCATCCCACCACTGCCAGAACTGCTCGATCAGGTCTTCCCAGCGCCGCACCGGTCTCGGTTCCATACCTGTTTGGAAGAGGGCCTCCTCATCCGGTTCCACTTCCCCTTCTCGGTTCTCATCCTCCTCTGTTGGTCGCCTTTTGTTCTGTGGGAGCAGGTCTTCTCTCCCCATTCGAACCAAATCCTCAGCCGATGACCACGTCCCATCCCTCCATACATGAGCAGCGTGGAAGATGCCGAACGGGTGCTCCGGGTCCAGTGAGCTCGCAGCCGGCGTAATCCGGGGTCGCCTCAGAGCACACTCCCTCGAGCACCTCTCCAGCTCCTGTGTGACTCTATGCACCCAGCTCTCCATGTCAACCGGGTACCGCCTGGCTCGCATCGGCAGGAGGCTCTCGTCGTCCAGGACAGACCCTAGCACCTCTTCCGCCAGGTCCGTGGGTGTCGAAAGCGACCTTCTCGCCAACCTGCCCTGTCCTTGATCCACCAGCTGGCGAAAGTCCGCAACAACATCTTCGACCCATTCCTCGCATAGCCTGTCCGGCCTTGGGTGGGCCCGTTTCACCGAGGTCGGTCGCGAAGCTTCCTGCATAAAGGCCACATCGTCAGTGGGGATCTCGTAGTGCATGTGCGCGGTCGTCCCAAAGGCCTCGTCCAGGTGGTTCAACACCCGCCAACCTGCTTCACAAAGTCGGGAATCGCCTTCTCGATCAGCATATTCCACAGGGGAATCCCTCTCCAGGGCCAGTGGCTTCAGTTGGCCGCCACTTGCCTCCCCAGCAACCTTAATCGCAACGTCGGGCTGAATCGTGTAATTCAGGATGTTCACGTGGTACTGCTCTCGCCCAACTCCTCCAGGGGTTCCCGGGTCAGGTCGGTCAGAATCAAGAAAATCAGGCAGTAGGTCTCGAGGTGGCTCTGGCACATGGCACTTCACCACAGCGAGTCCTACGGAAAGAAGCCACATCACGTGGCACATGAAAGTTCGTAAGTTCGAGAAGGGGCTCTGGTGAGCCCCACAGAATGCACAGCTACAAAGCAATGCTGAGCCGCGACTGCCATCAGGCTTCCCTTCATTCGCAGTCAACGACAGACAGAGAAAACAAATTACCCTCTCACTATCGCCAGTCTTGAAGTCTGGTTTGTCTGCCACTCGCCCACGGCAAATCCATGTTGTCAACCCACGTTTGTTCAAGCCCTCGCCAAGCTGTCCTGTTGTGTGCCACCATTCTCCACTCCCCCCGAGCTGCTGCATTCATGGCCCTCTCCATGTTTGCGAGTCTGGGGTAATGTCTTGGGTGTGTACGACCGCTCGTCGCCTTCTGAGTTTCCCACCATTCGAGGGTGCGAAAGGCATCCAAGTGGGCACTGATCGGCGGGAAATCCCGGAGCAGGCATCGAGATCGATGCCCTGCGTACCGCCACCATCGCCTCAGCCAGCTGGTCCCCCAACGCTCGACTCCACTGGCATGAAGTGCATACCTGGCCGCCCTGAAAGCCCTAACACGGAATTCCCCCATACTCTCCCCTATTCTCCTCGCCAATCGCATGGTCCACATGGTCAGTTGCAGCTGCATGGTGTTCAGCATCCCCATGGCAGGTTTCTCGGGTGGGAAAGAGGCAAGGCACCACATGGCAGCATTCCCAACCGCTGTTGCCAAGGTTTGCAGTCGTTTCCGAAGCCCTGTTTTGGAACGGAACACGTGGTGCATGCTCCAGAATTTGGACCTGGCCCTAGCCACCAACGGCGACACAAGCTCCGACATCGTCATCCCCACGCGCATGGGAAGGCCCATGACATCCACCTCCGAGGAGGCCTCCACCCGCGACCCTGCAATCCAGACGGCCCGTTGCCCTTTCCAGTGGGGAGAACAAAGAAGCTGGCACTTAGACCCATTGAGCTTGAGACCGAACTCCTGAAGGACCACCATTAGCTGCCTCACTTTCTGCTGTATGCCCTGCACCCCGGAAGACCATAGGAAGCCATCATCCATAAACAGCACATCGTGGTGTGGCATGCCCTCGAAGGCTGACGGCATCTTATCCCATCCGAACCTTTCGCCTGCCTCCTGGAAGCACACCTCAGCGATCATCGAGAAAAACCCTGGCGATTCGACCGCCCCCTGCTTTATCCCCTGTGTCATCTCCACCAGTGACGATCCCCACGGTGACTGCAGGAGTGCATGCCCGTCCTGAAGTAGAGCCCTCCAGCACCGGAGTTCTGCACAATCGCCCATGCGAGAACCCAGAGTTCTAAGCAGCTGCTCCCGATCAACCGTGTCAAAAGCCTTGGACACGTCCAGTTTCAGGAGGCACAACCCAACATGCCACTCTCTTTCAAGTTCCAGCAAACGCCAAACCGTAAAAAGGTAGTCCGCAGACTGTCTTCCCACGCCGGCACACTGGGAGTGGGTTCTCGCCGTCACATACTTCAGGGTTCGGTTAAGCAGGAGCCTCGAGAAGAGTTTCCCTACTGCACTATTCATCGAGATCGGCCTGAGGTGTTTAGCTTCCAGAGGTTCGAGGATCTTGGGCAGCAGGATCATGAGGGGAGTGTTCCAGTCATCTGGGATTTGCTGTGTAACCAGGGTTCTGTTCATGAACTCAAGTAGGTGTGTGAAACCACCCTCCACGTCCACCAAGGCCTGCAGCAATTCCGTTGATGTACCATCGACTCCAACCGATTTCCCCCGCTTCATCTGGGAGAGAGCATCCCTCAGTTCCTTCTCGCTGAACACCGTCACGTCACCCTCATAGACCCCTTGGTTCGGCTTCACACCCCTGCCCTGGTAGACCGCATGCAGGTGATCATGAACAACCGTGTGTGGATCCAACTCCTGTGCATCTGCGAATGAGTGCTGCCACCCTGCGTGTGTCTTCGGCTTGGCATCCTTGAAGGCTCCCCAGTCCCCTTGGCTAGCACGCTCGACCCGTTGGGATTCCCATACTTTTCGTGCATTCTTGCGAAGAGAGCGAACCGTACACCACGAAGCCTTCGTTCTCAGCAACCTAGCCCGAGCAACTGCCTCTTTGACGTCGGGGGGGTCCCTGTAGCCACGCCCCTGTGCTGGCTTGGTACACCGGCTTGCAAGCTGAACAAGGGTCGCCTGGTCCAGGTGCTTGATGAGATCAACCCCACCCTTCCACACCCGTGGTGCAGTAGGCGCTCTCCGTGCAGCCTCTCCCTTCGTAAGTTCAAGTTCACCCTGAAGAAGTTCGTGGTCGGTCCCGAGCACATGACACGAGTCTACATGAACAATCTCCCTCGCTCGTCTAACTCCCCTGGTCGCCATGTAGTCGATGATGCTCCCTCGTCGCCCCTCCTGTCTCGGCCTACTCGTGGGAGTTCTGAACTGAGCAGGATTGGGAGGAACCATCACCAGCCCTCGCGACTCCACTTGCCCAAGAGCCTCATTAGCTTTGCCATCCCGCCCCACTGCAAGGACCTCCCCGTCAAACTGGTTCCACACAATCGATGCATTCGCGTCAAACTGGCACACCACTGGTACCGAGCCCTTGGGAGTGCCTTCAAAGAAGTTCGTGACCTCACTCTCGTACTGTGCTTGGGTACACCCTGGGGTGAAATGAGCTGTTCCGCACCAAACCTGGTTCCCGTGCACGAGGTGCTTAAGCAAGACCCAACACCCTCTAGATCGAGCAACTCGTCTCACCACACACCACGAGTCCGTATTGAACGCGAGCCCTGCACCACGCCATGCACTCTCCGATCTGTGGGAGAGAATCTCCAGCGTCCCTTGTTTCTCCGAGGTCCAGCCAGCAGTCCCACGAGGCAGCTCCTGCAGGAGCACAATCGCATCCGGATCCAAGGCTCCTCGTGCACCTTCACACACTGCTTTGGCAAGGTCCGAAAGAGCGGCCCCTCCAACATTCCATCCATAGACTTGAACTTTGCAATCTGCCCTCGGCCCTTGAGCTTCGACCCTACAAGACTCTGTACAAGAAGAGGAAAAGGAAGGAGCAAGAAGTTCACAGGGTTCATCACGAGCCCCATGAGTGTGGCTTTGCCACCCAGCTCCAGCCGGCCCCTGCACCCTCACTCGTGGAAGGTTACATGAACCCTCATGCTTCACATTAAATTCTTGCGACTCAAGGCCAGCAAAGTGCCGAAGTGCCCCGAGTTCGTCTTCACACATCGGTCCTTCCATGCTAGGTCAGCGCTTACACGCATGAATCGCATCCCTCACCTGCTTAGCCGTCTTGTTGACAAGCTTCGAGACCTGGGACACATCAATCCAGTGCTTGTGGTCGGATTCCTCATCGACAAGGAGATGCTTCGCTGCGACTCCAGGGGGGTGGGGAAGCAAAGCACTTGCCAGCATAGACTGCGGCCCCCACACTGACCCAGTTTTGTACTCAAAGTCGAGCTGCCCAGTGGCCATCTCCTCATCAAAGTGCGCCACCACCCTTTTCACGTGCGAGGCATGGGCCGCGATCGCCCTCTCCTTGGGGGACTTGCTGAAGTTGCACCATAGCTTGGACCCACTCTTTGAGGAAACCTCGTGCCCTTGGAAGGCGGAAACAAACTTGAACATCCTCGCTCGCCTCCCTTGCTCCGTCTCCATGCCCCGCAGAGGCACTGACATCAAGGCAATGGATCGCCTCGGCCCTGTACAGAATGGAGCCTCGTCACAGTCCGCTTGCAGCCCCAACTTCATCAAGGCCTCCTTGAGCTCAGAAAGGATGTCCATCCGGCGGCTGTCCTTCGGCCACCCTCCAAAGACCAGTGTCGAACGCCGTCTCTCCGAGTCGTCCCCAAGATGCCGAGGCCCTGAGCCCTCCTTTACCATCTGCGTGAGCTCCCTCAGTGCAGTCTCCAGTTGCTCGACCTTGGATTCCAACGCCTCCGAGCGCCCCTGAGGCCCACCACTCCGTTTGCGGGGCTCGGCCATGTCATCATCCTCCTCGTCTACCGGAACCGGCACATCAGAGGCCTGCCCCCCTCCTAACTGGACCGCCGGCTTGCCACTCCCCGGCACCATGACAAAGCCCCGGATCGCACCGCGCGCCACCTCAGTAAGCCGGCCGATGAAGTTCAACTCCGCGTACTTCCGGTGGGGCTCCTGAACCCGCCAGCTCCGACAAGAGACACAGAAACGTCACACCGACGGGAAAGAGGATCGACGAGTAGAGCACGGCCAGAGCTTCAAGCGCGAGGCGGGGGGGACAACCCTTGAGCCACTTGAGCCAGGGTTTAGGGTTTAGGGTTTAGGTAATGGGTTTGAAGGGTTCCTTTTAAGGGGTCTATCAAGGGATCTATAGTTTAGGGGTTTAGGGTTTAGGGTTTGGGGTTCTATAGTGAGGGTTCCTATAAGGGCTGCAAAAAGGGGCGTGAATGATTGGAATAGGGCGCTGGGCTGCTTTATAGTATACTTATAGAAAGGAGCCCTAAGGTATACTACAGGTAATTATTGAGGCCCCTAGAGTATGTTTTTTCTGGCTCTATACAGCTTCTATAGAAGGCATATAAGGAACCCTTAAGGGAGTCCTCCAAGAACCCTTTAGAAGGCCCTCTACACCCCTACACAATCCCCCATCCGTGGAACGCTTGTAAAATCCCAGATGAAACCCTTTAGAATGGCGCCACAGACCCTCAACCCCAAAGCCACAAGGGTTCTACAAGGGGTCCGTACAGGAATCCCTTTCGAATGCCCTTTCTGCTGGACTTGTTGCCCAGGGTTTAAAGTTTAGGGCTTAGGGTTTAGGGTTTAGAGGGTTTAGGGTTTTAGGATATCAGGGTTTAGGGTTTAGGGTGTATGGTTCGTTATGGACTTTTGCCAGCGCGTCCTCGGAGAAGGGATTCTCCAACTCCACATCGACCTCACGGCTAAGGGTTCTGCGGAAACCCTAAACCTCTAATATACCCAGACCTTCCAAAATCCCTTAATCAAGGAAATACCTGAATTTATATTAGGGATACTATTATAATTTAAGGCATATTCCTCCTTAATTAAGGGATTTTGGAAAGTCTGGGTAGGGGCCTTAATAACTAGAATAGGGTCTGGTCATTATACTATAAGTATAACAAGGAACCCCCAAAATAGTATACTAGGATACCCAGTAACCTAAGAATAAAAAGGCCTCTCTTCTTGGTATTGGGTAACTTTAAAAGGAACCTAGGACTACAAAAAGGGAATAAGGGTACTACTGGGCATCCTAGGTATACTTGGAGGCCCTTTTGACTTAGTACGTCTACTTAGTATCCCCTAGAAACCCCATTAAAATCCCCATAACCCACCTTACTAACCCTACTTACTAAGTCAAAAGGGCATCCTAGTAGGTAATTATCCAGGCCCCTATATGGAGTCCCGGCTCCTGGGCTTTTTTCGGGTTTGTGGTTCGTTTGGTTTCAGGGTTCGGGCTTCAGGGTTTAGGGTTTAGGGTTTAGGGTTTAGGCTTCGGGCTTCGGGGTCTTGGGATAAGGGAGTTTTCGAGAATTAGGGGTACCCTACTTTGGGGTCCTTATAAGAAAGACCCGACTATTTAGTCCCCTATATTAGGGTCCCCTATTTTCCGAAACTCGCACAAAGGCTTCGGGGTTTAGGGGCAAACCAGTCTAGCCTTTCTTCTTCTCCGCATATGTATGATTCTTATTCCACGAAGTCTCACTGCGCTCATCACCCCTAGCACTCTCAAAGAAACCGCGTATAGTCCTGAGTATCAATCTGAGTTCTGATGGACGTCGCGCTTGCCGGTCTATTCCACTTTCCTCACTCAACTCTGGCTGGAAGTATTGCCATCTCATACATGTTGAGCATGTTTGTTTCGTCTTTGCGACTTGCACCGAAGAATAATACCGTATTACCACGTCGACATCACTAAATCCTAAACCACAAGCCCTGCATAGCCCTGCTCTGTTTCGTGGCTTCCTTGATCCGCAGCCGTGTACAGCTCGCGCCAAGGCACCGTGCCAACCTCGTACAGCACTGCAGACACGTTGATCGTCTTGCGGGGCTTCCGCCCGGTGCAGCGGCTCCTGACGCGCAGACAGGCGAAATTCGGTACAAACCCTAAACCCTAGGCTAGACCCTAAATCCCGAACTGATATAGATCCCTTATAGAAGCCTTATAGATCCTTTCGAAGATCCCTTAAACTGGCCCTTGACCCCGCCTCAACTTGAAAACCATTGCAGCGGCGTGGACATTTCCTTCTCGTTTGGACGTGAACATGATCTTGTCTTCCACAAGCCTCACAGCAGAAAGGACGGTTTGCAGGTTTGAGGGGTTGAGTGTTTAGGGTGTGGGGGGTAGGGCTTGTGGTTTGAGGGTGTCAGTCAGCGCAGCTTTTACCCTAAACCCTAAACCCTAACCCCTAAACCCTAAACCCTAAACCCCAAACCCAAAACCCTAAACCCTAAACCCTAACCTCCTCTGCGCCCCTTGCCTGGAGAAGCGACTGCAGTACTCCACCGGGTAAGAGAAGGTCTGCCTGCACCAAACAAGCAGGGGAGTTTCTGAAAATTAGGGGTACCTGATTTTGGAGGTTCCTTTAAAGGGATCCTGTAAGGATTCCTCAAAGGAATCTATAGGGGTTCTATAAAGGGTTTAGGGCTTAGAGCTTCCGAACACTAGGGGTACCTTATTTTGGGGGTCTTTATAAGACCCTACTATTTAGGGTACTATACTAGGGCCCCGAATTTCGGAAACTCCCACATGCTTTGGCTTTAGATTTTGGGGCCTTGGGGCTCAGGCGTGCGATCTCCCATGTCCCAAACTCCCTACTAAGAACTCGGATGCCCACTTGGAGGCCCTTTTGACTTAGTAAGGTTAGGGTTCCTTTAAAGGGGTTCCTAAAAGGGATCTATAGGGGTTCCTTAAAGGGATCTATAAGGTTTAGGCGGTTTAGGGTTTAGGGGTTACTTGGAGGCCCTTTTGACTTAGTAAGTAGGGTTAGTAAGGTGGGTTATGGGGATTATAATAGGGTTTCTGGGGGATACTAAGTAGACTTACTAAGTCAAAAGGGCCTCCAAGCAGTAACCTGGGAATAAACAGGGCTCCCTTTTTGGTATTGGGCAACTTTAGAAGGAACCTAGGATTACAAGAAGGGAATAATGGTAGTACTGGGCATCCTAGAGAAGGACTGGCTAAATCCCGCAGCCCGCCTTGGCTCCAGCTTGATGGTGTCCTCCTTGACGGCAAAATCATTACCGCTAGATCCCACGAGCTGCACGAGGTAGGTGATGGCCTGGTTTAGGGCTCCGTTTGTTTAGGGTTTAGGGTTCAGGGCTCTTTTTGCTTAGGGTTTAGGGTTCAGGGCTCTTCTTGCTTAGGGTTTAAGGGTTCAAGGCCCTTTTTGTTTAGGGTTTAGGGTTTAAGGCTTTTTTTGTTTAGGGTTTAGGGCTCTTTTGGTTTAGGGTTCAGGGCTTTTTTGTTTAGGGTTTAGGGCTCTTTTTTTTTTTTTTTGCTCTTCTTCTTCAGGTTCAGGGCTCCGGGGCTCCAAGGAGTGGGTTCCGAGCTTTCAGGAGCGCCCAGGGGTTCTACTTAAAGGATCATGGGACTTAGTAAGGTTAGGGTATCCTTTAAGGGATCCTTAAAGGGATCTATAGGGGTTCCTTAAAGGGATCGAAAGGGTTTAGGGTTTACTTAGAGGATCATGGGACTTAGTAAGTGGGGCTATAAATAAGGTAACTATACTTATAACTACTTTTAACCCCAAGTAAGGTACTTATAAACCTACTTACTAAGTCCCATGATCCTCCAAGTATGGTTTAGGGTTGAGGGTTGACGGTTGAGGGTTTAGGGTTGAGGCTTGAGGGTTTTGAGTTTAGGGTTGAGGCTTGAGGGTTTCGGGTTTTAAGGCTTAAGGGGTTGGGGGTTAGGGCTGAGGGTTGAGGAGCCTGCCAACATTCGCGCCTCCAAAAGGCAAAGGAGAAGCAGAGTTCGTTTAAGGGTTTCTATAAGGGCGTAGTACCTTAACAGCACTTGGGGGCCCTTTTGACTTAGTAAGTCTACTTAGTATCCCCTAGAAACCCTATTATAATCCCCATAACCCACCTTACTAACCCTACTTACTAAGTCAAAAGGGCCTCCAAGCAAGAATAGGGCTTTTTGGGGGGTACATGTTGATGGAGGCGCGGGTCTGATGTCTGCGAGTTCACCCGTGCATCTACTGCGAATGATTTCTACTGTCATATGGGAGTTTCCAAAAATCGGGGACCCTAGTATAGTACCCTAAATACTAGGATCCCTATATAAGGACCCCCAAAATATGGTAGCCTTAATTTTCGGAAACTCCCATATGAGGAGAGCTCATCATGATCCGTCGTGGTGTCGCACTCAGGCTTTCAACAGGCTACTGCGCAAGAGAGAATCGAAAGCGTGTCGTCATGAAGATAGAACAATGGTTTGCGACGTCTAGCTTCGAGGACATCCACAGCATGAATCTCAGCATGTGGCATTGAGGATTCGTCGTGCATGGTCTTCAGTGCCAAGAAGAGGCCGCGGCCCTTCCGGCGAGTTCTCCTGAGGCCCTGAACTCGAAATGGCTAGAAACGAGACCCTGAATTGCTAATCCGCCATGTCGGTTGCAAGACTGCGGCGGGTGCCTTCTTGGAAGGATTTGTAAGCTCGATGTTCTTCGTCATGTTCACCTCAGCGCTAGCTTTCTGTTTGGCCGAAAGGGGATAATAAAGGGAACTCCAAAAACTTGGAATATGGTTTCAGGGTAGGATACCCTATAATTTACCATAAAGGGTTTAGGATAATCATATTCCAACTTTCTGGCTTTTACTTTAAGGTCCTTGCAAAAGGAAGGCCACTGGTTAGTTCCGGGTTTTTGTGGCTTACTCTGAAGGTTCCTTTAGGGAATACTATGATACTTGAAGGACCATGGGACTTAGTAAGCGGCGTTATAAATAGGGCAACTACACTTATAACTACTTCTAACCCCAATTAAGGTACTTATAACCTGACTTACTAAGTCCCCTGATCCTCCAAGTAGGCCTTCAGGGTTATTATGACAAGGCTTAGTGCTCAGGGCTTACTATAGGGGTTACTACTTGGAGGATTATGGGACTTAGTAAGTAAGGTCATAAGTATCTTAATTGGGGTTATAAGTATAGTTACCCCTTGTTACAACCTCACTTACTAAGTCCCATGATCCTCCAGGTAGAAGGGCTCCTTATCTCCAACCCGGGTACTCCCAGCATCGTAGAGAAGACAATCGTTGTCTTCGGAACGTAGTTGGGCAGGTTCTGGAACAGGAACATGGCAAAGAGCAGCATGTCCTCTCAAGGGAGGGAACTTTGGGTTTAGGCTTCCAGCAAAGGCAAGAATCCTAAACCCAGCTCGTGCAGTTCGGGCATGTGGCAGTTGCAGAACAAACAGCAACCCTGTTATGGATCCTAAGCTACCAGGATCCTTATTGTATGTACCCCCAAAGAAATGAGGCACCCCCAATCTTTCAGAAACCTCCACGTAAAAATCTGTAACCCACAATACATGGCCCTACTTCGTGATCCCTCAAACTGTTGGACAAACTCTCATTCTCAGCACAGCCATGTGCAATCTCCTTCGCCTGTGGAGAAGCGATGTCTGAAACCTTCCATCACGGGGTTTAGGGTTTAGGGTTTTGGGGTAGGACATCAACTAGGATACCCAGTAACCTAAGAATAAAAAGGCCTCTCTTTTTGGTATTGGGTAACTTTATAAGGAACCTAGGACTACAACAAGGGAATAAGGGTACTACTGGGCATCCTAGTCAAGTGCTGTTGTTGTTACTACGATTGCTATTGCACGTATGATGCTTGTCAGGCTGCCTGTATGCTTCTTAATATGAGCGCGGCATAGTAAGGCACACCCTGAAGCCCCAACCGGCGAAAGGTGTGGCAAAAGCTGTGGGAACCTGGATGGGGAAAGCCAACCCGATCTCGGACAGGGCAGCAATGATGTGCATCGCCTCAGAGCGTTAAGGTCAGGGTCGGGTTTTCGTAGGGTCTTACAAGGGTCGCTGTAAGGATTTCTATCAACTGGGCTTTTAAGTAACCAGGGAGAAAAAAGTATAAACTTTTATTTCATAAGGGTTCCTTTAAGAAAAAAAGGATTAAAGTATGGTACTCCAAAGCCCAGTCAACTGTCAGGGAGGCATGCGACAATGGGGCCCCAAGGCTCAGGTGTTTCTTTGGGGGCTTGGCTTCATGGTTCGAGGTTTAGGATTCGGAGTGTTGAGACCCTGACTGAACCTTCTAGAACACAAGCACCAGATTCTATCAACCTCAAGAAGTAAAACAGACAAAAACACCTACATTTTTGGAACCTCAAGAAGTAAAAAGCTGCAAGCATCTTAATTGAACCTGGAAGCCGACAAGGGACGTAACCCCCAATAAACCCTGGTAAACTCAAAGCAAAAGCCATGGCGGGGCTGATGTTAAACTCTCTTCTCCAATAACCAGGCCCAAACCAAGTTCAAACTTTTTAAGCTAGACCAAATATATGAAGCCAAAGAGTTTAAAGTTCTCCAATAGGCTAAGTAAGTAAATGATAGACAAGACACGTTCTCCTCGTGGTGATCCAAGCTGGTGCATTGCGCCCGCATGTTCTGCACAGCCTGTCAGGTGAAAAGCCATGCAGAAGGAAAGGCAGCCCATCTCAGCGAAGGTCTCGGAGGTGAGGGTGTTCAAGTGGTAGGGTTGCAGGAGCCCCTGAACGGTAAACCCTTTAACGCCTTGAAAGGGAAAAAATCCGCACTTCCCTAAACTCTGAACTTTAAATGCTCAAAGTCCTAGGCGATCGAAACCCCCAAACCCTAAGCTCTCCTCACACCTCCATCTACAGGCCGGTCGGAGAGGTTGTAGGCACATGCTGCCTAGCACCTGCTACGTCAAGTCCAGTAGCCATGAAATCATAAGACATCATTTAGAAGGGGCCCCCACCCTGTAATAGTGGTATAATCGGAATATAATAGGGCCCTAATATAATCCTATAATCCTTATAGTGACTATTGCAGGGTGGGGGCAGCTTCTAACACATCATCATCATCATGACAATCACGGTAGCCATGTTGACAGGTGTTACACGAAAGCGTCTGGGGTGTGATTCAGCCTCACAGCCTAAACCCCAAGCCCGACACCCCAGAACGCCCGGACCCTTAACCTTAATGTCGAAACACAAAACAACCCACATACATAAATCCTAGCTCGAAGGTGAAAGAGAGAGATCCCGTAATGTAGAGGCCTCAATAGTTACCCATACTGTTTTGGGGGGGGGGTCCTTATCAGAATCATAGTTTAATGTTCCCCAAAACCCTATTCTACCTACTAAGGCCCCTATTATAGCACCCTGCTATGGATCTCTGTAAAGGAACCCATTTAAGGATCCCTCTAAAGGCCCCGGCAGTAACCTAAACCCTAAAGCCTAAACCCTAAGCCGGCCTGGCAGTGCGGGACGTGGCTTTGGATCACCACGGCCAAGACGATGGAATCCTCGAGGTCCGTGTCGAAGCAACAGACCTGACGTCATAGGGACCCTCACAGGGGTTTAGGGTTTAGGGTTCAAGGTTTAAACCCTAAACCCTAAACCCTAAACTCTAAACCGTTTAGGGTTTAGGGTCTAGGGTTTAGGGGATAGGGGATAGGGGGGGAAGGGTAGGGGGCCTTAATGCCCGTGATAAGGACCTGTTAAGTCATAGGGACCCTTAGAGAAGGAGGGGGGGGTTTAGGGTTTAGGGTTTAGGGGCCCCAATACCCATAATGCTGACCTAATAAGGCCTATTTACCCCTACCCCCCTAAGGGTCACTATGACGAGGGGGGGCAGGATTCCCAAAACGGCTGGGGTTAGGAATTCGGGTTTAGGGGTTACTATAAGGATTCCTGAAAAGGGTGGCTATAAGGATTCCTATACGGGCTGCCAGGATTCCTAGAAGCCTGTAATAACGGTCTCTATCATGGCTGCTTCAAGGGTTCCTGTGCGATTCATGTGGGGTTCCTATACTATAAAAGTTCCTGCAAGAGTTGCCATAAAGGTTCCTATGATGCTCTATCCTAATAATGTGGGGTTCCGCGTTCTGGGGCTATACTTATACTTACTTGTAGCCCTAATTAAGCTACTTATAACCTTACTGACTAAGTGACTAAGTCCCATGACCCTTTAAGTAGGTTTTTCAGGTTTGGGGCATAGCATAGGGCTTTCAGGGCTTCTGGCTTTCAGGCTCAGGGAGGCTTGGGGCTTACGGCTTTCAGGTTTAAGGCTTAGGGCAGGACGGTTTTAGGCTGAGGATTTTCGGTTTAGGGTTGAGGTTGCATGTTTCAGGCTTCATGTGCATGTCGGCGGCAGATGACGCACCTGAAGAGAAAAGCCAAGCATCTCTTCCGCTCTGCCAGAGACCCCAAGAATGTATGCCCCAACAGATCCTAAACTCCAGACGCTGAGCCTTTTAATGCCAAACCCTACAGCCTAAACTCTCAACTCTAAGCCCCACAAAGCCCTAGGGAGCCTTCCGTGGTGGATATCTGCCCTTGTTGGCGCGCCTTGGCTTCCGGGTGCGCCGCGTTAGGGCTTACGGCTTATTGTGCTGTTAGGGTTTAGAGCTCATTGTTTTAGGGCTTCTCAAAAGCAGGGTGTACTTGGAGGGTCGGGGGACTTAGTAACTAGGTAGTAAGTAGACTTATAAGTACCCTAAAAGGGACCCTAATTGGGGTTATGCTACTTATAAGTCCCTAGAATAACCAGTTACTAAGTCTCCCGACCCTCCAAGTATGGTTTCAGATACCCGGTTGCCGAAGGGCGTTGCCCATAGGCATGCTTGCGGGCTTTGGCCATCTCGACGTCTAGGAATCCAGGATTTGGTGGCTCATGGCTTAATATTAGGGCCTCCATACTCAGAATCGGGTTTTGGGGTACATTACACTATGATTCTAATAAGGAGCCCCAAAACAGTATAGGTACTTGTTGAGGCCCCTGGATTAGGGTATTTGGTGTTTTGGGGCTTAGGGGTGCAAGGCTTCAGGCCTCTTAGGCTTTAGCGCTTCGGTGGGACCTTGGGGGTTTCAGAATTTAGGGTTTAGGGTTTAGGAAAAATATGGGAGTTTCAGAAAACAGGGCCACCATGCACGCTCCGCTCGTCCACATGCCACCAGGGCGCCAGAAGTGGAAGTTCAACCAACGCAGGAGGATGCACTCAGCCATGCCTTGCTAGGCAAGGCTTGCGGGTTTCAGGTTAGGGATGTCTAGGATTTCGGATTAGGGTTTAGGGGTGTAGGGGTTTTGGGTTTAGGGTTTAGGCGACGAGGCTCTAGTATGACCAGCCTTGCTCGCATTGCTACTCCCTCTTGGCTATTGTCGTTAGCTCGTGGAGTATTCTTAGCCTCTGGATTTGGGAAGACCAGCACCATAGGTCAGCTGGGACTTAACAAAAGATCCTAAGCTTCTAAACCCTAAACCTTAAAACTCAAACTCGAAACGGCGTACATCTCCACCCAACCCCAACATATAGGCTCAGGATTTGGAGTTTAGGGTGTATTAATAGTAGACCCCAAGCCGTGAACCCAGGTTTAGGGTTTAGGGAGATAGACCCTGAACCCTAAACTATTGCTCTAAACCCTCTAGCCCGGTTGCTGTACACGTTGGAGTCTGCCAGGAACTTCGTGTCCAGGGCACCTTGGAACGAACTGGGGGTCGTCTAGACTTCACACAAATCACAACAACAATGATACTAATGATGACAATAGTAGCAGTGACAACGACACTCACGGAGATAATACTGTAGTCCCAGTCAGTTGTACTAAGTAACGAATTAATGATGGCAACAGCAATGGACATATTCGCAGGAGAAATCATAAGACGAAGAAGAGCACCCCGCTAAAATGACAAGGGTTTCTTGCTCTAGCTTGCTTGTTCGGCTGGGGTCGAGGCACTAGCCATCCCAAAACCTACACCCCGACCCCCAAATCAGACGAAACACCAAACGTTAACTTCCTAATCCCCACACTCGTAGTAAAACCTCTAAGAAGTCACACAGACTTGGCACAACTGACCCTGATGTCCACCCTCTGCCCTAAACCCTCCGCAAACCCCAAACCCTGAATCCTGAACCCTAAACCCTAAACACTGAACCCTAAACCCTGAACCCTGAACCCTAAACCCTAAACCCCAAACCATAAACCCTGAACCCTAAACCCTAAACCCCGAACCCTAAACTCTGAACCCTAAACCCTAAAACCGAAACCCTAAATCCTAAACCCTGAACTCTAAACCCTATACATCCCTTAAAGGAACCCTTATAATTATAGCACCCTTTAAAGGAACCCCAGGAACCCCAGTAGATCCCTTAAAGGGAGCCCAGGAACTCTGCAGCTCGGGGCAAGAGGGCTTCTTCTCGGGCTGCTCGGAGGTCAGGTCCTCCGCACCCACCTCATGGGGTGGTCCCTTTTGCGGGGGGAACTTCGCGGGTTCTGTGAGGGAGTTGGGGAATACTTAATTACGGAATCCCTAAACCCGAAACCCTAAACCCTAAACCCTAAGTATCCTAGGGGTTCCTTTAAGGGGGTCCCTTTTTAAGGGATCTAGAGGGTTCCTAGGCCTCCTTTAGATGGTGCTATAAGGGTTCCTTTAAGGGGGTCCCTTTTCAAGGATCTAGAGGGTTCCTGGGGTTCCTTTAAAGGGTGCTATAAGGGTTCCTTTAAGGGATCTATACGGTTTAGGGTTCAGGGTCGAGGGCTTAGGGCTTTTATAAGGTTTGGGGCTTCAGGGTTTCGTAAGGGTTTCTTTGATTGAAGAGTCTAGGATTTACAGTGTAGCTCAGGCGTTGGGCTTCAGGGCTTGGGGGCGCAGGGGCCTTCTTACGGATTTCAATCAGGGTTCCGTAGGTTCTAGCTAAGTCTAGGGTTTAGGTTTCGGCTAAAGAGAAAAGATCGTTTTTTTTAGGGTGTCGGTGTAGGGTCTGTTGAGGGTTTAGGGTTTCGGAGTTTAGGGGTTCAAGGTTTGTGTTTGGGTTGTAACGGTGAAGGCTTTCTCGGGTGTTGAGATTAGAGTTTTAGAGTTGGGCTTCGGGTGCAAAGCACTAAAAACTCCAAACCCTAAGCTCCCAACCCTCAACCCTAGTCAAACTCTAAACCCCAGAAAGAATTTCAATCCTAAACCCTAATCGAATCTAACCGTCAAGCACTAATCAAAGCGCTAAACACTCAGGGATATTAGAATCCCCTAACCCTGAGCCCTGTACATCCCCAATAGGTCCCTTACAGGAACCCCTAGGATATTCCGCAGTTAAGTATTCCTTAATTTTCTTATAGAACCCTCATAAAGTAAAAGCGAGACAGTTGGAATATGATTATCCTAAACCCTTTATGGTAAATTATAGGGTATATATCCTACCCTGAAACCATATTCCAACTTTCTGGAGTTCCCTTTAGATCCCTCCGCAAGCAGTGGGTATTCTGCGTTTTAAAGGGGTCTCAGAGGCCCGGGCGGGCGCCCCAACAGGGTGGTCCATCTCCGCCGTCATGCCGGGCAGCGTCTTGAAGGCCTTTCAGGGTTTAGGCTTAGGGCTTAGGGGTTTTCTTTGGGGGGTTCAGGGTTTAGGCCTGAACGTAGAGGACCCCAGGAAGTAGCAGCATTAATTTTGTGATTCTGGAATCTTCATTATTCCTCTTATATTCCTTGAATCACTGCAGGGATCTGTCGCAAAGCCAGATGTGCCTCATCAAACGCTTCTTCCTTAAATGAGACTGTAGCAGGGATCTTCACACAAGGTACAAAGGCATAGTGGAGTCTCTGACCAGAACCCATTAACCTTGTAACCAGGTGGAACGGCATTTCTTGTCGAATCCCTGAACCCCTGGCAAACTCCGATATATGTACATACATACATACATACATACATGCATTCATGCATATCACATACGTACAAAAATACGAACATGCGCATATATGTAACCGTCATGGCATTTCCTTCTCCAACCTTTGCGCCACTGCATGGGAGCTTCAGAAAATGGGGACCCTAGCATCAAAACACGGAATAAAAGAATCCTTATTATACACGCACGTGCATAAGATGGCCTTGTTTTGTGAAACTCCCACATCTCATGGTGCATTGGGCCTTGAGGTAGCTATGGTTATATAGTGCTACAATCAAGAAGAGGACGCCGAGCTAAATTTGAAGCTGTCAGACCCCTATGAAACTCCAGACAGGCTGATAGCAGAGCGCTAGAGGATCCTAAAAAAGAACAAACAAGGCAATGCAATGCTAGATATGGGTGGTTGCCAAAATTAGGGTCCCTTTTTTGGTACCCTAAATCATAGGTGCCGTACTATAATAGGTACTCAAAAAGGGACCCTAATTTTGACAACCACCCATATAAATCTAAACCCTAACCCAAAAACAAAACTTGACAGAAAACAGGATGTGTGGCTCACGTCGAGGTTAGGCCTTGCTCGTGATCCGGTTCAGGAGGAAGATCTTCACCGTCTGCAGGAGGCAGGTCATCCAAGCCTCCCGAGGAAGGATGGGGTTTGGGGTTTGGCGTAGGGTGCATGGATTTAGGGTTTCGCTTGGGGCATCAGGGTTTTGGGTTGAGGTTGTGGTTTAGCGTTGAGGGTGTAGGGTTTAGGGTCTGGTTTAGGGTATAGAATTTTTTTGAGCTCCTTTTTCCAACTGCAGTTATCCCTTGCTCGGAAGGCCCCATGGGCCAGGAGGGGGGGTATAGAGGTTTAGGGTTCGGGCCTTCTCGACAGTGAAACAAGTTTTTGTAACAGGACACTATGAGGATGTCGTGGGCTTAATATGGGGCCTTAGAAAACAAAATATGGTTTGTTTTCTTGGATGAGGCGGTGAGATTCTAGTCTGATTCTATGGGAACTTCCAATCAGAACCTGTAAGGCTGGAGGACTTTGATTCGAATGAAGTTCTGCGAAAAAGCCTAGCAGGAATAACCTTTCCCAATAGCTTCCCACGTGGGTAAACACTGGGGTGAGACTTCTTGTGCTTGTCGCGAGCGTACGAAGTCTTCCTGTCTGTTAGACCCAAACACCAAGCCGCTCAGCCCCACTCCCACCATAAACCCTAAACCGTTTCTGAAACTCAAGACCAAGCCCCTACACAATACTCCACCCCCTCGCCGCCCCAAAACCGCACTTTGAACCTCCATGCTCTTTGGGAAGAACATCTTGTCGACTTGCCTGACGAACACTGCGAAAGACGTAGCTTCAGGGTTTGCAGTGCAGGAATTAGCGGGTTCTCGATTAGCGGTTTAAAGATTTTGGGTTTAGGTTCATCGGCTTAAGGTTAAGGTTCAGGGTTAGAGGGCCAAGCAATGTTTTTTGCCGCAGTGCCTTCGCGTGATCCCGACGTTCAAGCTCTGCTGGTAGCGCAAGTAGTTCTCGTGCGACAGGAAGTGTTCCGGCCCTGGGCAGTCAGCAACCCTCAACATTAAACCCTGAACCCTAAACCCCGAACTCTCAACCCCAAACTCCGAACCCTCAACCCTAAACTCCGAACCCTAAACCCTAAACCCCAAACCCTAAACCCCGAACCCTCATCCTTCAACCCGAAACGCCAACCCCCCCGAAACCCGAAATCATGGCCACCTCACAGTTTCAGTCGCTGGGACCCGAGCGAACGGAAGCCAGCAAGGCCCCGTGCTGCTTCAAGAAGTTCAGGAGCACCTCCACACGGGCGTAGCGTTTAGGGTTTAAGGCTTTGGGTTTAGGGCTTAAGGGTTTAATCTTAGGGCTCCCAGGATTTAGGGGGTTTCTGTTTTGGGTCAGGAGCAGCTCCACACGGTGCAAAAGAAGGGTGGAGTTTAGGGTCCGGGGTTTAGGGTTTGGGGTTTTGGGTTTGGGCGCAGTGATGGGTGTAGGGTTTTGGGTTTTAGCCGTTTTTCTACCTTGCAGTGAAGGTCGGTAGAATCCATATTTCGTGGAAGGCACAGGCCCAAGGGTTTAGGGTTTAGGGCTATGGGTTCAGGGTTTAGGGTGTAATCTTGCGGGTAAAGCTCCCAGGATTTTGGGTTTGGCTTTTTTCTGTTCTAAGGGTGTCAGTTTTAGGGTTTAGGCTCTTTAATGGTTCAGAGTTTAGGATCTAGGTTGGGTAACCTCCGGTGCTCCTCCTGCAGTGGATAGAAACTTCAGAATGTAGGTGCCTTAATCGGTAGAATAGGGTTTTGGATGGTTTGGGGATCTATTATACTGTAACTATAAGTTATAATGACGAACCCCCAAAATAGTATTGGTAATTATGTAAGCCCCTATATTACAAGACTGCTGTTTCGAATGCCGCTGCGCATACCACCTTTTAATTTGTATACCGCGACGACTCGTACGACGATAACATGTCCTGATATGGCTATTGTTTGTTTACCACTATTCCCCTCTAAACCTCTGCTGTTGCAGTGAATTTGTTGGAACCCTACGCCCTAAACTTTAAACCCTCCGTCTTAAGCCTTCAACCCCATACCCTGAACCCTAAACCCCTGAACCCCTGAACCCTAAACCCTTAAACCCCAATCCCTTAAACCCTTAAACCCCAAACCCTTAGACCCTAAACCCTCAAACCCTAAACCCCTAACCCCGAAAACCCCCCCCAAAAAAACTCACCATCTCGGACCGCCCGCGCCTCGAACTGCTGCATGAGCTGCAGGATCTTTTGCATCTCGCGGCTCTTCTGCTTGGCACCTGGGCGTGGGGGTTTGGGGGTTTAGGAGTTTAGGGGTTAGGGGTTTAGGAGTTTAGGGGTGTAGGGTTAAGGTTTTAGGGTTTAGGGGTTTAGGAGTTTAGGGGTTTACTTGGAGGCCCTTTTGACTTAGTAAGTCTACTTAGTATCCCCTAGAAACCCTATTATGATCCCCATAACCCACCTTACTAACCCTACTTACTAAGTCAAAAGGGCCTCCAAGTAGGGGATTAGAAGCTGAGGGGTGCAAGAGTCTAAGGGTTTAAGGGTTTGGGGTTTGCAGGTTTACGGCGTTCGGGTTAGGATTGAGAGCAGCCGTGGTTTGAGGTGTCAGAAACTCTAAGCCACTGGGCTCCCTTTCAGAAGGTTCGGAAACCCAAGCCGCAGCAAGAAGCCAAGTATCCAAAAGGTTGAGCAAGAGTGTTGCGGACATGGTGGGTTTCGAGTTTGGACGCCCCCACCCGAAAGCCTGAATATAGGGGCCTAAATGATTTACCGATACTATGATTGTAGTATCATGTACCTAAAACCCTATTCTAATTGTTAAGGCCCTTATATTACTTAAAACCCTAAGCTGAAATAGGCTTCTACAATCCCGACATCTTGAACCCTCAGCCCTAACGCCGGGGCCTTGGAGATGGTATTGATTATTCCGGCTTACCCAGGCCTGCCAATACCCCAATACTAGTAGCTTAAAGTATCTCAAATTATGACAACTCAGTACAGATTACGAGGTACGTAGCCTTAATAAGTAGAATAGGGCTCGGGGGCCCATTATACTATATTCATAACAAGAAAACCCCAAATAGTAGTCTTGGTAATTGTTTAAGCCCTTACATTATAGAACCCTATTATCGATCCCTTATAGAACCCTTTAAGGATCCCATTCAGGCCTCTATATTACTCACTGAAGGGGGTGTTGGACTCTCTGTGTCATCACCCTCCCCCTGGATCGCCTCGGTCGTTGCCACGGAAGGAGGAGCCCGTGTTGTCCATCCGCTGGGGTGCCGGGGCAGCCGCCTTGTTGGGCACCTGAAAAGGAGAGCCCAATACCCCTTCATTGTGGGATAGACCTTCAATTTGATGTGAAACCTGTGATAAGTAAAGGTGTATTCCTTGATTAGAGGGCTTTTGCGTAATGATGATATGAAGCTGATGAGAACTTAGGGTATACTCCTCAATTGCGGACGGCCGTCCGCGGGAATCTGAGCTGTTAAAGGGCGTTTATGAGTGAGAAGATGTGAGAAGTAGCTTTTCCAGGCGGCTTTGCCCTAGGGTTTCGGTTACATGCTGTTCGCGTGCTCTTGTCCTCGTGGTAACGGGCTCAAGGTTTGGAGTTCAGTGTTTAGGCGAAGGATGCAGAATTCTTCAAAGCACCTTGTACTCCACACTACAAAACGCAAAAACAAAACGCTGTCAGGCTTGCGAGGGTTTAGGGCTCAAGGCCATCATCGACTTCTGGAGGGATTCAGAAAGGTTGTTGCACACTGCTCAACTGCTCTGGGACCCTCGCCATCTTGCCCGACAGGAACCTGGCACGAGCGCAGGGCTTTAGGCTTGAGGGTTTCGGGTGTAGGCGGCGATGCATGTACAATCACACGGATTCTTAGTATCAGATAGTTCCCCGTCGGGATCATGAGCAAAAGCACTGCTGGGCTGAGCTGCTGACTCGATCATTTCATACAAATGCCGGCCGTTGGAGTTCACCAAATCCTGGCGAGGGGTACGGCTTCTCAGCTGGCAGTCGAGATTCAAGAATCGGTTAATTAATGTGCGATGGCCTGCGGAAAGTGGTCCAGCTGATTCTTCAGAATGTTGCCTCACGCACCGCCGCTTGGGCTTCACTCCTATGGGCCGTAGCCGCTCAAGGTGGGGAACCCAGAGAGCCCAATACCCCTTAATTAAGGAATATGGCTTAAATTATAAGGGGCTTCATATTATGATTTAAGCTATATTCCTTAATTAAGGGGTATTGGGCTCTCTGGGAAGTGTTCAAAAACTCAAAAAAGGGGGGCTGTAGGGGTTCAGCGCATTCTGCAGAAGCCTGCAGGATTGCAAATATCACTCCTTAGCTTCGGGCTTCAGTGTCCAGAGAGCGCAATACCCCTTAATCAAGGAATATGCTAAATCATAATATGAAGCCCTATATAATTTAAGCCATATTCCGTAATTGAGGGGTATTGGGCTCTCTGGGTGTAGCACACCGACAGCGCGCCCCCAAAACCCTCTTCTAGCTCCTACGGCCCGTAAGGTAGGGTTTGGGGGTTCGGGTCGGGCCGAAACCCCAAACCCTAAGCCCTGCTTGGGTTTTAGGGAGGGGTTCATGGGACTTAGTAAGTAGGGTTATAAGTGCCTTAATTGGGGTTATAAGTACTTAGAAGTATAGCTACCCTTTTTTTATAGCCCTACTTACTAAGTCCCATGATCCTTTAAGTAGACCCTAAACCCTAAAGATCCCTTCAAGGAGCCCCTATAGATCCCTTTTAGGAGCCCTTTCTAGGCTTCAGCCGGGCTGCCGTTCAGCCATCGGACCAAGAAGTCCGCCTGGGACATGTCCTGATCTTACTTATCTAGGATACCCAGTAACCTAAGAATAAAAAGGCCTCTCTTTTTGGTACTGGGTAACTTTATAAGGAACCTAGGACTACAAAAAGGGAATAAGGGTATACTGAATTTAGAACCCTAGCAAAATTATAATTTTGGCTGCTTCTTAGGGATTATGATAAGCAAAAACTGAAAAATATCTCTAAGTACCCCTGAGTTACGGGTTCATATCGGGGCCTTGATAATCACCACCGGGCTCGGTGCGGTAAGGATTCATGTGGGTCGTTCTCAAAATTATGGTCCGTTTTTAGGTCCCTTAAGTATTAGGTGCCGTATTATTTAGGGTACCCAGAAAGGGACCCTAATTTTGACAACCACCCATATCGGGGCCTTCATAATCCATTCCGGGCTTGGTAAGGGCCCTTGTAGGGCTTTACTAGCTTTTCTAGGTTTTTGATGTGGGGACCTTAGTCGTCAGAAGACGGCTCCTTAAAAAAAAAGCCTAGAGGGATTTGCTCTGGGGCTTCAAATCCGGGCCTTGAGAGTCAAAGCAGGGTTTGGGGGTAACTGTAGCGCCACTACACCTGGACTTTCGTGTGACATGCTTGGTCTTGTTTTCGGTCAGAGTTTAGGGAACGATTCTTCACTGAGGATGAACGGCAGCAACTGCACCGAGTCTTCATAACCACAACAACTGCGGTGACACTGAACACGATCTCGATTTTGATGATGCCAAGACCGTTAAGACTGATAACATGCACACCAGAACAAGGAAAGGAACGCGATCCAGTGCCTTCGGCATGCAACCCTTCCAACGTTGAACTCAGCGCGCAACTAGTGCCCAAATAAAAGGCTTGGGGTAGGGTCGGGTAGGGTAGGAGTTCAGGATTTAGGGGCTTGGGTGTAGGGTTTAATGTTTGCCATTCTGTCCATCCGACATCCGGGCTCTTGTGCCCGAAGATGAGGTTCTGAACTGCTACTGTTGCACACTGGTGACCAGAAGAATCACGAGAGTAGAAACGATAACAACAAAGATTGACAACTGTTAAGGTTGTAACCATAATCATTATTTTCAGTCTCCCAGGTCATAGTGATACTCAGAGCAGTAGCAATGGCAATGACAATGGCCATAGCACTAACAACCGGAACAGGAAACAACAACACCGACAACCGCAACAGAGAGTAGTTATAAGCACAAACATATGACTTTCACAGCGCCCTTCTCTCTCACCACCATAATAGAAATTGCACGTACAGGTAGCACTTGCAACGGCTACGACGAAGGCACATGACAATGCTGTGTAGCAGTAGGAGGAGGTCCTGATTCCCGTAGCCGGCCACCGACTGATGTGAGACACTCCCCGTCTTGATGGAGGGTGCAGCACCCTGCTCTCCGTTGGAGTTGTCCTGCTTAGAGTTTCGGGTTCCGGGTTTATGGTTTAGGGTTTTCGGGCTCCGGGTTTAGGGTTTATGGTTTTGGGGTTCGGTTGCTTAGGGTTTAAGGTTTAGGGGCGTTTGAGATGAAACTGTGAGCTAACGGGCGGCGTCCTCCTTCTCCTGCAACATGACCTGAGAACACGCTAGCACCGGCACTTCAAGCACAACCTTGTAGCTTACTATTTGTAGTCGATTGAAAGTTCTTACAAAGACCACGGAAGAAACTGGGCTCGCTGCAGGCTCTCCCTCCAGGGTGTAGAAGTCGGTGTTGTTGTGCAGGTAGTGATGACCTTCCCAAATGTCGACCCTCCCTAAATGCCTAGGCCCTACATTCATACCCTCCAAGCCAACGCACGGCTAAACTGCACTCTGAGGGCACGACATGTCAGGATGCAGTTCTCGGTGGTCCCAGACACCGGCAGCACGTAAGAGCCTGTCGGCAGCTAAACCCATGCCTAAACCTTAAACTTTATATAAACCCTAAACCCAAAGCCGTGTGCTCCAAACCCTAAGCCCTGAAACTAAGCCCTAAATCGCTGCCCCCAATTGCCTGACTCGTTGTCCAGGAATTCAATCCTTGGGTCGCGCTTCCCAGTGTGGCTTCGGTATTCGGGCCCGGAGTACGCCTGTACTGCTTGAGGCTTAGATCTTAGGGATTCGAGATTTAGGGTGCAGGGCCTTTAAATTCCGGTTACGGGCTGATTTCTTGCGCGCTTAGGGATTCGAGGTTTTTAGTGCTAAGGGCCTTTAAAAGGGCTTAAGGCTTCGAGGTTTAGGGCTTAGGGCCTTTTGTGTTCAGGGTTGAAGAGCCCAGTTGTTGAGGGCTTCGCGTTTTTTGGGGCTCGGGTCACGCTGCCCCCTCCACTGGTAGCCGGGCAGGAAAGCAGGGAGCGGAAGCCAGGGCACTTGGCGCAGAAGGAAATCGGCTTATTCGACTGGAAGAAGATTTCCACCTCACACTGCAAAAGCTTCTCTGTGGGTGTGGGGATTAGGTTTAGGGTTTAGGCTTAAACTGGGGCCGCTGTAAAGGCCACGCACAAACAGACTCAGCTCAGAACGATGCCAGCGGCTCCGGGTAATGTAGAGCCCGAAATAACTCAACCCACTTCCCTTGTCAAGGATTAGAGCCAGGACCCTTCTACCCAAGGTTTCAAGCAAGTGGAGGTTGTTCGTGGCGGTGTACAAACCCTTAGCCTTCAACCATACGTAATTCCTCAAACACCGTCTTCGATCCTATAAGCCAATTAACACTATACTGAAAAATCCTTCTGTTCATGTGCCTTCTCGGGTACTAAACCTCAGCCTTGTGTTTAATGTAGGTGTTTTAGTTGCCATAACAGAGGGACAGTAGTGAACAAATGGGGGTTGGAGATAGATTAGACTACGATACATAGGCGTACAGGCACGAGATGGGGGGCCCACTAGTCGAAGCTTTGCAGACCCTCGATAATCCCACGGCAAGCCCAATAAAACACGAAAAAACAGTCAGTCACCTCCACAACCCTAAAGCCTAGACCCTAAACCCTAACCCCCAAACCCCTAAACCCGAAGCTTCCACAGTAGGTTGGCTCTCTTCGTCAGGCGGCGGGGATCTTCGGCTTTGTGATTCCAATCTGCTGCCCCTGCGCGAAAAGGGACCGAAGGAGCTGAGAGCTTCTGTGCGTAGGGGTTTAGGGCTCAGGGTTTACTGGGCTCTTGCCAAGGGACTCGGACTTAATCTGATCTGCCATGATAAGAGAAGCATAGCACTGACGATAGATTCCTGCTATGGCAACTTGAATTAAGCCCCTTAACAAGAACCCCGTTTAGGGTTTTGGGTCTTCGCTCAGGGCCTTCGTATTCAAGCGTTTTGGGCTTTAGCTTTGAATCTCAGGAGTTTAACTAACCCGTGGTTTGCTCCTTTTTAAAGGGATTATCATCATGCCTGGCTCCTTAGCTCCCATACTATCAATGGTTAGTTAAGGCCCTAAACCCTAAACCCCTAAACCCTAAACCCTAAACCGCTTTTAAGTCGCCCCTCTTCCTCCTGCGGTAACCAAGGGCCTTTCTACCTGAAGGTTCAGGGTCAAAGTTGTGGAGCTGGGGACATTAGGGCTTTTGTGTTTAAGGCTTTAAAGCTTTAGGGTTTAGGGGTTTAGGGTTTAGGGTTTAGGGTTTAGGTCTGGATCTGAGGAGTGCCGGGTTTTTTATTTAAGCCCCTTGTTCCAGGAGTGTCGAGCCCTCTGCCTTTGTCCAGAAGGTGACGGTGATAGTAGAAGTGATCAAACCCTACACCCTAAAAAGCCCTAAGTCCTGAACCCTAAACCCTAAAAGCCCCAAAATCAGACCGTGAGTAGCATTCGGCTGAATCCCATATGGGGATTCGGGATTGGAGGAGCTTCGGGTGCGGGGCTTCTGCAGGCGCCCAGGACCATCACCAACGCTTAGTGTTTCAGGCTTTAGGGCCGTAGGGTTGTGGGATTTAGGATTTAAGTTATGGGGCTTTGGGTTTAGGGCATAGCATATAGGACAAAGCATTGAGAGTTTTGGGCTTGGGATGTGGGGCTTCTGGCTCACCTTAACCCTGAATAACCTACCTTTTTCGGGCTCCTTCTTATGCTTTCCTTATATAAGTCCTTAAAAAGGTAGGTCCTTCAGGGTTAAGGCAGAGTATAAAAGGTGTCTCTGCAGTGGTCAAGGGCTGAAGCCTCCGGGAAGTTGATCGTCAGCGGGATGCGAATCTGATCGTTCGGCAACCTTCGCACATGTTATGGGAGGCCAAACGTAAGACTACTAAGATTCCTTTTCAGGAACCCTTATAGTTCCTTTTATTTAAGGAACCCTTTCAAGGACAAAAATGATGGGAGGCCAAAAGGGGGGTTCAAGATTCTTGGGGTAAGGATTCCTTAATGTGAACCCTATTATGGCAAGCTTCGGAAAGGCTTCGACGTTGCCGAGGCCTTTCTTGGCTTAGGGTTGAGGGTTTCAGGATTCAAGGTGCCTGGCTTCGGCCCGAAACCACAAACACTTAGAGCTTAGGTTTTAAGATAGGGGCCTTAATAATTAGAATAGGGCTTTGGGGCCCGTTATAGCATAATTCGAATAAGGTACCCCCAAAATAGTACTGGTAATTATTAAGGCCCCTATACTAAACCCCCATCGTATCCCCTATAGTCCTTGTAGACCCCTTTTAGAAGGAACCCACTGTTAGGGTCTACGGCCTTGGCTAAGGCCCAAGCCTCGGAGGAGGTGACTGCAGCTGGGCCACCGATACTTGACGTCGAGGCTCTCGTAGCCCTCGTTCACAATGTAGAACAAGCACCTGCACACGGGGTTTAGGGTCTTGATTGAATCCATGTTGACACGCCTTTTTGGGTTTAGGGTCTGGGGTCTAGGTTTTTGTTTGAAGCGTCTAGGGGTTTAGGGTTCGGGGTTTGGGGTCTGGGGTTTAGGGCTTGGTTGCTGCAGGGTCTTCTCCTCCCTATGCCCACCCCGTTCAAGCAAGGAATACTTCTTAACCTGCACCAGTGTTCTATGCAGGATCTGAGGGACAGTCGTCCAGTGAGGGTAAGTTGTAATAGGAGCAGTTTCATGATTCATGTCGTGGGCTGCTCTAGGCTACATCGTACCCTAAGCCCTAGCCAGCAGCCCTAGAGCCCTAGAGACCCGCCAAAATCCCGTCAACCAGAATCCCCTCCCCCACCCAACATCCCACCCTCACCACACTGAACCCCCGAGACCGCTTTGTCAGCCCCTCCCACAGAGAAAAGAGCTCCCAGAGAGCTCTGCGCCTTGACTTGATCCCCAGGGGCACGATCCTCGGGCTGAACGGCTTTTGGAGTTGAGTTTTTCGGCTTAGGATTCAGATGTCTGCATTGGTTGGGCATTTGGGGTCGGGTTTTTGAGGGCGCTGGTATGTCTTTATGAGCGGCTCCATATGAGGATTCTTCAAGGAGCTCGCATAAATTTGGATTCCCATACACTTAACCCTTGGCCCTTGACCCTAATTCAGGGTGCTCGAGATCTGGAATAGTTGGGGGTTAGACGCTCAAGGGCTTAGGGTTCAAGGCTTTGGGTTTAGGGTCTAACGTTTGGTGTTTAGGCGTTCGGGTTGGCGGCTCTGTGGCAATGGAAGCATTCTTGAAAGACCTCCAAAAGAGTGGAACAAGTCTAAGTGTTGAGCCCTACACTCAAACCCCAAACCGTAAGTTAACCTGTAACCCCGGCCCAAACCATTCAAGGAAAAAACCATCCTAAAGCCCTCTAACGCCGTATGAGTCCCTACTCCTGATCAAGGCACCCCTACAACGAAATCTGAAAACCCCAAACCCTATAAACCCTATAAGCCCGCTAAACCCGTAAAAAAAAAAAAACACGAAAACCCTATCAACCCCCTTTAAACTCTACACACCCCCAGAAACCCCGACACCCCAGCCAGGTCGCGGCAGGACGATCTCGCGGCGGTCGAAGGTCAGTTTGGGCACCGTGCCCTGGCCCTTCATCCGCAGGGAGAGGTAAGGCTTGCCTCGGCTTTAGGTGTCTAGGTAGTTTAGGGGCTTTGGTGGTTGAGGGATTTAGGGATTTAGGGTCTATTTGGAGAGGTAAGGCTTGCCTCGGCTTTGGGTTGAGAGTGTAGGGGTTTTGGGGGGGGGGGGGGGGGTCTTTAGGGCTTTAGGGGTTTTGTGGGTTTAGGAGTTTAGGTCTTTAGGTGATTTAGGGGTTTTGTGGGTTTACGGGTTTAGGTATGGTTTTGGTGGTTTAGGGACCCAAAACACGCAAAGCCTCTGTCCTGAAACCAACGCGACTCTACGAACATGGCTTTGTGTTCACGAGTTCCCGGAATCCCAAACTGCAATGCAGCTTGAGGCACTCTCATCCGCAGGCAAGGCCATGCTGGCATCAGCGGTCTTGCCTTGGTTCGTAGTTGCTCTCACTGACAATGGTCTGCTGTTCAGGTGGATGGCTGTTCTCCAGCAACATCATCACTTCTTTCTACCAACATGAGTCTGGTTCACACATTTTGCTGTCTGGTCTGACCACCATCGTTGAGAGTGGTCGACTCGAACTACTAACTACCACTGCTGCACTACAAAACCCACTACATCTAGTGCTCCTACTGCTTCTGCTACTGCTACTGTTGTTGCTACTGTTACTGCTACTGCCAATGCTACTGCTACTGCTACTGCCACTGCCACTACCACTACGACTGCGACTAAGACTACGACTACGACTACTGCTACCTCGACAACAACAACTACTACTACTACTCCTCCTGCTGCTGCTGCTCCTCCTCCTCCACCTCCTACTACTACTACTACTACTACTACTACTCCTACTACTACTACTACTACTACTACTACTACTACTACTACTACTACTACTACTACTACTGCTACTGCTACTGCTACTGCTACTGCTACTGCTACTGCTACCGATACTACTACGACGACTTTTACTGCTACTCTCACTACTCCCACTACTCCTACTACTAATCCCCCTCCTGCTGCTGCTCCTTCTCCTCCTACTACTCCGACTTCTGGTAGTCCTCCCTTGCTCGCGCTGCCGTCAGCAATAGCTCGTTGCGTACACGTCGCCTGCATCCCGAGGTGGCGAGATGTAGACGTTCATGTTCGCCTGATTCTTGCTTTTTGGATCATTATTATAATACGGCACCTAAAATTTCGGGTACCCAAAAATCAAAACTAGGGTCCCATTTTGGGTACCATAAAATAGTAGGTGCCGTATTATATTAGGGACCCAAAAAGGGGGCCATACTTCTGACAACCACCCAAAGATGGGCTTGCACGGCCGAGGCGGGGAACACACAAAGCATTGCAAGCAGAGGAGGTCCTAAACCGGGCAAGGGGCTCAGAGGAGGTTAGGGTTTAGGGTTTAGGGTTTAGGGTTCAGGGTTTAGGGTCTGGGGTTTAGGGTTTAGGGTGTAGGGGCAAGGTCGGGGGGTTTAGGTTTTGGAGAGTCGGGCCTAGGGTTAGGAGTTCACGCCTTGGGGTTTGGGGCGTAGGGCTCAGGATGTAGGACCACAGGGCGATCCGGCTTCCCCAACGGTCGCACCTTGTACTCCACCGGCTCGTTGGGCATGAATGCTGCTCGGACGAGGCAGTCCTGCAAAGTTAAGAAGGGGAATCTTAGTTGCTGAGTTCAGAATCCCCAAAAAATGTACATTATCAGTTTTTTGGTGGGTAATATTATCCCAACAAGTGTAAAGTGTATCCACCGAGCTACTAAGGATGATACGTATGAGTCGCCCGGCGGAGCTGGCTTGCATCTTTCCGGCATCCAACACACACTTTGACGTCTCTGCTTATGAGGACAGATCCCTAAACCCTAAACCCTAAACCCTAAACTGACCCCCAAACCCTTAACAGAGTGGCGAAGTGGAGGCGGCTGCGGCTCAGACTTGAACAGGCCCCCGCCCTGCCCACCTGCGCCGGATGCAAGATGCCACCGGGCGGATCGACCGTGAAAACCTCGCTGCGTCTTGCGGCTTGGGTCTTGGACTTTTAAAGGTTAACTGGGTTGGCCTTTAAACACCCTGAAAAATATTTACATATAGGGTCCCTTATAAACCCAAATAGGGAAAATAAAAACTGTCCCAAAATCCAACCTAGTCAAGGGCTTAGGTAACAGGATTTCGAGTGCAGGGTTTGGGGACCGGATCTAGGGTTCAAGGATCTGGGCTTAAGATTCAGGATTTCTGGTAGCCATCGTATACCGTACCCTGAATTGTAGGATCCTATTGTAAGGATCCCAAAATAAGATCCTATTATAAGGATCTTATTTTGGGATCCTATTATAAGGACCCCAAAATCCCAAAATAAGATCCTATTATAAGGACCCCAAAATCCCAAAATAAGATCCTATTATAAGGACCCCAAAATCCCAAAATAAGATCCTATTATAAGGACCCCAAAATCCCAAAGTAAGATCCTATTATAAGGACCCCAAAATCCCAAAGTAAGATCCTATTATAAGGACCCCAAAATAAGGTACCCTTGGACAGTCGCGGGTCCCCTGGAACCAGCGAAGCGCAGCTGCCGACTTCTACCGGGGCTCATGGGACTTAGCAAGTAAGGGCTTAGAGTTCCCTTTAAAGGGTACTATAGGGTTCTATAATAAGGGTTTAGGGTTTAGGGTCTACTTAAAATTATAATTAGGATAACCCCACTTAGGCGACTTATAACCCCGATTATAACCTACTTACTAAGTCCCATGATCCTCTAAGTACCGGGGCTCGGGCCCCCATGAACTTCTTCAGGGGCTCGGTGTCAATGCGCCACTCGATGGGGAAGTCATCTGGGCAGGGGATGTAGCTCAGCTGCCTATAGTTGAGAGGTGAATGTGCGTATGCATGTAAGGACGGACGGATGGACAGAGGGATAGATGGAGGGATGTGTGCAAGTACGCATACAGGCGTGCAGGCCTGCATGAGTTGGTACATGCAGATCTACTTGTACATACACCAAAGACAAAGACATAGAGATATGTATGGACGTTTACAGATAAAATATACAGATACATATACAGACATACTTGTAGATGTATATGTGCACGTGCATATACATGCACCATGCACATTTACAATGGTCTGCCTACGTATATGTATACATGGGCATCGTCGCTCTGGTCGTCGTCCGTGCAGCGGTAGCTGTAGCTGAAGCAAAACGGAGGGGGAGCCACTGTACTAAGTGCTGCTGGCAGATGGGCAGATGGTGATAGTAATGGAGGTGGCGGTGGTGGCGGTGGCGGTGACGGTGGCGGTGACGGTGGCGGCGGCGGTGGTCGTGGCGCAATCATCAACCTCATACTCGCTATTTCGCCAGTATGCTCGCACTGTTGCAGCAGCTGTGACAGAACATATAGACCCGCTCTCCTTACGAATTACTCCCACCCTGTCCAACACCCTTACATCTTGCCCGATCTAACCCCCTACCTCAAAACCCTAAACGCTCCCTCAAAGCAACCCCGAAGCTGTCATGGCGAGCTTGTCGTTCAGGTCTCAATTTTTAGGATTCACGATCTAGGGTTGTGGGTGTTATGTAGAGTTGAGGGCTTGGGGCATCGGGAAGCCTGCGTTGTGAAGAGCCAGTTCCAGAACTGACGCCACAGACTGGATGCCGGATGCCACCACCTCAAGGGGAAAGCTAATGCTGCGCTCGGCGTCGTACTATTTGTGGTCTATTTGATGACACTCCTCTTTCATAACAGCTCGCATCTGCCAACCTTGGTCTTGAAGTTCAGGTCCGTCGCGCTGAAGAGCATGCGCGGCCGCAAAGCTTCAGCATGGACAACCTGGACGAAAGTAGTAAAGTGAGCTCTCCCTTCCTGCCCGGCCCAACCCTGCCTGAACTTTCATGATGACCAACCAGACCTAAACCCTAAACACCCTAAACCCTAAAGTCAAAAACACAACCTAAAACCCTGACACCCTATATAACCGATTCGGCCTTGCGCAGACCTTCGCTCTTGCCACCTCCTGCAGCCATCACGGGGAACTCGAAGAAGTGCTGTCCTGGAGGCTTAGGGTTTAGGGGCTTGGGGTTTAGGGTCTGTTTAGGGGGCGTAGGTCAGAGAAGCAAATTAATACGCATGATGTCTACTACATGCATGCATCTCATAGTTGTGCACATAGCATGCATGACATCATCCGTCACCGTCATCATCATAATCATCATCAAGACTGTAGCATGTAATCAACATTATTTGCTGCGTATGTTTATGAGCTTTCTTGCTCGTGTCAAGTTACCGTTGTTGCTCTTGTTATGCTACTCTTACTGGTGCTGCAACATGTATGTAACTGTCGTATCATTACATTACAACGGATTTTGTGGACATGTCTGTGTACATATACATGTGTATGTGTGTGTATATATATATATGGATATGTATATATACATACACATATGTACATACATATATACATACATACATATATATATATACAGATATGTATATAGAGAGAGAGAGTGCGTGTGGGTGTGTGTGTGTGGGTGGGTGGGTGTGAATGTGTTTTCATGTGTGTAGGTATGCACCTACGTGTGTATGCATGTTTCTATGACTGTATTGTGTCTATATACTGTATGTATATCGGCTGAGGCACCGAGGTCGGTGGGCTTGTAGGTGAGCTGCATGTGCAGAGTGTAGTTCGGCTGCACCTCGCCACATCTGACCAGTTGGACGGGTACTGTGGAAGCCTTATTGTAGGAACCTGATTAAGAAACCTTGGACTACCATTTTTGGGGTTACTGTATAGGCCCAGGGTTCCTTGATCAGGTTCCTGCATTATTAATTACCAAACGTATTCCTCAGGGTTCCTGATTCTGTTTTAGAGTATAATCTACCCACAACCCTTTGCCGAAGTCTGACTATGAAGGCCGCTATGTTAGGATACTCTTCCCAGACCTTCCAAAATCCCTTAATTGAGGAATATACCTTAAATCATATTAGGGATCCTACTATAATTTAAGGTATATTCCTTAGTTAAGGGATTTTGGAAGGTAGGGCGCTTCTTGGAGGTCTTGTCTGAAGCACATCGGACGATGGTCTCTCACAGGTCTTCACAGCCGGCGACAGGGAAGAAAACTCCCAGACCCAAAACCCTGAGCCCTGAACCCCCCCCCAAAACTCCAAAATCCCGAAGCCTAAAGCCTCCTAAACCCTAAACCCTAAAGCCCAGAGCCTAAAGCCTCAACTCCAAAGGCAAAACCCTCTAAGATCGGCGCCGTGATCTTGTAGACCTGCGAATTCGCCTCCTCATCCTCGTCCTCCTGTGGAGGGCCCTCGGAATTTCGCGGGCTCTGCTGTGGCCGAGCCGCCCAAAGAAAGAAATCACCGTATGCGGTTTAGGGTTTAGGGATTAGGGTTTAAGGTGGAGAACAAAGTAATAGCAATCGCAACCGTAATGGTAACATCAAAAGTAACAACAGTCATAATCATTATCACTATCATAACAGTCGCAATACTGGCAATAGCAATTGTTGCCATAAACCTAAGCAGTATGAATAGTATCAAGAATCAACTAGAGCAGTAGAAGTTTTACAATAGCAACAGCAATGATAGCGGGAATGTTTCTACTCGCATGTTTGGCGCAGCCATAACCATCAACGAAACAGTTGCGATGAAGACGCCACACCTGCAAGCCTATGTATGGATGAGCTGCAACACACATGAGCAGAAACGAGCTCCTGAACTGTAAACCCCAAACCCAAAACCCGAATTCAGCCCGAAACCCTCAGCCTTAAACTCCAAAACCTAAACCCTAAACCCTTAACCCTAAACCCTAAACCTTAAACCCTCAAACCTAAGCCTTAAAACCTAAACCCTAAATCCGAGGCCTTGAACCCTGAACCCTGACTCTTCCGGCCACAGCACCATCTGCGTGGCGTTCTGAGAAGCTCCGAGGCCAGGCTTGGCTGTGAGCGCCGCAGAGGGAGCCGCTTGATTCTCGGTGACGCCACCGATGGCAAGCTGATACCTCAGGCTTAGGATTTAGGGTTTTAGGGTTCAGGGTTTAGGGATTTAGGGATTGGGCTTTTTTTTTGGAAGACCTGGCTCAGGGTTTAGGGTTTTAGGGTTTAGGGTTTGGGATTTAGGGATTGTGGTCCCAGGTTTAGGGCTTGGGGCTTAGGGTTTGGGATTTAAGGTTTGTGGTTCAGGGTGGCTTACGGTCTAGGGTTTGGGATTTAGGGTCTGTGCTTGGGGTTTGGGGTTTAGGGTTTGGGGTTTGGGATTTTGGGATTCCTTTCAGGGAACCTTTCATGATTTCTTACAGGGAGCTTTCAGAGTACCCCTTTCCGGATTCCCACAAAGGTTCCTCCAAGGATACCACGAAGGAACCTGATTAAGAAACCCTGGGCCTTTATTAGGGATCCTTATATGAATCCTACTATTTTGGGGTTATAGGCCCAGGGCTTCTTAATCAGGTTCCTACATTATACAGGTTCCCCATAAACCCGCAAAGACTCTAAACCGAAGCTCTGAACACCGAATCCACAGGGATTGCTGGGTCCAACAAAGCCTTCCTTGGCCGGGGCGCTGCTGAAGAGAGATGGGCTGGAGGGCGGCCGCGTCGTAGTCCGCATCATAGGCCTGAATCACGTCACATCTCCTCTCAGACCTTTGCCAAGCTACAGTGCCTATGCACATCTTTCGTAGCACTACGCTGCAACAAAGCCAGTGTGTCACAATGATGACATCCCCAAACCCCTCAGCGAGTCTGGCTCAAGTCCAGCCTATTCATGAACTGTAAGGCCCCTTGAGGGTTCCCGTAATGGTTCCCATACAGATATGGGAGCTTCCGAAAATAGGGGAACCTTAATATAGTACCCTAAATAGTAGGATCCTTATTAAAAGGATCCCAAAACAAGGTACCCCTAATTTTCGTAAACTCCTAAGCCCTAAACCCTAAACCCTAAACCCTAAAAAGGCTCCCCATCGACCCTAAAGTCTCTAAGCCGCAGGTGGGCGGATGTGGATTGCAGACACTCTGCGTTGAGATTTTGCACGTGGGTTTAGGGTTTAGGGTTTAGGGTTTAGGATTTAGGGTTTAGGGTTTAGGGTTTCTGCGCTGAGATTTTGCACACTCTGTGCGACTCTTCGACAGTAGCATCCTCCTCAAAAAAACATAACCTTTAAACTGCTATTGAACCAAACCCCAAAATCACAAACCTCATCACCAAAAACTCTAAGACTCACAAAATTATCTTCTGAACTTCTCCCCCCGCCAACCCGAGACCCTGAACCCGAAACCCTCAAACCCTGATGTCGCCTCGGGCCGCTCTTCACAGAGGGAGAGGCTGAACTCTGGGTACGGCTGCAGATTTACCTCGCAACAACGTTCTGCAAGGGGTTTTGGGTGTCGCGAGGGTTTAGAACTCATAGAAGGGGTCCGACAAGGTTGCTATAGGGTTTTATCTCATTCTTGCGTTTGCTTTTTGCATGGTGACTTTTCCAAACTTCGGGATGCGAAAATTACGGGTCCTTGACATCCGGATTGTCGATCTTGGGATCACTTTGTCTTCTTGAACTCCTACGTGAAACGCCAAAACTCCGAAACTCTAAACCCCTAAACCCTAAACTCCCAGATCCCTAAAACCTAAACTGCTAAACCCCCAACTTCTATGCTTTGCCGTGCAGACCCTGAGCGCAGGGCATACAGAGTTCCTTCCACCGCGGAGGAGTTCTTCAGGGAGATCGGCACCATGCCTGGAAGCATTGCGTGTTTGGGGTGTTCATATGGGGAACCTCATATCAGATCATAGTTACCTACACTATTTTGGTGGCTCCCCTACATATTTATAGTATTCTGGGCCCCAAAGCCCTATTCTAATTATTAAGGCCCCTGCATTAGGGTTCAGGGCCTGCTGGGAGTATCTGTGGAACTCGCCGCTAACCTTTATCAAAGTTGTCTACAAACTTTCCTATAAACTCTTAAGCCCTAAACCCTAAACATCCCTAAGCTAAACGCGTACATAAACCCTTAAACCTCCAAACCCCTTAAACTCCCAAACCCTAAACCTTAAACCCCATCAGGCCCCAGAGAGGTCTTTCACGGTCTTTCAACCAGCATCCAGTGAGAGCCCAATACTAAACCCTATAACCTATAGATCCCTTATAGATCCCTTAAAGGAACCCTAGGTATTCCTTCCTTAAAGGGTATTGGGCTCTCTGGTCAACCCGGCCTTGAGCCCCCAGGGTGAGCTGTCCGAACTCGATCTCGTCCTTCGCTCCGCGCGAACATGAAGTTTGACTGTTGACGAGGGTTTAGGGTTTAGGGTTTAGGGTTTAGCCATTACAGTCAAGCTTTTCGTATGAAGACCCCATGGGGAAGACCCTATGAAGGCCCCACAATAATACGGTCGATGACAGAAATCCCGCAATACTCACAATAAGGAATATACCAATATTCCCATAGGGTCCTTAAGGCCATGAAGGATTTATATCATCAACCGTAGTTAGGGGAAGGGGGGGGTTTCATATTTAGGATTTAGGGTTTAGGGTCTAGGGTTTAGGGTTCAGGGGTTAGGGTTTAGGGTTCTGCGAAGTTGAATCTTAATAAGGGTTCAAAGGGTGGCTTTTTCGACCTAGAGCCGTTCCAAGGATTCTAGACTGTCTTCTTGAAATTCATCTAAGGGTCCCTATATCCGTAAAGAAGGATACGACTCTATGGGCCCCTTGCTTCGGAAACATTAGGGCTTGAGCGTTTCGGGTTCGGTAGGGTATGTCTAGGGGCCTTTACACGTGTTCCTTTCCAGGGATTGCGGTTCAGGGTTTGGGGTTTGGGGTCGTTAGGGCACTTCGGGTACCTAGGGCACTCGCACACTCCGGCGTTCTCTCCCTCCTCTCCGCAAACCCGACCCGGCCCAGTAAAGGTACTTATAACCTTACCATGATCTTCCCTTATAGAGCCCTTGCCATATATATATATATATATATATATCCCTTTAAGGACCCCTTTTCAGGTAAGAGTCTTGAATTTAGGGTTTAAGGTTGAGGGTTTAGGGCCAAACCCAGGATTTTTCGCCTCGATGAACTCGATGTTCGGGTTCACGGCCGTGGCCATGATGGGCAGTCGGATAGGCTTGCCTCGCAGTCTCAGACATCAGGGACTCCAAGGCAGTTGAGGGTCTAGACTCTATATGGGAGTTTCCGAAAACAGGGGTTCCTCATTTTGGGGTCCTTATAATAAGGATCCTACTATTTAGGGTACTAGATTACTAGATTGGGGTCCCCTATTTCCGGAAACTCCCATATAGCGGGTCCCATGCACTCTAAAACTAATACTTGTATTTAGGGTTTAGGCCGTAGGGTTGTTGAGGGTCTGGTGGCTCCCGCGCACTCGAAGACTGGAGTTTAGAGTTTAGGGTACAGCGCTTAGCGTTTAGGGCCGACTGCGAGGCCTCAACCCGAAACCCAGCGCTTCAACAACCCGGAACTCCCAGACACACAACCTGCCTTTCAGTACCGTACACAGACTTATCAACGACACCCTAAACAAACTCCAACTCTTTTGGGATGCGCATGCCTCCACGCACATTCAGCGTCACGGCGCTCTCGAGCTGCATCGGCCTCAAGGGCCACGAAGGTTCAGGAGTTTGGCACGGGTGTGGGGTTTAGGGTTTAGGCGTTTGAGTTTCCAGTTTTTGGTGGGATAAGTGTGTAGTACAGTGTAGTATGGTGTTGCCGTTCATCATGCACGATGGAGATTCTTAGAGATCATCTCAAGGCCGGATGTGTCCGCTGTTCAATCTTCCCATGAGCTTTCGCGTTGCTGTCCTGCTCGGGAATCTTGCTATCATTCTTCATCGGGCTTCTGATCAAACCCCTCGGCTCTGAACTCTTGAAACCCAGAAAACCTCCGCAATCCCAAACCCTGAACCTCCTCTCAAGCCCCTTCTGCCCCTTTCAAACCCTCGCGCCTGTCGAGGAGTACGTGCACATCGATGAGCTCCGCCCGCCCTTCCGGGGACACGCGGCCCCGCATTGGCGAGATGCCGACTCCGTCCGGTACCTAGATCATGGTTGGGATAGGATTAAAAATGTACATTCTTATTCGGATTAAAGATGTACATTCTTATTCGGATTAAAAATGTACATTCTTATTCGGATTAAACGTGTGCATTCTTATTCCTTATTGGGTTTAAGTACCCATAAGCATGTAAAATGTTACCCAACTATGACAAAGGCACGCTGTCCACGTGGTAGACCGCCACGGTCTTGCCGCCTTAGAAGCCGATTTAGGGTTTAGGGTTTAGGGCTGCTTTAAAGGTTTCCATAAGGGTTCCTTTAAAGAAATCTATAGGGTTTTAGGGTTTTAGGGTTCAGGGGGTCAGGGTTTAGGGCTGAGGGTAAGCTCCAAGGTATGCCTGTTGAATACGGCTTTGCTGGGCTTATGCGGTTTAGGATTTGGAGGTAGGGATTATGGGCTTAAGGGTTCTTTACTCGCAGCAAAAGCCGTTGTCAGTATCAGTTTTTACGGTAGCAGTCAGTCATGATCATAGCCAAGCACAGAGTGTTGCACGAATGGCGGTGACAACGGCTCCCTGAGGCCAGAACTGCATTAACCCCAAGCCCCTAAACCCTACACCTTGAACTGGAAAAGCCTCCAAAGCCCGAAAAAACCCACAGACTGCGACGCAGCTGCCATTGACGATGGGAATCGATCGATCGGCTGGCAGCCCCACTGCCAGCACTCCGAGGTCCAACCTTTACGAGGTGGGCTCACAGGGCTTAGGGCTTAGGGTTTTAGGACTCGGAGTGCACTGTGACACTGAGTATGGCCTGAAACCCCAAACCCTAAACCCCAAAACCCTAAATCCTAAAGGCTCTATGGCGTAGGGTTGCTGGCGTTGGAGGTTGGGCTGCGAAGCGTTTTGGCTTTTCTTTCTTGAGCTGTTGGTGCTTGGAATGTCGGGTGGAGGGGGGTGTAGGAATTCGAGGTTGCGGTTACGGGGTTGAGGGTTCAGGGTTGAGGGTTTAGGGTTAAGGGCTTAGGGAACGCATAGCATCTTTTGCCTTGCGTTCAAGCCTGTTCAAGGACATGCTTTTGAAGTAATGTCACGTTTCGGATCCCATGGCGAATACGTCACCTCCTACTAAGAAGCCCTAAAATGCCCCCCCCCCCCCCCCCCCCCCCCCCGCCCCCATACCCAACCCGAGAGGAACGCAACTTAGAAGATTTCCCTAAACCCTGAGCCCTGCAAGCCCTAACCCGAAAGGGACCCTCACTGTCCCACCAGCACCACCACACCCTACAACTCTAAACCTTTAACCCTCAACCTTGAACCCTAAACCCTGAAACCTTAAACCCCAATAAACCCTTAAATCCTACTATATCCTACTCCTACTAAGCCCACCTTGAACCCTCAACCCCGAACCCTAAACCCCATGAACCCTAAAACATGAGTCATACTAAGCCCACATCTAACCCTAAAGCCTAAAGCCTAAACCCTGAACCCTAAACCCTAAACCCCTCAACCCCTGCACCCTAAACCCTAAACCCCTACACCCTAAACCCTAAACCCCTAAACCCCTACACCCTAGACCCTAAACCTGTAGTGACAACGCCGGGCCTCTTCACCCCGAAGTTCAGCGTCGCCTCGGGCGCCTGGCCCACGCAGCGAAGGCTGTGGTCGTTGCCGTCCTCGACCTGTCGGTGGCTTTGGGGATTTAGGGTTTAGAGCTCCGGGTTTAGGGATTTAGGGGTTAGGGGTTTGGGATTTAAGGGTTTAGGGGTTTAGGGGATTAGGGTTTAGAGCTTAGGGTTTAGGGATTTGGGGTTTAGGGTATCGGGCTTGTGGCTTCAGGTTTAGTGTTCAGGACTTTTGGAGGGATCTAGGATTTAGGGTCCGCGGCTTGGTGAGGACAAAAAATAAGGACAAAAAAATGAAGAGGCTGCAGTCGCTACAGATTCATGCAGTATGTTTCTTTGCTTGTTCTATTTATGTGTCTGCTTTTTTGCTTTGTAGGACAGATAGTCAGCGCGCGTGTTAATAATATTTTGTTACGAATGTTTAGTCGACTCACAAGAAAAGCGTTTAAAAATAGATCTATTTAAGACATTCAACAACGACGTCTTGCAAAGATTTTGGCGTATTATTCTTTCTCGTCTATAAATAGAGGTAGCCCATGTGCTGGCGGTCGAAGGTTCAAGCCCCGCCAGGAGCATCATGACTCGGTCGCACAGCTCAGTCGGGAAAAAATGGGGCTAATAAGCCCAGTGTCGAGGGTTCGAGCCCCCCTGTGACCGTTTCTTCTTGAGCACCTGCATTTTTCTTTTTCTTTTTGTTAAAACAAAAGGAGACCGCAACAACCCTCAAGCTCCTGCAAGAATCTTTCATCCCCTGAACCCCTGAACCCGAAGAAGACCCTAGACTTCGGCCGAAGCCCTATCACTCAAACCTTACCTGCAGCATAGGCAGCAATGGCAGACGTAAGAACAACCCAAAGCTCCAAGATCCGAATCCACGGATCCCGAAAGCCTGCTGCCCTAAACTCCAAGCCACCAAACTACTTAAACACACAATGGCTGCAAGGCTCTTTGGGTTCATCATGTGGGGGTTTAGCTACTCACGGATTTGGGAGCTGAAACACTACACCCGTTAGCTGTAGTCACTGTAGTCATCCCTAAATCTTGGTCTTCGAGCTGGCCTTCAAGGTCAGGAAGCCCTCCATGAGCTGACCGCTGTTTGGTGGAGTGAAGGTCACCTCCAAGCTCCGGGGCGTTTCGGGTTTCAAGTGCTTTAAAAAGACCAGGTTTTGCAGGATTCCATACAAAAAGCTTCACGAAAGAACGGCAGCGGTGGCAGAAGACAAAGATGATAACTGCAACTATTCCATGAATGCTGACGTGCTTCACCTTACACTCTAACCCCTTCCAAAGCTAAACCTCAAACCAACAAACAATTCTTGAAAGAGCCCTGCATTGAAACAAGCACCCCTAAACCTAAGTCCTCGACCTCCCTTCAACCCTGAAGCCCCAAAAAACCCTGAAAGCCTAAAACCCTAAACCCTAAAACCTTAAACCCTAAAACCCGAAAACCTTAAACCCTAAACCCTACAGATCCCTTTGAAAGGAACCCTTATGGATCCCTTTAAAGGAACCCTAAAAACCTTAAGCCCCTTGAAACCCTTAAACCCCCATAGGGCCTCGATGCCCTGGGAGCCGCCCCGCGGGATGACGCCACTCACCGGGGAGACCGAGAAGGAGGCGTTCGCTCCCTGCCAGCCTCACCGTTTAGGATTTTTTCTTTGGGGGGGTTTAGGGTGTAGGGTGTAGGGTGTAGGGTATAGCGTTTAGGGTATAGGGTTTAGGGTGTAGGGTTCTTTTTGAGATCCCTTTTCCAACAGCCGTGCAGCGGGGAATTCCTTACCAGGAGGAGCCTGTGGTTGGGGCCCCTGTTTGAGGGGTTAGTGCTTAGGGTTTAGGGTGTAGGGTGTAGGGCGTAAGGATGCAAGGCTTCAGGAATTAAGACGCGGCGGGTGAGGATGTTTAACAGTATCCTTGGTATGCTGACGATTACGACTCTCGGCCCCTAAGCCTACTGTCACTGTTGCAGTCACCGTCATTGTGACACTGCTTCTTCTGCTCATGACGAATACCAGGCCATGGCCTGCGACCCTCCCTTAGCTGGGAGTTAGGACCCTTGGGGATATAGACCCTCTCAATAGGGCCCCTTTTAAGAGAGCCAGAAGTAGGGTTCAGAAGGGGTACCCTTTAAGAGATCTCCCTAATAATACTACCTATTAGCATGCAGGCCGTTCTGGGCCAGCCTTCCTTTGACGGTTACCGTTTCATGAGAGTGCGCCAGAAAGCGCCATCAAAAGCCCAGTACCTGAAGCCTAAACCCAAAGTCCGCCTAAACCTTCAGACCCCTAACCATCCTAAAATACTAGACCCTAAACCACCTGGACCTGAGCCTTTAAACCCTTGAACCCTAAGAACCCTAATCCCTTAAACTCCTGAACTCCTAAACCCTTATGAACCCTCAGCAAGAATCAACAAATCAACAAAATGGGAGCTTCCGAAAATTAGGGGTACCCTTTTCTGGGGTCCTTATAACAGGGGCCCTACTATGTAGGGTACTATATTTGGGTCCCCCATTTTCGGAAACTCCCAAATTGCGCAGCCGTGACGCTGAACTTCGCCGGGGCGTTGCCTGGGTTGTCGAGCACCAGCCTCGGCGTGCAGGGGAAGGGCTCAGGTCGACTTTTAGGGTTCCTTAGTATGATTCCCTATATGGGCCCTTAAAAAGGTAGGTTACTGTTGATGATAGGTTGATGATATGAATCCTGCACTACCCATAATAAGGAATATACCATAATTCCCATAGTTTAGGGCCCTTAAGGTAATGCAGGATTTAGATCATCAACCGCATTATTGTGGGGCCTTCGTAGGGTTTCCTCATTCATGGGGTCTCCATACGAAAACCTTAATTGTAATGGTGTCTCTAAAGTCTAAAGACACTTTCATAGGATCTCCATAACAATTTTTCTTCTGGTGTCTTTATGAGGGTTCTTATTGCGAATTCTCTATCAGGGTTTAGCGGCTCGGGGGTTTCGGGTTTCCGGGTGTCGATTGACATGTTTAAGGGATCGGGGGATTTCGGAAACTACGGGGTTGAGCTCACCTCTAAGCCGCAAAATTATCGGACTCAGACTTCAGCGTAGGGTTTGGGGTTTAGGGTTTAGGGTTTAGGGCTCAGGGTTCAGGGGGAGCCGAATGGGATTGCACAGCAAAGCGGCTTCTCAGTGAGAGTCTTGTCCAAACTGTCCTCCGCGCAGTTCAGAGCTCTGAGAAGCCCTCCTAGCCCCTGTAGCCCCAAAACCAGGTTGGGACAGTTCAGTTTGCACAACCCGTCCTCACCAAAGCGGAAATTGATGTCTGCCCTGGACATTCTGATCTGGACAGGCGTGATCGTTGCCTGAGCAAGTCAGCATCATGCATGCCGCTTCAGCTGCCTCTTAATGCTCGTGACCCATACAAGTCCTGCACCTGTCTACTTGCTCCTAATCGGGACGTTCGCTTCAATTGTGGGCATCACAGCTTTACTCAGATGCCGCATCGCAGCTTAGGATTTTGTGTTCAGTGTTTCAGGGTTGTTGCCACGCCTTGATCAGCAGCTTGTACGGATGGATGCCGTTGATAGTGTACACCACCTGCTGCAAAGGCAACTCCAACGGAACCCCTTGACAAGCCCGTTTAGGACCCCAATGAACCGCTAAACCCTCGACCCCTCATCCATGAATCCTATAATCTCTACCAACCTGTAAAACCTAGAACCCTAGATAACCCTTACCTGTGTAAGAATCCGAAAGTAACTAGATCATTGTTGGGATAGGATTAAAAATGTACATCTTTATTCCTTATTGGGTTTAGATACCCATAAAAATGTAAAATGTTACCCAACTATGACAAAGGTAACACTTCTAAACAAACGGCGGCCTGTCGCTGAAACGTCTGCGGAACGGCTGAGCACACAGAGACGTCGAAGCCGGCCGCATGGGCTGAGGGAACGACCTGTGCGACGGTACCGTGGGACTCTAGGATTCTTTGGTTGAGGGTTCAGGGTTTAGGGTTTAGGGCTTAGGGCTTGGGGCTCTGGTTGAGGGTTCCTGCCCGAAACCCTAAACCCTGACCCCCTGGGTTTAGGGTTTGTGGCTGAGGGTTTAGGGTCAAGAATACTCTCGACGTTCGCCAGTAGGAGCTGCAGTTGTCCAAAACAAGTCGAACTTTCTTCGGATTTCGATGTTGACGATCGTTTGTACCATTGTTTACGTATTTGGTGTTCTGTTGCACTTTTACCAGAACTATGACTATGGCCCATGAGAACAGCTCTGTCATTGTTACTACCACCATCGAAAGAATTACTGTAACACTGCCTGCTATGCGGATATCAACTGCTTCGGTTTGTCAGCATGGCCATTCGGTTGTTGTGGGGTATGAAGGCGGTGTATACTACTTCGATGGTGGTGCCGATGATGTTTGGCTCCTTTACCGCCAACACTACTCTTGTCATCATTCAGGCGACTGGCCTGACTATTGACATGTTGGAAAGCCACTGCCAGCGTATGTGCCACTTGTTGCGTTGATGTTCTCACCGATGGCATCAACCCTCTTGCATGACCATCATCACCATGATTACCATGAACATCAATGAACCATCATCAGCGTCATGGCACATTCCAGCATGACTGGATACCTTTTGTAGCATCAGTGCTTTTTCAACCTATACCTATATAGTACGATTAGTACGCACAGGTCTGCAAAGGGAATCGTGCTGATTGACCCCTTCGACCACCGAGATTGGAACATGGACGGCAACGACAACCTCCCGAATCCCGAATAAGCATTCCGATCGAGCCTGTGATGTCGGTGTAGAGCGGCTAAGCTCTTCGGCGTCATACTGCATGGCTACCAGGATTGCCTGCCGTCAGGACAAGCATGAGGCTGCAAGTGACGCCCTGTGCGGTCGATCGAGCTTTTGGGCGCTGCACTAGTCAACAGCTGCTTCCTTCACTGGCATGTAGACTGCACGCGGAACAAGCAGCCCTTAACGCCTCTCAAGAAAGTCGTTCCATTGGAATCGCGTTTGCTGGCAATTCAGGGGACACGTGTCCCTAAACCCCAAGCCTAAAACCCCAACCCTTGAAACCTGAAACCTAACTACGCCTGAACCCCCAACCGCAAAGGCGAAATCTTGAGAACCCCAAACCCGAAACCCCGAGCCCTAAACCTAAACTTGAAACGTTAGGCCCCTAGGGATTGAACTTTAAACCTCTAAACCCTCGTAAACCCCCGCAGCGCCTTTCTAAACTCCAAAAAAACCGATGCGTCGGTTGGGTATGGCCCCCATACAGTAACAGTCTATAATAGGGCTACTATTAAGGTCCTTAGATTCCTTTATATCTATATTATGAATATTATCCAACTGTTACTGCGTGGGGGCAGTACCCAATGTGTCGGATGCTTCGCCTGGGGAAGGTCGTTGAAGACCGAGAAGGACTTCACGACGGTAGATTTCACGTAGACATTCCCAAAATCTAAGACCTCAGAGTTCCAGGTGGAGGGCTGAGCCCTCGAAGGCATGAAGGTATGAGGTTTAGGCAATTTAGGCGTTAGAGAGGTTCAAGGGTTGAGGCTTTTAATTGAGGACTGCGGCTATAGGAGTTTCGGGTTAGAGGGGAGAGTCCGTACACAATCCCAACCCTTGCAAGCTACTAAACACCGAATCCTGCAGGCTGAATCATCTTCCCCAAAACCTGAACCCTGCGTCTTGCAAACTCTAATCCCTTGAGCCCCATCAACCCTTTTAAAATTCCGGTTAGATCAGTTAACCTTTGCAACAATCCCTCCCCAATCCTCCCCAAGACCCTAAACTCGACAAACCCATAACACCCATAAAACCCTACAAGACCCTGAACACCCCAAAAGCCTAAAACCCTAGATCCAACCTCCTAAACCTGCTGTACACTCTTGCTGTAGGCTGACTACAGTCCCAAGGGACCCTCATACGAGCTCTTTCTGGGAACCCTGCAAAACCCCCAAATTCACGATGCTGAGGCCCTGTCTCCAGGGCCCACCGAGATCAGACCCAGCTGCCAGTTCTCCAGGCCTTGGAGGAAACACTGGGCTCTTGTTAAGGAGTTTCATGTAAGTCACCATAATTGAGACCTCTAGTAAATAATCTGGTTTCCTTGCTGTGGTAACTTAAGCTAAATCTCTTTCTCTGAAACTCCTCAAAGCCTCTTTAAAGGAGCCCTCCAAAGGAGCCCTTGAAACGAGCCCTTTAAAGGATCCCTTCTGGAACCCTTTAAAGGAACAACTTGAAGGAGCCCTTCAAATAAACCCTTCAACGGAGCCTTTCAAGGAAGCCCTGGAAACGAGCCCTTCAAAGGAGCCCTTTAAAGGAGCCCTTTTGAGGGGAGCCCTTTGCTGAGATCCCGGCTGGCGGAGCACTCCCGCACCTCGGCCTGGGTGGTTGGCCCGGCCTCGCAGGCGGCCATGGGGAGCCCGAGACATCCGGCTTCTTAGGCTCCTAAAAACATTTATTGGTTTAGGGGTTTAGGGTTTAGGGTTTAGGGTTCGGGTTCTAGGTAAGGGCTCTATAGAAGGGCGATAATGGCTCCAAAAGGCTTCTATGAGGCTTCAAGAAGGGTTCTATGAGGGTTCTGCAGGAATTTATGATAATTTATGTAGGTTTCGAAGGGTTTGCTGGAATCTTTATGAGCTTCAGAAGGGACTTGGGCAAGCCGAGCCACAACCCTCCACTCTGAATCCATGGGTTGGGTGAATCGTCAGCTGCTCCCGATTGCCTTGTACTTCTTCTTGATGAGCTTGTTCTCGTCGTGCATGTATCCTTGTGGTTTAGGAGTTTAGGCTTTAGGATGTTTAGGGGGCTGAGGGATTTGGGTATAGCGTTCACGTTCATGCTCAGAGAAAGTTGAGCCAAGCGTCGGTGACCAGTTACTCCACGCGCTGCACTGTCGTCGTCCAGCGCACGCTCCAGATGTAATCTGTCGACCGGGATGTCATCGACGTTGTATCGGGGACCTCAAAAAGGGTTTAAGGTTTAGTGAAGCACGGACCTCAGAAAATGTCATTGACTGAGGACTTGCCGTCTCATTATCGCGCGACTCCTGTGGACTAGAATAGCCACCTTCGAACGCTCGCATGTAATCATGCACACGCTCCAGAAAGACCCCTGAATGCAGATGATCATCAAGGTTGCTGAGGTATTGACTTTTGAGGCCTGACCCGGGCATCATCCCCATGTTGACATCGTCCTCGTAGAAAATGTCCTTGGTACGGTACGTTTGGGCGGGAGACTTTAGAAGCTGCCCCACCCTGTAATAGTGACTATACGGATTATAGGATTATATTAGGGCCCTATTATATTCCTATTATACCACTATTACAGGGTGGGGGCGGAAAGAGCTCCCTGGCAAAGCTCCGCCATCTGAGGCGCAGGCAATCGGCTCCGTGGGGTGTTGCTCTTCTTGCAGACGAGCCTTCCGTCGCAACCTCGACTCCTGCTGGTCATAAACCTACTTGGAGGCCCTTTTGGCTTAGTAAGTAGGGTTAGTAAGGTGGGTTATGGGGATTATAATGGGGTTTCTAGGGGATACTAAGTAGACTTACTAAGTCAAAAGGGCCTCCAAGTAGTCGGATATGCAAGAAGAAGAGACGTACGGTAGTTCCCTAAACTGGGATCCTGCGTCCCTAAAGGACGTCGTCACTCCCGCGGCAAACAGGACCCTAAAAGGGATCTTACTCTGGAGAGCCCCATGTGCAAGGAGGTCCTTCAGCATCTTGTTGTACCGCTGCTTGTTCCGAACATGTTCCTGATGCAGCTGCTGCACTCACAGAAATGCAACTGGCACTTTGACATCAAAGCCCCAAGAACCATCAGTGCAAATGAACACCTAAACCCGAAAGTGTTGAGACTCTTCAACCATGAAGGCAAAACCGTACAAACCCTAAATGTGCGGGTACATGCCCATATGAAACCCTGATCAACCGTATGTGAAAGCTGATTTTTCCGATGCCGACCCTAAAACCCTAAACCCTAAACCCTAAAACCCCGCCCCGAGAGGCCCCAAAAAAACACGGACCACGCCCGGTAGGCCTGCATTGCCGACGGCGAGAGCGAGTAGGGAGTCGGTTCGGGCCTCGGCCAGCAAACCCGAGTTTTAGGGTTTAGGGTTTATAGGGAACTCCAGAAAGTTGGAATATGGATCAATGGTAGGATCCCCTATAATTTACCTTAGAGGGGTTACGATAATGATATTCCAACTTTCTGGCTTCTACTGTACTGTAGTATACTATACTGTATAGTAGCACATTAGGGTTTAGGGTTTAGGAAAGCACTGAAACAAGGGTCTATAGGGAACTCCAGAAAGTTGGAATATGGTTTCTTGGTAGGATACCCTATAATTTACCATAGAAGGGTTAGGATAATCATATTCCAACTTTCTGGCTTTTACTGTATTGAGGCTTGAGGGCTTCATTTTAGAGCATCGGGGTTCGTGACTTAAGTTTCAGGGTTTAGGGCTCAGACGTTGAAGCGGATCTCGAACTGTTTCTTGCAAGGGATCAGAGTTCCGAACCTGATCTCTCTCACTATGCACCCTCCCTCCACGGGCGCCAAGCAGGTCGAGCATGATGGAGTCCAGTGCGTCGGAGGAGTTCTGGTTCCTCTCCAAATCCTCCTGGCAATGCATCTTAAGGCCTCGATCCGGATTTCGAACCCTAAACCCTAGCGAACGGAACGCTGATCCTGACTCTCATGTCGCAGACCTGCCACAGTCCGAGCATGGATGGCTCTATCTGCGAGACAGAACTCAGACTCAAACTCCTTCCTGCCAGTCTCGTGTCTAGCAGAACCCCCTTCTGCCTTCATGATCTTCGTGAGGGACTGAAGATTGCCTGAACATCGGTGCAGGACATTGCTACTACCATTGAAAGTCTTCTGATGGCGCTTGGGAGTATTCCACTAACCCCAAAACCCTAGCCCCTGACCCCTAAACCCTAACCCTAAAGCCCGAAACCCTGAACCCTAAATCGTTTTGGCTATCCCGCGCGATCCCAGAGCTGCAGTTTTCTTGCGGGCCAGCTGCGCGTCCGCGGCGGGAGGTTCAGCTGGTCCTGCGGGCTCATCTCCGGAAGTTTACATGGGTAGTTGTCAAAATTAGGGTCCCGTTTTGGGTCCCTGATATAATACGGCACCTAATATTTAGGGTACCCCAAAAAGGGACCATAATTTTGACAGCTACCCGCATGTCTCTTGCATTTAAATGGGATCTATTTTATTCGAGTCTTAACTACTGTTTTGGAGTAAACGATACGTTTCACCCTACGAGTTAGGGGAACCATCCAGCCAGCACTGAAAAAACCCTGTAGCCTAGGGTTCTTGTAAGATACTTAAGATAGTCTCGGCGCTTCATGGTTCGCGGCTAGTTGTAAGTGCAAAGTTACGAGTACCTGTAAACTCCTGAACGTTCAAGTTTGCTGTAAACCCTTCACTTACCCAAAGCCCTGAAGCAAGCTCCAGATCCCCTAATTTGGGGCCCTATACTACTATGGGTACTTTATAGGAACCCCCCATTAAGAGATCTGCACCCAAAACACCTTCAGAGTAAGGTTCTGCTTCAATGCACCAGGCGAGACCCGGGTCCTGGTTCACGTAGATGTGCCTCAGGCAAGTAGTACTAAATAGGGTTTCGGGTTCCTTTAAAGGGGTTCCTTAAAGGGGTCTAGAAGGGTACTATAAGGGTAGTAGGCTGGCATAGCATCAAAGGGGACAAGGAGGGACCCTTAATAAGGACCCCTACCCTATAATGGGCTATATAATGGGTATATGATAGCTATATTAAGGGTATATACCTAGGGGTCCTTACTAAGGGTCCCTCCTTGTACCCTTGGATAGCAACAAGATGGAACAAGGTCAAGACTATGACTAGGGTCTGTGAGAACAGAATCGGCAAGTAGGACAAACTAAAACACGGCTCGTGTGTGGCTTCACAAGTTTGCAGGCAGGTTTTAAGCTCTCAACCTCAAGCCCCAGATTGTTTGAAACATGTAGAGCCCTGAGAAATTGGTCTGAGGTTTTTGAGTATAGGACATAGAAGAACACCAAGGCATGGTATGATTGACTGGTCAGACCCCGAGACAACCCAGATAGCTCAAAGCCCCATCAAAGTATTAAGCCATGCCGGGGATCCACCCAAAGCTTCTAGGGAATGTTGCTTCCTTGGGTATATAAAAGAACGAGTGGTAAGTAGTCCTGAACCCTAAACCTGTATTCCAAGAGCCTAGACATTATCGCCGCAAAAGCTTAGGAAGGAAGTACAGGGCTTACCATTCAAACCCCCACGCGATGAACCCTCGACTCTACTATAGAAAAGCCCCAAGCCCTCAAACCCTAAACACCAAAACCTCAAACCCTTAAGCCCCTACCTTATTAAGGCCCCTATATTGGTACTTATAGACCTCCCTTTTAGTAACCCTTGTAGACCCCTTTAAAGGAACCCTAGTCTAACCTCAAACCCTTAAACACCTTCATCCCAAGGCCCATTCATCCCCAAACCCTAGCAAGGAGGAGCGCGTAGAACCTGCACAGACCCTGGCAACACCCCCACGGTTTAGGGTTTAGGGTTTAGGGTTTATTTAGGGTTTAGGGTTTAGGGTTTAGGGTTTAGGGTTTGAAACTCTCAATACCTTCACCTTACAAAAGTGTCAGGAAGCTCGACATAGAACAATATAACACCCTAGTATGGTGGCCTTGATGACCAGGGCGTCTTGGGGTACATTACAGCGCAGTCATAAAACCAAGGAGCACTACATAAGGAGTTGGTAATTACCCTTCTCCATCTGGTGCAAGCTATGGTTTTGTAGCGCGCTCATATTCACCCTTCCAGAACCATTCAAAGGATTATGAAGAGAGCCTAAAGCCTAAACCCCTAAAATCCTAACCCTAAAATCTTAACCCCTAAACCCTAAACCCTTAAACCCCTAAACCCGTAAAGCCCTAAACCCGTAAAGCCCTAAACCCCTAAACCTGAAGTCTGCGACCCAAGCGGCTCGGGGTCAAAGTCGCGGCCCGTCCGCTCCAGGCCCTTCACCGGCACGGCCTTCTCTCCCAGAACGGGGGCCTCACAGGAGGTGAGTTCAAAAACTTGGGGGGTTTAGTGTTTAGGGGGTAGGGTTTAGAGTTTAGGGTTTAAGGTGTACGGTTTCGAAATTGTTGTTTAGGGTTTAGGGTTGCTTGTTTTTGGGGAATTTGAGGAGGGGAGGGTTTTGGCGGGAGTGCGGGGTTTGGGTTCCGGGGCTTGGGATTTAGGATGCTGTGTATGTCCTCTTGGGGCGCCTGTCTCCGGAGAGGATGCCTTGCCGGCTAATTTCTGTGGGGTCAGGGTTTAGGGGTTTGAACCGCTTAGGGTTTAGGGTTTAGGGGCTTGAAGGGTTTAGGGGTTTTGGCCACAAACACGCTGGCTAGCAGGGTTGGCAATAGAGAATGCTCATCCACGGCTGCGGCCTCGCCCACGCACCTCATCGTATGGGAGTAGAGGCTTGAACCTCGGCGGCAGCTCGAAGAAGAAAAGCTCGCGGATTGCAACCCTCCCTTGACTGAACATCGCAGCCGATATTACTAGACTATGTCTTGGTGGTACATAACGGTCGATCTTACCCCAAAGAGCCCAATACCCCTTAATTAAGGAATATGGCTTAAATTATAATATGAAGCCCTATTTAGTATAAGCCATATTCCTTAATTAAGGGGTATTGGGCTCTCTGGGAAAGGGACTATGAGTGGAGTACTCTTACGAGCTCTTCCGACCTCTATATTAAGAAGGAGCAGACAACGGGTCTCTCGGAAAACTAGCATCATACAGGGGCCTTAGTAATTAGAATAGGGGTTGGGGCCCCATTATGCTATGATTATAGTAAGGAATACCTAAAATAATATCGGTAATTCTTTAAGCCCCTACTTTACTCTTTCGGGGTTTAGGGTTGCAGCCTTCCTTTCAGCGGGGTCCTCAGAATCAGGATCATGCTATTAAGGGTTCAGGTTTAGGGTCCAATCTGTACCATAAGGATACTGCTATTCAGGATCAGGGCTCCACATTAGCATCCCCCTTCTTCCCAGAGAGCCCAATACCCCTTAATTAAGGAATAGGCTGAAAGCATATAGGGCTTCATATTATAACTTAAGACATATTCCTTAATTAAAGGTATTGGCTCTCTGGGTTCGGGATCCGTATGATAAGGAGCCTACTATTCAGGGCTCATCAGGGTTCTATATCACAGCCCCTCATCTTCCGACGCTGGACTCCATACAACAAGGATCAGGGTTCTGTATCAAAGTCCCAAACCCCAAACCCTTTACTCTACACTCCAAACCCTGAACCCTAAACTCTAAACCCCAAACCCTTTTCTTCTAAACCCTAAGCCCTAAAACCCTAAACCTTTCCGACACTCTCACATCTCGCCGGAGCACAGTACTTGATGATGAGATCCTGTGCGAACTTGCCGAGAGCCTGTCAGGTCTGCATGTCTGAAGAGGGTTGCTTTAAAGGGATCCTTGAAGGGTTCATTTAAAGGGATCTATAGTAGAGTTTAATCATATAGGGGCCTTAATAATTGGAACAGGGTTTCGGGGTCCATTATACGATAGTTATACTAAGGAACCCCCAATATAGTATTGGTCATTATTCCGGCCCCCAAAAGTAGGGTGTGGGGCTTACGGCCTCTATGGTAGGGTGTGGGGTTTAGGGTTTGGGAGATTTCCGGGCTGGTCAGCCAGGCGCCTTCGGCGTGAAAGAGACCACCACGTTCGTGTTCTGGAGGGGGGCCAGCTTACCCCTCATGGGTTGAATGCTCATGTGTGGTACCTGAAGCGAGGCGGAGACGAAAGTAATAGTAATATGGAAGCAGAAGTCGAAACAATCACGACTGGTGCAACGGTGAAGTAAGAATGACCCTGCTAGCAATAAGACTACTACAAAAAATAGACAGCAGTAATACTACTAACACTAGTTTATTGAAGAATAGTAATACAGCCGTGCTCGTTGGATAACCAGGGCGCTCGAGGGATCTCGAAGTCTAAGGGCATGTTCTGCGCAGCGTTGCTGATCCGCAGGACGATGTCGCGCCTCCCAGAGAAAGTTCTTATATGTGCGGTTGTCAAAATCAGGATCCCTTTTTGGGTCCTTATATAATACGGCACCTAATATTTAGGGCATCCAAACAGGGACCCTAATTTTGACAACCACCCATATGGCTTTCCTTCAGGGTTTAGAGTTGAGGAAGAGGGCTTTCTTCGGGGCCCCTCTCTGCGAGGTTCCCTTCAGCGATCCTTCAAGGGTTCCTTCAAGTGTTCTATGAGGGTTCCTGCAAGCGCGTTTTAGAGTTCCAGAAGGGTTCTGTAAGGGGACTACAATGGCTTCAGGAATTGTGATTGGGGTTCAGGGCCGTTGTTTAGGAGATCAGGAAGCTAATATCATAGAAGCAAAGAACCTGGGATAGAAAAACAGCATAAGTCGCAAAATAACAGCAAACATGTACCAATAAAATCAACAACCAACCGTATGATCAACAATAGTAGCCACAGAACTAAAGTACTACTGGGCTACGTAGGTCTGCGACGCTGCTCCACAGCTCTCAAGCAAAAAGGTACCTTAACGACCAGGATGCGGCTCATTTTTGAGGGCGGCCTTTTTTTCTATGAGTCTACGGGGACTATGAAGACGTGCAGTAACTCACTCTTGCGCCCTAAACCCTACACCGCCCCCCCCCCTGGTTGACTTTTTGTGATTTCTGACACCTTCACCCGGAGCTGAATTTTGCACGATTTTTTCGGCACTTCACGTCGCTAATCGCACCATCTGTTCTTCTAGGATACCCAGTAACCGAAGAATAAAAAGGCCTCTCTTTTTGGTATTGGATAACTTTATAAGGAACCTAGGACTACAAAAAGGGAATAAGGGTACTACTGGGCATCCTAGTCTTTGATAGCGATGTCGGGTCAGCCTTTTCAGATTGGAGGTTCAGAGATGTGCCTTAGCTTTCCTGCTTCGCAGTTTTGATCGGGTTCTGTTTCCTTCTGCTTTTCTGCTAGAACTGTTTGCATAAGACAGAGAAGGACGCGCGCCCCCAGAAGACTATAAATGCCCCGAAGCTCCAACAACTACTTTGTGATTTGTGTGACCCGTTGAAAAATGCTCCCTCAGTCAATACAGCGTTGCAGTTTTCGGGTCTAGGGCTTCGGTGTTTTGGGGCTGTAGGGCTTTGGGGTTTTGTAGGGTCTTGACTGTTAGGGTTAGGGGTTATGTGGGGGTCTAGCACCACCCAAAACAGACACCAACTGAAGCGTCCTTGACTAGGATACCCAGTAACCTAAGAATAAAAAAGCCTCTCTTTTTGGTATTGGGTAACTTTATAAGGAACCTAGGACTACAAAAAGGGAATAAGGGTACTACTGGGCATGCTAGAAGGATACTTCCAGGGTTGAGGGATCGGGCTCAGGGCTCAGGGTCGCAGTGTTCAGGGTTAGGGTTCGCGGTTAAGGGAAGTTTAGGGTTTAAGGGTTTAGGTTTTTTCGACGGTCTCTGTAAAGGCTCATTAGCTTCCTGTTTAGGACTTTAGCTGTAAAGGGTTTGTAAATGTTCATTATAGTCTTATGGTGATATGAGGGGTTTGCAGGGGGTTGAATATACTGTCAATGTAAACTTTGATGACTTCGCAACAGCCGGATTTTGGAGCAAGACAGGCAGAGCGCGAAGTAGTGGTTGCCTCCAGCAGAATGGGCCAACACTTCCTGTGCCCAGATGCGTGGCCAAAGGGTGGCATCAGCACCGAAGACTTTTGTTGTTGTCCGTGCTAGACTCCTGCAAAAGGCATGCAACCTCCAGCTGCCCCTTCTCAGCTGCAACGAACATTGGGGTTTCGCCATTCTGCTTGGCCTTGTCCTGTTCCGCATTGGCCTCCAGCAACAGCTGGGCAACCTCCAGCTGCCCGGTCTCAGCTGCAATGAACAACGGGGTGGCGCCATCCTGCTTGGCCTTGTCCTTGTCTGCATTGCTCTCCAGCAAAAGGCGCGCAACCTCCGAATGCCCGAACTTAGCTGCAATGAACAACGGGGTAGCACCATCCTGCATGGCCTTGTCCTTGTCCGCATTGGCCTCCAGCAAAAGGCGGGCAACCTCCAGCTGCCCCTTCTCAGCTGCAACGAACATTGGGGTTTCGCCATTCTGCTTGGCCTTGTCCTTGTCCGCATTGGCCTCCAGCAAAAGGCAGGCAACCTGCAGCTGCCCCTTCTCAGCTGCAATGAACAACGGGGTCGCGCCATTCTGCCTGGCCTTGTCCTTGTCAGCATTGCTCTCCAGCAACAGGCGTGCAACCTCCGAATGCCCGAACTCAGCTGCCACGAACAACGGGGTGGCGCCGTCCTGCCTGGCCTTGTCCGTGTCTGCATTGGCCTCCAGTAGAAGACGTGCGACCTCCAGCTGATGCCGCCAAGTTGCCATGAACAACGGGGTGGCGCCGTCCTGCCTGGCCTTGTCTGTGTCTGCATTGGCCTCCAGCAGAAGACGTGCGACCTCCAGCTTCCCGCTGCAAGCTGCCATGAAAACCGGGGTGGCGCCGTCCTGCCTGGCCTTGTCCGTGTCTGCATTGCTCTCCAGCAAAAGGCGTGCAACCTCCGAATGCCCGAACTCAGCTGCCACGAACAACGGGGTGGCGCCGTCCTGCCTGGCCTTGTCCGTGTCTGCATTGGCCTCCAGTAGAAGACGTGCGACCTCCAGCTTCCCGCTGCAAGCTGCCATGAACAACGGGGTGGCGCCGTCCTGCCAGGCCTTGTCCGTGTCTGCATTGCTCTCCAGCAAAAGGCGTGCGACCTCCAGCTTCCCCATGCAAGCTGCCATGAACAACGGGGTGGCGCCATCCTGCTTGGCCTTGTCCTTGTCTGCATTGCTTTCCAGCAAAAGGCGTGCAACCTCCAGCTTCCCGCTGCAAGCTGTCATGAACAACGGGGTGGCGCCGTCCTGCCTGGCCTTGTCCGTGTCTGCATTGCTCTCCAGCAAAAGGCGTGCGACCTCCAGCTGCCCCCGGTGAGCTGCAATGAGCAACGGGGTGGCGCCACCCTGCGTGGCCTTGTCCTTGTCCGCATTGGCCTCCAGCAAAAGGCGTGCAACCTGTGTTTGGCCGTGCTCGGACGCCTCGAACAGAGGGGGCGGATCGCCCAAATCTGGGTCTTGCGGTCTTTGTAGAAAAGTCTCCACTTCTGCTGACAGGCCACCTCTGGCTGCGTCCCGAAGTGCTGTCACTTGAGCATCCGACGCTGGGCAGAAGCTTAGAAGTACGACCTGAGCTTCGCCAGGTCTCAGGGCGTCATCGTCATCTAGAACCACATTTTCATCCAAAAATACCAGCCTTTGTCTGAACACTGACACACCACAAATGCTGTGCAAGTGTTGCTTCAGTGCCCGGACGGGATGCATGCCGGCAGGCTGCATCTCGAGAAAGCTCGCCAACTCAAGGGCAACGAGTTCTTCACCCGACACGGTCTGAATCTGCAGCATGGCCGATGCGAAGTTACTAAGCCGAAGAGAAGTGGACTTCAAAGAACAAGCTGCACTGCATGTGCTCGGGCTTGGGTGGGCGATTGTAGTATAGTTATAACTACGATGATGTATAATAGCTCCCAAACCGTGTTCTAGTCGAAAAGGGATAGTGCTCTAATTTCGTCAAGTCAGGCTCTGTGCTTGGACACGACCGGCCGAAGAATCGAAGCTGCGCTCTGCACACTTAGCATCCTGAATCCAAACGGGATCCTCGTACCCGGGCCTCCTAAACCCTGTAGTAGGTTTAGGGCTTATAGGGTTTAGGGCTTGTTCCCTCCTACGGCAAGCACGCTCGCGAAGGGGGGCCTGTGGTTCACGGGGCACTGCCCGAACTGCAGCATGTCGGGGGAGACCTCAGAGGTGCACAGGACGATAAGGCTTTGTTTCTGTTTTATCCGGACCCTTTTAGAACTTCCTTAAAGTTTCTTTGGGGGATTAGTGTTTTTAGGGCTTTGGGTTCAGGGTTTCTTTCAGGGTTTGTGGCTTAGGGCTTAGGGACAAAAAGCGGACTGCATGCACGCAGCTCCACACTTACGACGTGCCCTGAGATATTTGCTACGACCGCTACTGTACAAGTACCTGCTTCTCTGAACTAGCCTGGGTGACTTTCGAAACTCTAAACCCTAAACCCTAAACCCTAAACCCTTAACCGTCCACAGTCTTGGGGCCTCGATCTGGAAGTTTACTGCGGTGTTTAAGGGGTGCCTTACAGAATATGAACCTGGAATTCGGATACAGGGTTCAGCGTTTTGCGGTCGAAACCTTTTAAACCCTACACCCCAAAACCCTTCATCCTAAACCCCAAAACCCTAACCCTAAACCCTAAACCCTTCATCCTAAACCCCAAAACCCTTCATCCTAAACCCCAAAACCCTTCATCCTAAACCCCAAAACCCTAAACCCTAAACTCCAAATTGCGCCTTCAGGGCCGGCAGCACCGCCGTACCCAGGAGCTTCAAAGGCAAAGCCAAGTTGAGCTCCTTTCTATATGGGAGTAAGGGCTAGAGGGTTTACGGTTAGGGTTTAGAGTGGTTCCATAAGGGCCAGGCTTGTGCAAGGGCTTTGGGTGGCCATGTCTTATTCGTGTCTTGCTTGTTGATTTTATGGTTTTGGACACCTCTGTGTGGTCTTTGTGACGTTTCAGGGCTTCTTGAAAGAGATCTTTATGAGCTTTACAGGCTGCTCTGATGCTCTTTGTCAAAGGCCTGATAAGGAAGGTTCTTACAAGGATTTCTTGAGAGCTTCTACAAGGGCTTCGGCTTTGCGGGGGGAAAGGGCTTCGGCCTGGCTGTCCGGTTGCGTCGCAGGGCTCAGGGCTTGAGCCTTGACTGTTTCGGTTTAGGGTTCCGGGTTTAGGGTTTACAGGGAACTCCAGAAAGTTGGAATATGGTTTCATGGTAGGATCCCCTATAATTTACCTTAAAGGGGTTACGACAATCATATTCCAACTTTCTGGCTTCTACTGTAGGGTTTAGGGTCGAGGAGTACGGGTGCACCTAAAAGGGCATGTTCACTCATATCCTGAAGAGCCCTGAAACCTTTCACCCTGAAAACAAATCCTGACCTTGAACTCTAAAAGCCCACACCCAAAACTCCAATCCCGAAACAGATATATAAACTCAAGATCCTGATCCCATCAGTCCCGAAGCCACCCAAAATCCCCAGAAATCCTCATAAAACCATAATAAGCCCTAAACCCTAAAACCCCAAACCCTAAACTAGCTTGGCCCCTTAAAGCCTCTGAAAAATATTCGTAAATAGGGTCCTATTAAGCTCAATAAGGGAAAACATAAAATGTCCCAAAGGCCTACCTAGTAAACCCCACGACCTCAAGCCCCTTCAAGGCCGAGTCCTCGCTTTCGATCTTTCCGGCAAACTCGTGTCGCGCGGAGTGACGTTCAGGCGATCGGTTGCAGAGGAAGCCCTAGGCAAGGCTCTTCGGTTTAGGGATTAAGGTTTACCTTAAGCCTGAATAACCTACCTTTTTAGGGTTCCTTAGTATGATTTCTTTATACAAGTCCTTAAAAAGCTAGGTTATTCCGGGTTAAAGTAGGGTTTAGGGGTTTAGGGGTTTAGGGTTTAGGGTTACAATCGTGGCCACTAATCATTAGAGATGGGGTTCCTTTGAGGGTCCCTTTGAAGGGTTCTAGAATAGGGGTTCCTATAAGGGCTGTATAAAGGGGCTTTAATAAGTAGAATAGGGTTTCGGGGTGGATGCGGGCGAAAGCCTGTCGACGAAGAGCGAAACGAAGGACGACGTGTGCATCCTCAAAGTGTACAAACATATGTAAAGAATTCAATAATTTATAACTTGCTGCAAAAAGATTGCAGAAGTCGAAGCATTTCTTCGTAGCTTTGGGACCAGGAGTCCAACATCTGTACAGGGAAGTCTTTAGGTTTCGGGCACTTGCGCGTAAGCTTGCGCGGTTCGCACGAGAAGTTGATCGGCGCGTTGCACGCAGCACATCTTTCAGTCTGTGCCCAACTTGGCTCAAGGATGTGCGCACGGCAAGTATTTTCAAGAGTTTGGTTGGCTTTGAACCTTTCAAGCGCATCCTGAAATCTAGTGATTCTGTTGATGGCCGCCTTGAAACGTTTAAGCGGACCTGGCTTCGCAGAATAGGGTTTCGGGGTATAATAATGTAGGAACCTGATTAAGAAACCTTGGGCCTTTATTGGGGTTCCTTATATAAATCCTACTATTTTGGGGATTATAGGCCCAGGATTTCTTAATCAGGCTCCTACACTATTATAGTAGCCTTATTATAGATCCCTTCTAGGAACCCTTATAGACCCCTTTAAATTAAAGGAACCAAAACATGAAGGCCTTGGGTTTCTTTTACTCAAAACCATTATACGTTAATTTTGATAACAAACCTGGGCACGGCACTCTAGGTTCAACAAGTTTTGAATGGGCTGACGGGTTTTGGGTCTTAGGAGTTACCTTAACCCGGAATAACCTACCTTTTTAAGGACTTGTATAAAGAAATCATAATAAGGAACCCTAAAAAGGTAGGTTATTCAGGCTTAAGGTAGGGTACAGGGCTTCGCGGGTTTAGGATGTAGGGTTTAGGATTTAGGGTTGACGGGGGCTTGGGGTGGAGGTTTGAAGTTAGGTTTAAGGCCAGAGCTCAGGGTTTGGGATTTAGGGTTTAGGGCAGGGTGCTAAGGGTCAACAAGACTGGGATTTCACGGCTCAGGGTTTAGGGTGTGGGCTTTGTTTTAAAGGGAGTTGCTAAGGGGCTTATTATGGGGCGTCAACAAGGCTTTGTGGACTTTTTTATTTTTTGGTGACATGTGCAAGGTTCTGGTTTTGTGGGTTCTTGACAGCACGGTTTAGCAGGGAGGCCTCCACCCTTGAAATAGGATGTTGGGCAAGCTTTGCTGTAGGTAGATATGAAGCACAGAGCCCAAGCGATAGACACAGTGACCCTAGGAGTGTGCGAATGCCTCTTATCAACACAGGATGCCAACCCTATCCCCTAAACCCTGAACCCTAAACCGAAACCCAATACAGGATCCTAAGTCCTTACACTAACCCCTCAACACGAGACCCTCCTACCCCAAATATCTGATCACCGACCACTTCTAGCCCAAATACAGGACCCTACAAACCTGGACCCCAAATGATAGTCATGACATATCCTGATGCGCATGTGGCCTGAGAATGTGTGCCCCTTTTCGGAGTAATGGCACTCCCAAGGTAGGATCCCCAAAAAGCGGCCCCTTGAACCCTGGAACCCACAATCCTGAACCTCAAGGTAAGCCCAGAGTAGTCAGCTGCTTTGCCTTTAAAAAGCTTTATATGAGGATCTCTCTCTCTCTCTCTCTTTTTCTCGTATTGCCCATATTTGAGGAGTGAGTTTATTGCTATCAGGATCCCTCACGAACCCTGGACCCTAAAAACCCTAGAGCGCTTCTGGGAACTCTGAAATGAGCCCTAAATCCTAAACCCTAATCCCAAAGCCCTGAACCTTGAGCCCTGGAACCCTGAAAACCCTGCAACCCTGAAACTCTAAACCCTAAGGGGCAATCCCTAAACCTTAAACCCTGAAACCTTCAACCTCCCCTAAACCCTAAACCCTATAGATCCCTTTAAGGAACCCCTATAGATCCCTTTAAGGAACCCCTATAGATCCCTTTTAGGACCCCTTTAAAGGAACCCCTACCCCAGGCCCAACGTAGCCGGGCCTGGGGCTCCTTAAACACGGTGGGCGCGAAGGTAAATTCCAGAGGGACGCTGCCGAAGGCAGGCACCTCTCGGTTTAGGGTTTAGGGTTTAGGGTTTAGGGTTTATAAGTTTAGTGTTTAGGGTTTAGGGTTTAGGGTTTAGGCTATGATTCAGAAGTAGCCGCGCTTCCCTGAAAAGGCCCTAAGGATACCATCCCCCGAAACTAGTTCATGGTTGGGAGTACCTTATATTGGGTTTCAAGTACCCATAAAAACTGCAAAATGTTGCCCAACTACGACAAAGCAAACCCTCAACCCTAAATCCCTCTCCAGGCTTACGAAGGGCTTTAGGGCTTTAGCTTCGGGCTCTCGGGAGTTCAGGTTGGTCTCTTGTGAGGGTGCGGCTCTGCTTTGGATTTCTTGCTTTTTGCGTTGCTTACTTTGGTTTGGCATCTGCGACTGTCTGCCCAGTCTTGTGCTTCGAACGGGGCGGACATGATCCAGTTGGACTCTCGTCTTTCGGGTCTAGGGCTTAAGCATCCGAGATGGTAAATGCCAAACTGACCTGAGTCATTAGTTGCATCCGTGGCACCGTCCCCGCAAAAGGCGTGACGCTGAGAGGCTGCTGCGCCTCCAACAATCATGCAAGGGTTTAGAGTAAGGTTTAGTATGAATCAAGGGGTCAAGCCCTGATCCTGGTAATTGTTTAAGCCCCTATAGTAATCCCAAACCCCGCAAATGTCGAGCTCCTTCTCCACCGTCTCTGAAGGGGAAGAGGCGCCCGGCAGGGCGCCCGCAGTGGCTGCCATGCCTCGGACGGCATCGAGACACGGGAATAAACTGATGTGTGTGCTTACCTTCTGCACCCTAAACCGTAAACCCTAAACCCTATTCCATAAACCCATAAACCCTGAACCCTAATCCCTAAACCCTATTCCATAAACCCCTAAGCCCTAAACCCCACACCCTAAACCCCAAAGCCCCGACAAACCACCGGAGCTGCGGAGACATCAACCGAGGTCCACACCATCCCCCTCGTGCGCCTGTAGGGTTTTAGGACTTGGAGTGGCTACTTGGAGGGTCGGGGGACTTAGTAAGTAGGTAGTAAGTAGACTTATAAGTACCATAAAATGGACCCTAATTGGGGTTATGATACTTATAAGTCCCTAAAATAACCAGTTACTAAGTCCCCCGACCCTCCAAGTAGGGTTCGGAGTTCTGGGTTGAAGGTTTGAGGTTTGTGATCTTCGGATTTTAGAATGGGTTTTTCTGGGTTTAGGGTATTTGTGTTTTAGGGTTTGAGGGCTGTCCTTACGAGACCCTCTCTCCGGAAACCCTCAATCCCAAACCCTCCTCCCAGAGAGCCCAATAAGCCTTAATTGGGGAATATACCTTAAAGTATAGGGGCCTTAATATTATAAGCCTTAATTGGGGAATATACCTTAAATTATAGGGGGCCTTAATATTATGGTTTAAGGTCTATTCCTTAATTAAGGGGTATCGGAGCCCTAAACCCTAAACCCTATAGATCCCTTATAGATCCCTTAAAGGAACCCTAGGTATTCCTTAATTAAGGGGTCTTGGGATCTCGGGGCTCTCTCCCGCCTCAAGAACCGAAGCGCTGAAGCCGCAGGAGGTCGGCCCGTCGTTCACGAGCTCCACGCGCAGGGTCTCGCCAGAGCCGGGGCGGGGGGTGCGGAGGGTTGCTCTGACTCCAGGTCCACGAAGCCAAGTACAACAAAACCCACCACTCCTACATCCTAAACTGCCAAGCCCTCTAAAACTGCAATCCCTAAACCTCAAAACCTCAAAGAAAAGATCCTCCAACCCACTAAAATCCTGACTCGAAAAAGCATCACCCTGAGTGCCTTTGTCAGGCCATGGTACAAGCTCCCGAAATCCAGGCTGCCTCGGTCCAGTGGGGCTTATCATAGGGATCCTTAGGGGTGTAGGGGGAAGGCCCATAATAAGGACTAATAAGGCCTAATTAGGAAATATAGTCCCCTACCCCCCCTCCCCCTACACCCCTAAGGGTCCCTATGAGCTTATAAGGCCTCTTACAAGGGCTTCCTTCAAGGGCTGTGTAGGCTTTCTTAGCGGAAGAGCTTTAGAAGACTCAACGGTGGACGGGCCTTCCCAGAGAGCCCAATACCTCTTAATTTAGGAATATAGCTTAAATCATAATATGAAGCGCCTTAAAACATAAGCCATATATTCCTTAATTAAGGGGTACTGGGCTCTCTGGGTTGATATCGAGTGCGCGGACGGTGCGCGCGGGAGGGCGCGGACAAGGGGCGGGGTGCGCGCGGGAGGGCGCGGACAAGGGGCGGGAGCGCGATGTCGGGTGCGCGGACGCAGCCGCTGGGCAACTCGAAGATTGCTGGACGTGAGGAGAAATTTTCGTGCGGACTTCCGTTCTGGCAGTAGTCTCTTCGCGCGGGTTTTCGGGTTCCCGGCTTGACCTTGTTTTACAATGAGGGCCTGAAAGAGTGGTATTACTATTACTACTATTATTACGATTATTATTACTATTACGATTACTATTATTAGTATTACCATTACTACTACTATTACTATTACTATTACCCAATTCTCCAGGTTTCTACATCAGGGGTTTTGGTTCCAGGCTTGAGGGCTTTTGTTGGCGTTGCGGTTTCAGCTGGCTTTCACCGGACCTTTGCATTGGCAGGTCGTGAGCCTTCCATCAGCCAAGGCGACAAAGTTGGAGTAAAAACAGTGGTCACGACAATGCTGATGATAATCAGAACAGCGTAATCATGGAAACAGTGGCAATGATAATCCTTTTGGTCAGAATACGCATAGTCGTCGAAGAAATCGCAAGAGTAACGCACTAATGGTCACCTTACTGCTGCTACGATGCGTTTACTTTTTTGAATCAGAACACCCGGGAGAAAATGCAAAACCAAATGAACTTCTCAGCTGCGGCCAGGGCTGCTTATGACCTGTCCATCTTTGTACACCTGCAGCGTCTGGTCGACGCACTGGGCATGCACATCCACAGTCCTCTGCTTCATCACACATCAGGATACCCTAAACCGTCCTAAATCCTAAAAACCCTACACCCCTAAACCCTAAACCCTAAACCCCTAAACCCTGAAACCCAACCCCCAAACCCAGAACCTCTAAACCGATCAGATGAAGAGCACGGAGCTTGGCCGGATTTCAGGAATTTATTTTGGATTCGAGATGATTTGAGATTACCAGGTTTAGGGTTTAGGGTCAGGGTGTTTACAACTATTCCCGTTATTGCGACTGCTACTATTGCCGTTGCAGTTGCTGTTGCTGTGGTTTTCATGAGTCTTTTTTGCCAGGAGTCCTGTTCGCGGGCACCAGCGAGCTGAGCCCATGCAGATTGAGCTGAACCAGCTCGTGAATTGTACCCGGCGTCCTCAGGCGAGGCCACGGACAGAAGCAACTCTGAAGAATAGCTGCTTCATAGCGTCTCATCAATAGTCCATCTCGATACATATGCATGTGTACATACACCGATAGAAATATGTGTATGTATATATATATATATAGAGAGAGAGAGAGACAGATAAATAGGTAGATAGATAGAAACCCAAGAGCCGGACCCTAATTTGTGCTCACCAGGCAGAACCCTGAGCCCCCAGTACCCTTGCGGGCCCCGAGACATTCAACGACTGTGCAAGTCTGAAAGCCCGAACTCAGCTTCGGTGGAATCTGCAAAGGGTAGCCGGTTTAGGGCTTGGGGCCAACAGCAACCCCTCCGCATTGCTGCTATGCTCCTAAAAGCAAACTGTAAGCAGAAGCATGATTACTGTCACTAGACTGACAGCTATCCATCTTCCTCTGAACCTTACTTCGCATTCCTAACATGATTGTCATCACCGTTACTCTTTATGAAGTTGCCTAAAGCCCTAAACCTACTAGGACCTACTACTCTTTGTGAAGTATACTAAACCCCAAAGCCTAAACCTACTATCATCCTACAGACTCCCCCAGAGAGCCCAATAAGCCTTAATTAGGGAATATACCTTAAATTATAGGGGCCTGAATATTATGGTCTTAAGGTCTATTCCTTAATTAAGGGGTATTGGAGCCCTAAACCCTAAACCCTATAGATCCCTTATAGATCCCTTAGAGGAACCCTAGGTATTCCTGAATTAAGGGGTATTGGGATCTCTGGGCCAGTGCAGAGAGGCGGCTCTTGGGTCAGCTCGAGCTTCACCCGCTTCACATCTTCCGAGCTGCCCGCGGGGCCGATCTTCCCAGAGGGCGGGTTGGGCTTCAAAGATCTAGAAGGCGAGATGAAGTCAAACCTCGGCGGGTTTCGGGTTTAGGGTCCATCAAACCTCGGCGGTTTTAGGGTTTAGGGTCCATCAAACCTCGGCGGTTTTACGGGTTCCTAAACGCGTTCCTGCAAGGCTTCCCAACGGCTTCTGCAAGAGGCTCAGCAAGTGGCCTCACGATGTGGGGTTTAGGGCTGAGGTAATAGGGTTTGTTGACATGTATGTGTGTGGAGTAAGAACGCCTTTTGTACTACTGGTACTCAGCAATACGAACAGAAATCCCTCAACACTATTCACCTAAATTAAGCCGTGGATATACAGCTGCTGACAGAAGTAGCAGAAGCCAGCAGAACATGCAAAGTTGAAGCATGCTACCCAACTACCTACTTACATACCTACATAACTACATGCGTGCGCACACACCCACATACTCACGTACACAAAGACCGACAGACAGACGGACGGACCGACGGACCGACGGACGGACACCTTGGCATGCATAGGCAGTGTAGTCGGGGTAATCGGAGCAGCTGGTCCTATCTTGCAAGCCAGGGGACGTCGCTGCTCTCGAGCCTTCGTTGCGCCTGTGAGCACGGATATTCGGATGCAAAGCCGAGGGCAGTCGCTCTGAACCCTGAACCCTACTTGGAGGAGCATGGGACATTACAAGTAGTTATAAGTATAGTTACCTTATTAATAACCCCGCTTACTAAGTCGCATGATCCTCTAAGTACGCAGGGTTTAGGGCCTAGGGCTTGCTTGGGAGTTGGGGAACAGGTCGAAGCCGACAAATTCAGCCCGGTGGCAGGATAACTTCTCGCTGATGAATTCTTCTTGTGACCTGTGGTCCGTCACAGCAAGTAATGCAGTCGTTCCTCTCTAAGACTATTCGACAAGCTTGGACGTAGGTCGCCAGCTATCGCGCCGAAATCGACCACCGTGTCAAACGTGATCGCGGCGCACGGAGCTTTGGCACATAGCTCCACCTCGTAGCGAAAGTCCTCAAGGTTCATTCGCTCGAAACTCTCGTTTCGGGTTTAGGGTTTAGGGGTTCTTTCCCGTCGAACTCTCAAACGCGTCTCGAAGTCGCGAATTCTTTGCAGCCGCCGACTTTAAATGGTTTTTGAAAGACTTCTCTCAGCAAGCAGCGCTGTGCTTATGATCACATGCCGCGTTGCAAAGGATGCACGACTCTCTGAAGTCACGCCCTGGTAAGATTGAGTGTTAGCTCGGGGCCTCGGCGGTGATGACGAGTTTGTCAACGTAGTCATAAGGCTTCCTTGTCAGGAACTCCACGTCTATGGACACCGAGAGACCAGGCGCGATGCCTATCTCGTTCCTTGGTAGCGAGGTGAAGTACGAATTATAGGGGCCTTAACCGTTAGAATAGGGTTTCGGGGGTATGTTACACTATAACCATTATAAGCAACCCCCAAGATAGTATAGGTAATTATCTAGGCCCCTACGTTACTGCCTTGTCTTGCGGGCCTCCCCAAAGGAGCACCCCGACGTGCTCTAGCACCAACTCACTCACCAAGGAAGTACCGCAAACCCTAGCTCAGATGCAGCCAGCGAATCGGATGTCGGATGTGGGAACAAGCCCCCGAAAGAGAAGTCCAAACAAAACATTCTGGGGCTTGGACTTTGAAGTAAGGGCTTTGGGTTGAGAAACTATGAGGCCCAAGTCTGCGAACGGTTCGAGAGTCTGCGGAGTTCTGTACTGCAGTCTTCTTAAGGGTTTAGCATAGTGGTAACAGGGGAGTGTAGCGTTGTATTGCCATGCACCAGTGGACCGTGGACCAATAGACAACAGGATGCCGAACGCAGTACTGGCTGCTGGTCTGCCTGGCACGCATCGTGTGGCCATGTTGTACATGTATACGTATGCTTTGTTTTCAGCTTTCAGGAAGCATGCATGCACAGAGCGGCAAGTAGGTAGATAGATAGAAAGTGAGAGACAGCTAGACGGATAGACAAACTTACTTAGATTGATGTAGCATGCGTAGCACATTGCTGCGCAGTACTGTCGCACATGTCATTAGAGCAACTTGCCCTGGGTATGCTGAATCTTGGAAGAACAGGAACCAGAAAGATGACGACTAGGCACCTTGAGCCCTCTAGAATCTGAATACAATGTGGCTGCTAACCGTAAACCCTAAACCCCCTAGCTGCTAAACCCTAAACTCCTGTCCTAAAACCTGAAACCCTAAACTTGCACCCAGCGTCTCGGTGACTACTCTGAACTCGGCTGACTTGGGAACTTCACAGCGGATGCGCTTGGCATACGTGCTGAGATTTCTCACCACCAGAGTTTGGATATACCTCGGTGGTTCAGCCGTAGTTTCAACAACGGGGTGAGTCAGGGCATAGCTAGAGAGCGACACAGCTTGGGCGGGCACTTCATGTTGGCCTCTATGTCATCAAATGTGATGGCCGTTGGCTCAATATGCAGATGCTTGCCATGCGGGACGATGGTCGCATTTCGCGAACCTTTTATCATGGCGGCTTGGCAGCTTGTTTCGCTTCGCCCACCGCTTCAATCGAGACCTATCTACCTACATGCTCGGCAATTCTGAGGGCCGAAAAGCGACCATTCGCAACGGAGACACCAAGATCAGGGTATAGGGCGTTTTTCCTGCTACCCGTAAGACCAACCTCCAGATTCAGTGCTTCTGTGGATCATCTCTTCATGCCTACATGACGCGGCAGAGGTCCCTACAATGCAGGCCTGGGAAGCAGCAGGGTAGGTTTAGTAATTTAGAGCTTAGGGTGTGCATAATGCAGGGGCCTGGCCCATTGTACTATAATTATAATAAGGAACCCCCACAATAGTGTTGGTGATTATTAGAGCCCCTGTATTATACTGCAAATTCCGCCAGGCCGGGCGTTCACCGCTTGAAAGGCAGCAGACACCCTGCACCACAAATCTTTTCAGTGCTCACGCAGCACCCAGAGAGCCCAGTACCCCTTAATTGAGGAAAATGGCTTATATTATAAGGGGCTTCATATTATGACTTAAGCTATACTCCTTAATTAAGAGGTATTGGGCTCTCTGGGCACAGTCCGCGTTGCAGATCAGATCTGCCGGTTCAGGTCATCTGCATCCCGAGCATCCTGAGCGTGAATGGCTCAAACCAAGTGGGTGGAACCCTAAACCCTAAACCTTTTCTGGGTGCCCTAAATATTAGGTGCCGTATTATAATAAGGGCCCAAAAAGGGACCCTAATTTTGACAACCATCCATCCAAGTGACAATGCAGAGTCACACAACTGAGAGTCTCCGTGATTGGGGAGCCCTGATATGAATTTTCTGCTCTTGCATTGACCTGCACGCGTTTAACAGGCCCTACGCTGCCCGAAATCCCCATCTAAACTGTGCTTCAATCCAAAACCAAGGAATTCAGAAGGGATCCCTAAACCCTAAAGCCCTAAATCCAGAAACGCCAAACCCTACCATAGTCTACCAGAACCTTTGGTTTTGCAGGCTGGTATTACAAACCCTTACATAAAACTTACTGGGACTTTATACTACATGTAGGTTTCGTGGTAGCTCAAGGTAGACCCTAAACCTCTAACACCCTGGAGAACCCAGAGAGCCCAATACCCCTTAATTAAGGAATATATCTTAAATCATAGTATGAAGCCCGAAATATAAAATTTAAGCCATATTCCTCAGTTTAGGGATATCGGAAACCCTAATCCCTATAGATCCCTTGTAGACCCCTTTTAAAGGAACCCTAGGTATATTCCTTAAGGGGTATTGGGCTCTCTGGGAAGACCCACAGCCCTGCGCTCCATAGGCCCGGGCCTTGACGTAGAGCTGCGCGTGCGTCAGCCTGGACAACCCAGAGAGCCCAATACCCCTTAATTAGGGAATATACCTTAAATTTTATAGGGCTTCATATTATGGTTTTAGGGTATATTCCTTAATTAAGGGGTATTGGGATCTCTGGGTACGGAGCTTTGGGGGTCTGGGTCTGGGGCTTGGGATGCGGATTTTTGAAGTTTTGAGGGTTCAGGGTTTTTTGTTTGTGTGTGGAGGGGGGAGGGGGGCTTTGTTCTGCTTTATGGGCTCTTTTCCGACTGCAAGTACAGCAAGAATTCCTTTACCGGGATTTAGGGTTTGCAGGTCTAAGGGAAGGCTTAAGACTTAGGGTTTAGTGTAGGGGGTTTCGGGGTTCCGTATGGGAGTTTCCGAAAATAGGGGACCCTAACATAGTACCCTAAATAGTAGGATCCTTATTATAGGGACCCCAAAATAAGGTACCCCGAATTTTCGGAAACTCTAAACCCTAAACCCTTTATAGAACCCTTATAGATCCCTTTAAGGAACCCTTTAAAGGAACCCTAAGGTACCCGAATTTTCGGAAACTCCCGTATGTCGTCTGCTGACTACCACTACAGCTTGAACCTTCTGCTCGCGAGCTTCCTGGGGTTTAGGGTTTAGGGAATTAGGGTTTAGGGGATGAAGGTTTTTAGGGTTTAGGGAATTAGGGTCTTTCGGGGATGAGGGCTTTGGGGTTTAGGGAATTAGGGGACTAGGGCTTTGGGGTTCAGGGGATTAGGGTTTGAGGGATTGGGGTTTTGGGGTTTAGGGGTTAAGGGGTCTAAAGGTCAGGGTTTAGGGATTTAGGGTTAAGGGTTTGGGGGATAGCGGGTCTGAAGGCTAGGTTTAAGAATTAGGGTTGAGCTTCCAGGGTTGAGCCGATACTCCTGTAAGGCGTTGTCTCTGGACCTCTGTAAGGCGAACCGTTATAGAACCCGTCATAGACATCTCAGACACCCTTATGATGCTGCATGGCTGATTACAACCGCACTATGCCTTCTGACTTCGGGCTTGGGATGCTAGTGGTGTTGTACCTGGTGGTGATGATGACGACCACTCAGCATGATGATGACGATGATGGTGGTGATAACGATGACGACGACGATGAAGACAAAGACGAAGATGCAAGCGATGATGATGATGAAGAAGAAGATGATGATGACGACGTTGACGGTGACTTGAACAAGAACAAACCGTGACTACTGTCGCAGTCTTAGCTGCGGCTGCTCCCCGAGTACATGACGGTGACCACTGGGACCAGTTACCACCAACATGTTTACCAAAACCCTAAACCCTGAACCCCAAACCCTGAACCCTAAACCCTAAATGGCCCTAAACCCTAAACCCTAAACGGCCCTAAACCCTAAACGGCCCTAAACCCTAAACCCATGCGTGTTGCAAACAATCATGCAGCCAAAAGGCAGAAAGGAGGCAGCTGCCAACACCCCTGCACCTGCCTGGGTGCAGACATGCTCGGTGCCAGGTGGGGTTTTTCGAAAATAAGGGTCCCTATGATAGTACCCTAAATAGTAGGATCCTTATTATAAGGACCCTGAGGTACCCTAATTTGCGGAAACCCCCAGGTTTGTCACAGTGAGGGCAGTTGAGGCAGCAACGTGGTAGAAGCAATACACCACGATGGACGTTTTTGATGAAATCGCCCCCACCATAGCGGCAGCCACCTCACACGCGATGCACGCTGCTTTCAAACGTCGAACACTCGCCATGAGCCAAATCCGAAGCTTCCGAATCTCCCGGCAAGCTACTGCGCAGGCGGGGTTCATCAACGCACCAGAGATGTTCCCCACCTTGGAAGTCAGGGTCTTCACGACAAGCACGAACATAGATTGGGAAACATGGTAAGCGTCTCGCCGACAACGTCGCCGCAAGCTCAACCGAACCATACCTGGGTTTGGGGGTCAAGGTTTAGGTTTCCGTGGGGCTTGCTTTATAAAGCAGAGGCAGAAGGACACAGGTCGCACTTGTTGCAGGCGAGGTCACGCAAGCCCGGAGAGGTTGTTCTGCTTCGACCTGCTCTTCTGAGTCTACAGAACTTGACTCGGTTTGGGGTTTAGGGTTTAGGGTTCAGGGGTTTAGGGTCAACATAAACCACAACATACTTGTCGGGTATCATGGGGAACTAAAAGTTAACCTTTTTGGTTACATAGGGATTATATAGGGACTATACTACCCAAAAAAGGTTAAAGGTCACCTACTCTACTACTAGGACAGAACTTTACTTGGAAAGCAATTCGACGGCAAAGGCAGGATCGAAAACATACTATCCCGATGACCGCTTTGGAAGGACCTTGCGCCGTCCACCGGGAAGGTCACGCTGCTGCCGAGCACGACCTGGTGGAGAGATGAGACAGCGTGAAACTGCATGCCAAAGAGACCACAACCCCCCGACGCAGGCATCCTCTGACGACATTGTCGCTTGGGCGCATCACATCAGATCACGAGAAAACCTGCGGACGTATATAAACGATCCTGTAACCCACGAGCGAATCTGTTGGCCGGGGCACATAGCAAAGGAAGAACGTGCCGAAGCCTTCTGCGATCATGACTTGACCTCAGAAACTTCGCCACTCAGCAGCAATTGCGTTTAGATAATCTAGGGGCCTAAACACTTGCCAATTCCACTTTAAGGCTTCCTTACCACAAGTATAGCATAATGGACCCCAAAACCCAATTCTAAGTACGTGTATTAAAGCCCCAAGATCATCTGTCCACTCTTCGCAGGCTCTCAGCTTCGCACCGACGGTAGAATCCTTGGCGACAGCGTTGCAACACGAGGTGCACGGTTTTGGGTGTAGGGTTTACTTGGAGGCCCTGTTGACTTAGTAAGTCTACTTAGTATCCCCCAGAAATCCTATTACAATCCCCATAACCCACCTTACTAACCCTACTTACTAAGTCAAAAGGGCCTCCAAGTAGGGTCACCATGGCCAGCATTACCATCATCTGCACTACAGCTAGCAGCTGCGGAAGCAGCCGCAAATGTAAACACAAGCACAACATGAACTCTGAGGTATAGTAAGATGACAGGGCGAATATCACTGACAATACAAAGAAGCGAACACTAAAAGACAGTAGATGCAAGCATCTTGCAACGCGGCTAAAGATCGTGTAGCAGCGATTCCCAGAAGCCCCGCAAATGCCTAATCTGGGGCCGGCCACCTGTGCAATGGGCTTGGCCCACTGCCCGCCAGTATGCACCTAGGACTTGGGGTTCAGCGTTTAAGGTTTAGGGTTCAAGGTCTAGAACTAGGGGTTTAGGGTTTAGGATGGGTTTAGAACTCACAACTATGGGTGTAGGATGCTGGCTAGTTTGTTTGAATACTTCTTTTGCTTGCAGAGGCTTCAGAAGCTTCAAGGGGGGGTGGGTTTAGGGATTGGGGAGGCGGGCTTCAGGATATTGGGAGTTTCCGAAAATAGGGGACCCCAATGTAGTACCCCAAATAGTAGCATCCCTATTATCAGGACCCCAAAATACGGTACCCGTCATTTTCGGAAGATCGGGGGTTTAGGTGTTTGGGGTTTGAGGGTTTTGGGTTGGAGGGTTTGGAGTTTCTGGCTCAGCTTGGGGGACAAGTGACTTGTGATGATTGCAAGTGTCGGCATTCGTCTTGTTACGTTGAAGTGCTCAAAGATAGGAATGCGATCAGATCAAGCCGCCGGCGACAACCCCAACCACCACTGCTACTGTTAGTGAGTTTGTCAGGCGATTGTTACTATTCTCACTACGGCTATTATTACTACGGCCATTCTTCTGGCTACTATTGTTATGGCGAGTACTCCATGTATTACTTCTCACCTTCCTATTTCTGCAACTATGACCATCCCCATCACTACTCCGATGGCTGCAATTGCTACTATTCCGTCTGCATCATCCCAGTGCTTCTTCACTTCGCTTGTTGACAAGATGCCCCGAGATGTTGGCAAAAGCTGAAAGCTTAGCCCCAGCCAAAACAAACCCCTGAACCTCAAATCCTGAACCCCAACAACATCGCGTCTTCAAGAAAAATCGAAGCCCAAGCCACCATTCCTGCAACGGCGGCGGCAAGCATTCCTGCCAGCACCTGAACGGAAACATGGCTTACCTGGGGCTTACGGTTGATGGGTTAAGGGATTTATTGTTTAGCATGATTCACGGCCGCGCGGAATAAAATGATGAAAATGGAAAAGACCTCAGAAATCAAGGCAAGAACAGAAACTTCAAAAACAAAGGAACCTCAAAAGACCAAACCCATGTAATGTTAACATTAGGAAAAAGATCAGAATAACTGGTAAGGTAGTAAGATCGTCTTATAGTCCCATGGAAAAAAGCTGGCCCTATAATGACGCCATATGGGCAGTTGTCAAAATCATGGTCCTTTTTGTGTCCCTATTCTAGGGTACCCCAAAAAGGGACCCTAATTTTGACAATCGCCCATACATACAACCACGCTTATGCCAGGCCTGGGCTATGGTGTAGAACACGCCGAAGCCTGAGCAGCAGCGGAAGATATGGGGGGTTTCCGAAAATTTGGGGTACCTTATTTTGGGGTCTCTATAATAAGGATCCTACTATTTAGGGTCTGAAATGTGGGCTTCCGAAATAGGGGACCCTAATTATAGTACGTACTCTAAATAGTAGGAAGACTCCCACATAAGGTACCCGTACTTTTCGGAAACCCCCCCCTGTACCCTGGAACTACAAGGAATGTTCTATATACAAACCCCAAAAAGACACATGAATCTTGATCAACCCCCGTAAAGGGTTTGGGCTTACGACATGCGGGTTTGGGGGTTTGCGGGTTCGGTGTTCGGGGTTCAGGGTTGAGGGTTCTGCATGCCTAGGGTTTGGATGCCAGTTGTATATCCAGTTTCAGAAGACATGACGTTGGACCATTAGTAGAATAAGATCTTGGGTTATGCTCTGCCGTAGCTTATACTAAAGCACCTCACACAACAATGACAAGTGTGCCGACCTCCATACCCTAAACCCCAATGAGACCCTCATGTGGTGCTATCACGTTTGCATCTGAGCCGCGCAAATCCCCGACGTCGGTTCCGGGCCGTGAGGACACCAGGTCCTGCGAAAAAGAAAGGTTTGTTTTTTAAGTGCAATGGCTTCTTGCTGTTCTGGCAATCAAGCACAAGGGTTTAGGGCTTCGGGCGTAAAGTTCGGGATGTAGGATTTGGGGACAATCCTTTTCTTTTGGGTTGGTTCCTTCTCACGAATTTTCTACAATATACTCCAAAGCCGTGCTCTATTTATTGAGCCTCAGAAAAAATGAACCGCAACTTCCGCCCCTCCCATGCTCCTCTGCGGGGGTGCGGCCGCTTGAGCGCACAGCGAGCGTTACCGCTGGGTTGAAATGCGCTCCGGAAACATCTCGGAAGGCCTGGGGAAGAAGCAGGTTCCCAAGCTCAGATTTTGAAGGTTCAGGGTCTCAGATTTATGAACGGGGCTTCAAGGTTTAGAGCTTCGGCTTGGGGTTGAGGGTCTAGAGTTTGGGGTTTGGGGAAGCGTTAAGATTTTGGGTGATGCATGCCGCGGGAGCTGGTGTCACCGTTCGGCACTCGAATGCTTATCTGAGGTCGAAAACAGCTGCGCCCACCCATCTTCTTTTGCTCGGGTCACAAGCGCGCTTCAGTCATCTGCGTCTTGTGCAATGCATACCTCGGATGGCTGACGTTGTTGGGTTTCTGCTTCACGTCTTACGGAGACTTCGCAGGAGCCCTGGAATCAGTTGTTAGGTTCATGCTTCGTTTCAGAATTAAGAAGAACCCATTGAAAAAACATGAACTAACAAAATCGGTGAAACCAGCAACCCCCCGCAACAAAATGTTAGTAAACCCATGTCACACTCACAACCCCTGTGAAACCATAAAAGGAATCTTTGGGAACGCACGAAACCTTTCCTGTACAAACGCCTTCAAGTGGTTGCGGGTCTCTTGGTTTCTTCGTCTCCCCCCTGCCAAGTGGAGCATGTGGTAATTAGGGTAAGCAGGATAGCAAGCTTAAGTCAAAACTTAATGTTTGTTCCAGCCGGCCACCAACCAAAAGCTCAGCTAGCAAACCTAAGGAGGTATGCATTGCAGCTGTTCCCTTATTGCAACTGCTCTTACACTAAAACTACCAGTTCTGCAACCTGCCTTTACAAAAAACACAAAAATCATGCACGTCACGACTACCTGCCATTTGATTTGGCATTGTTTGAGTTGGGAAATTGCTGCGCACGTCGATGCCGTATGGCTGAGCAAAACCGGGTCTTTTTGCAAGCTAGCGCATGAAAGCTTTTGTGATGGTGCAACGAGTGCGGGAATGGACAAACCTGACTTCTTTCAGTGCTGCCTTGCGCGATGAAAATCAAGGCTGTGCGATTAGTAGGATCAACATCTGAAACCAAGCATGCAACATTGTTGCAACATTGGTCAGCGAGACTTAACTCACGAAGCAGGGATACCAACATATAAACTTGACATCCAGATAAACAAGAGTGTTTACATTGGGGCCCGGAATGCAAAGTTCCATGAACTCATCCTTTTTGAGGTGTGTGTATGTTCAATGCTTAGTGCTTTTGTTTGTGCTGTGCTCAAAAGATGCCCTTTCAGCCTAACTTTCATCACGTCGGAAATCACAGCATCTTCATCGGGCTTCTCCTGCCCAAAATGTGACGTATGTTTTTGGGCTATAGGGTGCGTGAATTCAGGTTTAGAAATTGCTGTCAGAGTTGGCAACAAGACATTGAACGAGGCATCGAGTTTGTTATGTTTGTTAACAAGCTGAACCGCGATGGTAAACATGCTTGCGTGGAAATCAAAACCTTTCATGTTCTTGCAGACAATGTCACGAAACACCGTGAAAAGGAACAAGGGCGCCCGAGCCGTTGACAATGCGTCAACAACGTTTTCAAGCCTATACGAATAGGTGAATAGGTTGAACAACCATGTCAAGCTGCTCCACGCCGTTTTCAACATAATGCTGCAGTTTGGTCAAAAGCGCCGTCTCGCTCCTCTCGAATATGACCAAACACAGTCTGCAGCAAAGCTTCCTGATCAGTTTGGAGCACACGTTGTTCTTGCGTGGGTGCACCTGCAACGCCGGCTTTGCCTCTCTTCGGCTCTGTGGCATCTGTCTTACGAGCTTGTCAATACCTCGTTGGTTGCGAGGCGTCCTCTGTGACCCAGCGTGCGTCGCTGCAGCGACTGACAATCACACGATTCGGGAACAGCGGCCGAGTGAGTCATCATGGTCCATTTTGGTGATCTCCTTCATAGTCTTCGTTGTGCAGACCTTTGCAGAAAAGACGTCGGCAAGACCTAATTTTGGAAGCGTCAGACAGCCTTCGTGCATGAGCAATTGCGCAGCGTTTCCCGCTTCATTGCTGAAAAAATTGCCCCCAATTCCAAAGCCCGCAGCCCGATGATGAAGCAAGACATCGTCAACCCACCCACGCCTCAAAAACCTTGCTACTGACCAGGACAGGATCCCAATGCGGTGGAGGCGGAGTGTAAGCGGGCAGAAAGCATGGCGGGCTGCTGCGCTTGGGGGCGGAACCGGCACAAGGCCCGGACATGCCGGGACCCTGAACAACGACACAGGAGAATGGGGTAGAATTACTGCCGATTCACTTCGGTATTCGCGATCTCACTGCATCCGGAGCAGCCACATACGGACAAGAATAAAATGACATCGCAGCAACAATGTATCTGCAGCCGAAACTGTCGCGTCGAATCTCAACTCCAGCAACAAGCCTTGGATTGGCGCTTGCTGTACCAGGCGCGTTCCTTTCACTAGTCGACACTGCGTTCGCATTAGTCACAACAGAAGCGGAAGCTGCAATAGGTTCTGTCGTCGCGGCAGTCGACACTGCTTTCGTCGTCGCCACAAAAGACGCGGAAGCTGTACTCGGCACTGTCGAAACGGCAGCTGCACTCGCGGGTTTGCTGCCTGTTGTGGTCCTCGGGGTCTAAGCCTTTTGCCCTCTCGTAGTGCGTTCTTGGCGTCTCTGGCACCTTGTTTCGGGACTCTGCGGCATGACGGGCCGTACCATTCACTGAGCTTGAGCTGTCAATGTCAACGAGTGAAAACACTTGATGTGCCATGCTGTGCTTTCCTAGATCGAAAACAGATCAGTAGCTAAACGAAATTTCCACCTACAGTACAATAGCCAGCTTTCGCTACGGAATGATGTTCAAATGTTCATCTTTCACCTCCATATGAATATCCGTTCTACACAGATCCCTCATCTCAGTCAACGGTCTCCTGTTGACACTACCTTTGGGTTGGGGGGAAATCCCAAAGCCTGAAGGTTTAATGAGACCAACCTAGTTAAGATCGTGTCTCAGACAAAGCATGCCTCACGTCCCACGGAACCCGCTTTCTGGCTGGATCGGACGATTTGGAAAACACAACCCTTCGGAATCTGGGAGCCACTCTGGTCGGATCCGGATATTGAAATAAGAAATATTCAAACTACTTACATTATGACTTCCAAATCGTCCGATCCAGCCATAAGATATGTTTATAAGCTGCGCGTTTGTATCTGTTTAGGGTTTCAACCCACGAAAACCTAGTTTACCTGCATTAAGGAAATCTCTAAGTAGACCTATAGGTTTGCTCACACACTGGGGAGGGGGTGGCGCAGCGCCCAGGACCCGGGACCTTATGTAACACTTCCTGCACAGCCAAAAACCTATCAAGGCTACAAAAGCCCGATAGAAACTCCTTACAATTTTCAAAAATCCTTACAAATCCCTGTAAATGCGCTTGTACAATCCCAGAAACCACGAAAATGCTCCCATGACACAGAGGCTGTCTTCCGTTTCTTCGCAGCGCTGACGGCTACAGGCACATCTTCCGCTGCCTTGCGGCGGCCTGGTGCTCCGAGCTCCGTTTCAGAGCTCAGGGTTTGAACTTTTGGGGGTATCCCCAAACCCTTGGGGTTCCTTAAAGGGATCTGTAGGGTTCCTTAAGGGTTCCTTAAAGGGATCTATAGGGTTCCTTAAAGGGATCTATAGGGCTCCTTCAAGGGATGGAAAGGGTGTAGGGTTTATAGGGTCTACTTAAAAGATCATGGGACTTAGTAAGTAGGGTTATCAGTACCTCAATTGGGGTTATAAGTACTTACAAGTATAGTTACCTTCTTTATAACCCCACTTACTAAGTCCCATGATCCTTTAAGTAAGCCCTTAGAGGAGCCCTTATAGAGCCCTTCAAGGAACCCATTATGGTAGCTTATGTTCAGGGGTTTGGGGGTTTATGGTTGTGATGATTTACGGTTCAAAACCTCTAGCAGGCTCATGTTGTCCAGCCACCCACAGTCCCATCAACGAGACATCGACTACAAGAGCAAAACACCAAAGCCCTGGAAGCCAGACATCAGTTCAACAAAGCAACAGCGAGCTCGTATCCGGATACGCTGGGCAAGGTTAAGCCTTCAGCTACGATTAGAAAACTAGATAGACCAATGGTGACGGTGCTGCTACCACCACGCCTACGACTACGACTACCACTACCTTTGTGTTCACCTTTCAATTCCTGAAGCTGCCAGTGCTTCAGAGGCAGCTTCAGGATTTCTGGGAGTTTTGGTTTATGGGAGTTTCCGAAGATGAGGGGTACCTTGTTTTGGGATCCTTATAATAAGGATCCTAGTTACGACTTAGGGTTCTAGATTGGGGTCCCCTATGTTGGGAAACCCCCATATGGCTCATAACAGGGATGCAAGCTTCTCAAGAAGAAGGGCTTTCTAATCAGCGGTCTGCATGACTCCTATACCAGGTGATAGACGAACCTCTGGCTGGAAACAGCCTTTTCTTTTCAGGGATTTAGGGTTTTGTTATTAGGCATAGAGGCATTGGACATATGAGGATCATCTACTATCCTCGATTTGGAACGTAGTTAAGAAACAGTTTGAAACAGGAAACGAGTGGTACTGCTATGCATGATGAAAACCCAAAACTACATGCCCCCCTATTCCTAAGAAGCCCCACATACGCTTGACATTCAATCGTACTTCACGTCTGCTCGGGTTAATAGTCATCGTTACTATCAATATCATTCTCATTACTAATCTCTAAACCGTCAACCCTAAACCCATACAAGTAATGTTGACAACAGCTCGTGGCAGGTCCCTGGCCTGGACCTTTGTGTCCAGCACCAGCCACACACTCTTCCAGTATCCGCGCACCTTTCTCTGGGGTTCCACAACGGTTGTACACGGTTCTCTCAAGGGCTTTACAGTGGGTATTATGTGTCTCGGGTTTATGGTGTAAGATTTCAAGAGTTGAGGGTTTTGGTTGGAGTTTGGGGTTCAGTGTTTTGCCGCTATGCCTCAGACCACATACTCAAACCTGAATCCTGAATCATTGACTCCTGCACTTCGGGCTTAAGTAACCCCAAAAACCAACCCATACCCTTGCGGAGGTCGCTTCTACGAACGTTTGTAGTTGCAAGTGGCCTGGAGTGGTGAACGCAGACGGTGCTGCTGCAGCAGTCGGGCTTTCCTCGACTGCCTGGAGCACAGGGTACTACCTGTCTCATTACTACAGGCACCACTTAAGAACATCAAACCGACTCGCTCAAGTGCAACGACTCGCAGTAGTGCGGCGCGGCAGGCCCCCAGAAGCTCGAAACCCAAAGCCCTAAACCAAAACCTGCAAGCCCTTGCGGAACATTTCTAGCCCTTAGCGTGACCCTTACAGAACCTCTCATGGAGCAGCATAGCCGCCTAGACTCCCTGGCTCTCAGCAGAGAATGGGGGAATGGATCTCTATGATAGTTCCCTAGTCCCTATAACGGAAAATGGATCTCTATGATAGTTCCTTAAAGAACCTCACGGAAGTCCGTATAACGGAATCCCCATCCTCTACTAAGTGTCGGAGTGATGAGCCCTTAGGTCCACCCTAAACCCTAAACCCTACTAAGAATCAGAGAGATGAGCCCTTCAAGGGATCTATAAGGGTCCTTTAAGGGACTATAGGGACTCTTTTGAAAGGGGTCCTGTAGAGGATCCCTCGGCCTGCGCCCGTGCCGGCGGCCGCCGAAAAACGGGGCGGCTCGGCACCTCTGCGGCCTCCTTGCCCTCGTGGCTTTTGCCCTCACGCCTTGGCTTATCTAGGTCTAGGTGGGGCTTTTAAAGCGTTTGAAAAATATTAGTAAATAAGATCCTCTTAAGCCCAATAGGGGAAAATATAAAATGTCCCAAAGCCCTACCTAGTTATAGGGTTTTTTCTTTTAAGGGCTCCATTTCGATCTGCAGAGGGCTTTACAGGCTTCTAGGGTTTAGGTTTTGGCTGAACGATTCTACCTATCAACCTAAACCCCTAAACCGTTCCTTACCATGCTACCGTGGTTTATCCCTAAACCCTAAACCCGTTCCTTACCATGCTACCGAAGTTAAACCCTAAACCCTACGCCCGGTCCTTACCATGCTGCAGAAGTGAAACTCCTTCCAACAGGGCCCGGCGGCTCTTCCCGCCGCTGTCGGAGGATGGCAAAGAGGTCCTTGCGGGAACAGGTTTTGTATGGAGGACTTGGGGTTTTGGGGTTTGGGGTTTAAGGTTTAGGGTTTAGGGTTTTGGGGTTTAGGGTTTAGGGTTTAGGGGTTTCGGGGTTTGGGGTTTCGGGTTTAGGGCTTCGGGGTTGGAGGTTGAGGTTTTAAGGCATTCTTTCATATTGGTATCTGGTACTATAATCTAGCACAACGAAGAAGCGGGTTACTGGCAAAGGAACCCTGAATCCACAAAACTCTCTCAGAACCCTTGAAAGGAACCCGTTAAAGGGCTCCTGCCGACATTCTGTCAAGGGCTCCTTCAAAGGAACCCCTCAACCCCAAACCCTGAACATTCCTTTAAGGGCTCCGTAAGGGGTCCTTTCGGGGTTCTTTTAAAGGGTTCCTTTAGGGGCCCCTTAAGGGGTCCTTTAGGGGTGCTTGTAGGGGTTCCTTTAAAGGGCCCCTTAGGGGCTCCTTTAAGGGTTCCTTTAAGGCCCCCTTTAAACCTGCTTTAAAGGAACCCGAGCCAAGACACCGCGGCAGCCTTTCGGTTGTCCTCCGAGCTCGTCACCTGGGGTTTCATCTGAGGGTTTAGGTGGGATTTAGGATTTGGGGTTTAGGGCCTGGGTTTCATTTTAGGGTTTAGGGTTTCATTTTGGGGTTTAGGGTTTCATTTTAGGGTTTAGGGTTTCATTTTAGGGTTTAGGGTTTCATTTTAGGGTTTAGGGTTTCATTTTAGAGTTTAGGGTTTCATTTTAGGGTTTAAGATTTGTTTAAGTCAGGGTTTGCGTTTAGGGTTATAGGGTTTCATGTTGGGAGGAGGACGCTGTGGACGCTTGTTTGTGAAAAACCGGATCACAAAATCAAGCAGTCGAAAACATAAAATGAGCAACACCCATCCAGAAGCAGCCATGGTCACCCCTTCGAAGACCCACCTTCATGTAGTTTCCTATCCGTATATTACCTTGGTCCAAGGCTCTTTATAGATAGACGCCATATGAAACAGCGCGAATTACGATGTCTTCCCGGTAGATTCTATCTTATGGCCTGCTTGCTCCTCATGAAGCTGCTCATGAACCAATGTTAAGCTAAGCTTACCCAAAAACCTCTGACCAGGATCCGGCCGGGCTTTAATATAACTTATGAGGCACCAGGCGTGGCATTGTGGTATTTTTCGCATGTGCGTACAAGAGTAGGGTATAGTATAGTAGAGCGTAAGATATAGTATGGCATGGTGCCCGTATACTGGAGCGTAAGATATAATATGGCATGGTGCCCCGTAATATGGTAGTGCAGTATTGCGACATACAGTCTAGTTCATCATGTATGTGTAGTATAGCATGATACAGAACAGCTGTATACTGTGCTATAGATACAGATTATGGTAGTCTGATATCATACGAACCTGTTGAATATGAATACTGTAGGTCGAAGGTAGAAGACAGAGATCAGCCTTATGTTCTAGTCTAGTGTATTACAATATGTTGTGATATGACATTGGCAGTAAAGTGCACGATAGCATATTGTAGTGTTGACGCTATATTGCAGTGTGGTATAGCATACACTATATGGGATACGATAGTCTAGTATAGCACTACCGCAGAATGGTGTAGGAAAATACACTGTTGCATGGCCCTGTTTACTATGTTTACTATTTTAGGAGGGTATAGTAGAGCATAGCATGATATAGCAAGGTATAGTGCGCTAGCATAGTATAGCGAATTATAGTCAGGAGCCTAGTGTACTATTCTGCCGTCAGTTCTAGTTCACTAAATAAAGCACGAGCATAGGTCATAGAAAGAGCGATTTGCGTGCATGAACCGAAGAATGTGGTACCATGCACACCACATATCCACTTACAAGGCTCGGGGTCGACACCACAGGGTATCTGCGATCAGTACTCTCGGTGTCAAAATGGCGGGGTATATCGCAAGTACGAATTGAGGCTGTGCGTTCTTTGGTAGTGAATGTGTTATGTCAACGTATACGATGAGTAAACTGAATAAAATCACGAGTTCGACTTCCCATTAGGCTAATCTTCTTTCACTGGACTAATCGAAGGGCCTTCAATTGCTTGTATCGGCTATGCATATGATATGATATACAATGTTTCAATTTAGGTTATTAGAACGTAGCATAGTACAATGTATTAAAGATAAGCATTGACGCCAAAATCTAGTATGGTGTAATGCAGTCTAGTATAGCAAAGTGCAATGTAGTACCTTTCAATACGGGCAAACCCAGTACAGTAAACTCCAGCATAGATGACGATTAACTATCAAATATTGAGTGGTACTGTGTCGACTGCTATGCAATGCAATGCGGTATCGTGCAATCCAGCATAGCACAAAGGGGCTTGGTATATGGTAGTGCAACTTACTACATTCAAACATAGCCTAGTCTAGCACCAACGCAATATAGGATAACCTTGGACGTTACAGTGCTGCATAGTCGCAATGGTGTAAAAACAAATGGCAACTATAGTATATCAGCGGCACACCTGTAGTCTGGTTTGGTGGAATAGACTATAGTACATAATTATTGGGAGCCCTATGATCCTGAGCTCTGCAGAATTAAGGTCAACAGGTTTGGAAATATGGAAAGCCCAATGGAATTCCACATCTCCACATGTGCAAAGCTCTGTGGCTTTGGACGCAGCACATGTGGAAAGGTGGAATTCCATTGAGGTTTCCGTTATGTGGCAGACAGACGCAATGCTGGGCCCCCTGGGTCCGAGACCCAACATTTGCAGAAACAAAAATTCTTGGACCCGCTCCGAGAGCCACGCGCCCCGATTTAAAGATTCGGCAAAACTTAAGTGTTTAAATCGGGGCCCCGGCTCCAAGATGGATCCAAAAAACATCTTTCTGCAATCTTGGATCTTGGATCCAGCCGGGGCCCCGACTTAAACACTTAAAAAACTTAAGTCGTTAAGTCGGGGCCCCGGCTGGATCCAAGATCCAAAATTGCAGAAAGAAGTTTCTTGGATCCATCTTGGATCTGGGAGGGCCCCGACTTAATGACTTAAAAAAATTAAGTCATTAAGTCAGGGTCCTGGCTGGATCCAAGATGGATCCAAGAAACTTTTTCCTGCAATCTTGGATCTTGGATCCGGGAGGGCCCTGACTTAATGACTTAATTTTTAAGTCATTAAGTCAGGGCCCCGGCTGGATCCAAGATCCAAGATTGCAGACAAAAGTTTCTTGGATCCATCTTGGATCCGGGCGGGGCCCGACTTAATGACTTAAAAAATTTAAGTCATTAAGTCAGGGCCCCGGCTGGATCCAAGATGGATCCAAGAAACTTTTTCCTGCAATCTTGGATCTTGGATCCGGGAGGGCCCCGACTTAATGACTTAAAAAAATTAAGTCATTAAGTCAGGGCCCCGGCTGGATCCAAGATCCAAGATTGCAGACAAAAGTTTCTTGGATCCATCTTGGATCCGGGCGGGGCCCGACTTAATGACTTAAAAAATTTAAGTCATTAAGTCAGGGCCCCGGCTGGATCCAAGATGGATCCAAGAAACTTTTTCCTGCAATCTTGGATCTTGGATCCAGCCGGTTCCCGGACTTAATGACTTAAAAAAATTAAGTCATTAAGTCAGGGCACCGGCTGGGAACACAACCGACAAGGAAGAAACAAGCGTCCACGGCGTCCCCTTCTGAAGGGGACGCCGTGGGAGAAACAAGCGTCCACGGCGTCCCCTTCAGAAGGGGACGCCGTGGACGCTTGTTTCTTCCTTGTCGGTTGTGTTCCCAGCCGGTGCCCTGACTTAATGACTTAATTTTTTTAAGTCATTAAGTCCGGGAACCGGCTGGATCCAAGATCCAAGATTGCAGGAAAAAGTTTCTTGGATCCATCTTGGATCCAGCCGGGGCCCTGACTTAATGACTTAAATTTTTTAAGTCATTAAGTCGGGCCCCGCCCGGATCCAAGATGGATCCAAGAAACTTTTGTCTGCAATCTTGGATCTTGGATCCAGCCGGGGCCCTGACTTAATGACTTAATTTTTTTAAGTCATTAAGTCGGGGCCCTCCCGGATCCAAGATCCAAGATTGCAGGAAAAAGTTTCTTGGATCCATCTTGGATCCAGCCGGGGCCCTGACTTAATGACTTAAATTTTTTAAGTCATTAAGTCGGGCCCCGCCCGGATCCAAGATGGATCCAAGAAACTTTTGTCTGCAATCTTGGATCTTGGATCCAGCCGGGGCCCTGACTTAATGACTTAATTTTTTTAAGTCATTAAGTCGGGGCCCTCCCGGATCCAAGATCCAAGATTGCAGGAAAAAGTTTCTTGGATCCATCTTGGATCCAGCCAGGACCCTGACTTAATGACTTAATTTTTTTAAGTCATTAAGTCGGGGCCCTCCCAGATCCAAGATGGATCCAAGAAACTTTTTTCTGCAATTTTGGATCTTGGATCCAGCCGGGGCCCCGACTTAACGACTTAAGTTTTTTAAGTGTTTAAGTCGGGGCCCCGGCTGGATCCAAGATCCAAGATTGCAGAAAGATGTTTTTTGGATCCATCTTGGAGCCGGGGCCCCGATTTAAACACTTAAGTTTTGCCGAATCTTTAAATCGGGGCGCGTGGCTCTCGGAGCGGGTCCAAGAATTTTTGTTTCTGCAAATGTTGGGTCTCGGACCCAGGGGGCCCAGCATTGCGTCTGTCTGCCACATAACGGAAACCTCAATGGAATTCCACCTTTCCACATGTGCTGCGTCCAAAGCCACAGAGCTTTGCACATGTGGAGATGTGGAATTCCATTGGGCTTTCCATATTTCCAAACCTGTTGACCTTAATTCTGCAGAGCTCAGGATCATAGGGCTCCCAATAATTATGTACTATAGTCTATTCCACCAAACCAGACTACAGGTGTGCCGCTGATATACTATAGTAGCCATTTGTTTTTACACCATTGCGACTATGCAGCACTGTAACGTCCAAGGTTATCCTATATTGCGTTGGTGCTAGACTAGGCTATGTTTGAATGTAGTAAGTTGCACTACCATATACCAAGCCCCTTTGTGCTATGCTGGATTGCACGATACCGCATTGCATTGCATAGCAGTCGACACAGTACCACTCAATATTTGATAGTTAATCGTCATCTATGCTGGAGTTTACTGTACTGGGTTTGCCCGTATTGAAAGGTACTACATTGCACTTTGCTATACTAGACTGCATTACACCATACTAGATTTTGGCGTCAATGCTTATCTTTAATACATTGTACTATGCTACGTTCTAATAGCCTAAATTGAAACATTGTATATCATATCATATGCATAGCCGATACAAGCAATTGAAGGCCCTTCGATTAGTCCAGTGAAAGAAGATTAGCCTAATGGGAAGTCGAACTCGTGATTTTATTCAGTTTACTCATCGTATACGTTGACATAACACATTCACTACCAAAGAACGCACAGCCTCAATTCGTACTTGCGATATACCCCGCCATTTTGACACCGAGAGTACTGATCGCAAATACCCTGTGGTGTCGACCCCGAGCCTTGTAAGTGGATATGTGGTGTGCATGGTACCACATTCTTCGGTTCATGCACGCAAATCGCTCTTTCTATGACCTATGCTCGTGCTTTATTTAGTGAACTAGAACTGACGGCAGAATAGTACACTAGGCTCCTGACTATAATTCGCTATACTATGCTAGCGCACTATACCTTGCTATATCATGCTATGCTCTACTATACCCTCCTAAAATAGTAAACATAGTAAACAGGGCCATGCAACAGTGTATTTTCCTACACCATTCTGCGGTAGTGCTATACTAGACTATCGTATCCCATATAGTGTATGCTATACCACACTGCAATATAGCGTCAACACTACAATATGCTATCGTGCACTTTACTGCCAATGTCATATCACAACATATTGTAATACACTAGACTAGAACATTAGGTAGGCTCAATACGCTTCTGTTGGGAGCATGTTATAAACCTGTGCGGTTAGGGGTTCCGGCAGTGTGCGTCTGGTGTGCGCGGTGTGTGCGTGCAGTCTTGTTTAAGTGTGCGTGCGGTGCGCGCGGTGTGTGCGTACAGTGCGCGCGGTGTGTGCGTACAGTGCGCGCGGCGTGTGCGCGCGGCGTGTGCGTACAGTGCGCGCGGTGTGTGCGTACAGTGCGTGCGTACAGTGCGCGCGGCGTGTGCGTACAGTGCGCGCGGTGTGTGCGTACAGTGCGCGCGGTGTGTGCGTACAGCGCGCGCGGTGTGTGGGTACAGTGCGCGCGGTGAGTGCGCACGCACCGCGCGCACTGTACGCGCGCACCGCGCACACTGCGCGCACACACCGCGCGAAAAAAAAAAACACAACCAATTTTGAAAAAAACACAACCAATTTTGAAGAAACACAACCAATATTGAAAAAAAACACAACCAATATTGAAAAAAACACAACCAATTTTCAAAATGCGTACGCTGTGCGGTGGGTGCGCGCGGTGTGCGTGTACAGTGCGCGCGGTGCGCGTCCGTACAGTGCCCGCGGTGCGCGCGTACAGTGCACGCGGTGCGCGCGTACAGTGCGCGCGGTGCGTACGCACACACCGCGCGCACTGTATACGCACACACCGCGCGCACTGTATACGCACACACCGCGCGCACTGTATACGCACACACCGCGCGCACTGTACGGACACACTGCGCGCACGCACTGTACGCATACACCGCGCGCACTGTACGCACACACCGCTTGCACTGTACGCACCCACCGCCCAAACTGTACACAAACACCGCGCGCACTGTACGCACACATCTCTCTTCTTGCGCATATGCACCGCTCGGCAGACTGCACCCATATATTTCCCCCTGCGTCAATGGTTTCCATAAACCCTATTCCAGAAGCGTATTAAACTTATCTAACTAGAACATAAGGCTGATCTCTGTCTTCTACCTTCGACCTACAGTATTCATATTCAACAGGTTCGTATGATATCAGACTACCATAATCTGTATCTATAGCACAGTATACAGCTGTTCTGTATCATGCTATACTACACATACATGATGAACTAGACTGTATGTCGCAATACTGCACTACCATATTACGGGGCACCATGCCATATTATATCTTACGCTCCAGTATACGGGCACCATGCCATACTATATCTTACGCTCTACTATACTATACCCTACTTTTGTACGCACATGCGAAAAATACCACAATGCCACGCCTGGTGCCTCATAAGTTATATTAAAGCCCGGCCGGATCCTGGTCAGAGGTTTTTGGGTAAGCTTAGCTTAACATTGGTTCATGAGAAGCTTCATGAGGAGCAAGCAGGCCATAAGATAGAATCTACCGGGAAGACATCGTAATTCGCGCTGTTTCATATGGCGTCTATCTATAAAGAGCCTTGGACCAAGGTAATATACGGATAGGAAACTACATGAAGGTGGGTCTTCGAAGGGGTGACCATGGCTGCTTCTGGATGGGTGTTGCTCATTTTATGTTTTCGACTGCTTGAATTTGTGATCCGGTTTTTCACAAACAAGCGTCCACAGCGTCCTCCTCCCTTCATGTTAGGGTTTTGATTTTGGTTTTCAGTCAGGGTTTAGGTTTAGGGCTGTAGGGTTTTAGGGTTTAGGGTTTCATGTTAGGGTTTGAAATTCTTGGTTTTTAGTCAGGGTTTAGGTTTAGGGCTTTAGGGCTCTAGTCTTTTAGGGTTTCAGGGTTGCATGTTAGGGTTTAGGACTTAAGGCTTTTAGGGTTTTGGGGCTTTGAGGTTCAGGGCTTAGATTTGTTTTTTAAGTGTTTGGGGTTGTGGGGTTTCGGTGTTTTAGGGCATCCAGGATGTTAAGGTCTAAGGGTTGGGATTGTAGGGCTTCAAGGCGTTTAGTTTAGGATTGACGGTTTAGGGGTTAACAAAACTTCAATCGGGCAGGAGTACGTCGGGTGCTGCGGTGTAGGAGTTACGAGTAGTGAATTCGGGAAGGAGTATGCAGGGGTCTATGGAGGATATGAGAATTCAGGGCTCAGAGAAGGTGCTCCAAAACTTGGTTTTGTAGGTTTTCGGAGGCATAAGATCTTAACAAAATTGAAGAGCTGAGGGAAAGATACCGTCATAACGAGACCATCTACCCTCTTAGGACCCTATACCTATAAGTTATAAAACGCCATTAAGTTGCGTGGGTGGTTGTCAGAATTAGTGCTGTTGTTTGGGGGTACCCTAAATATAGGGTGCCGTATTATATTAAGGACCCAAAAAGGGACCCTCATTCTGACAACCACCCACGTGTTCTTTGTGTGTTTTTGACACATGGGCCCAGTCACCTGGGTTCCGGCCAGGCTATGCAGCTGCCACTTGGATCGAGCGGCCACCAACTCGTTCCTTCGGTGCGGCTTTTCTTTTGGGGGGAGGGCTTTGGGTTCAGGGTTTCGGGGTTGTGTAGCGGGGTTTAGGGGTTTTTGGGGGGAGGGCTTTGGGTTTAGGGTTTAGGCTATTAGGGGTTGGGTAGCGGGGTTTAGGGTTTAGGGGCTTTAGGGTGTCTAGGGATTCGTAATCATAAGGGCTTCCGAGAAAAATCCCGAAAGGTATCTGCTGGAGGTTTGGGATTCGGGGTTTCGAGATGTATTCAGAGTTTGTGGCTTACCTGTCGGATGCTCGAACTTTCCGTGGCTAAGGTCGCCGCGAGCTTTGCGACGCAGCATCGGCTCTCGCGAAGACAAGGCTTCACAAGCCCTGACAATAAGCCTGGTAGTCAAAACGAACACAGCTGTCATCGTCATCATCCTCACCATCCTGAATCATAATCAACATGATTTCTGGCGGCCGGCGCTGAACCCTGCTGATGATAAACTATAAGCCGTATACCCTAAACCTAGTATTCCCACCCCCCACCCTGAGCCTTCAGCCCTAAACCCGCAACCCGTATAACCCTGAACCCTGAACACATACAACCCGAAAATCCTGTATACTCACTTGGGAGTTTCCGAAAATAGGGGACCCTAATGTAGGACCCCAAAGAGTATTCTCCTTAGGAAAAGGACCCCAACATAAGGGACCCCTAATTCTCGGAAACTCCCATATCGACTCTTATTGTAGCCCTTATAGTAACCCTTATAGTACCCTTATAGTGACCCTTTAAGGATCCCTTTAAAGGTACCCCCTACTTTTCGGATACTTCAATCAAAGGCACTGCGAGAGGTTCTTGAATCGAGGTCCGAAGGAGCTGCCTCCGGGGAGCACTGGTGCACCTAAGCCACTTCTCTGGGTCTTTGGGGCCTGTGGGGTTCAGGGTTTAGAGTTTATGGGGTTAGCTGAGCTGAGGGGCCTGTAAACAGCTTTTGTCTTGGTTAAAACACAGTTTACAGCCCCCTCAACTTAACTAATTTATGGGGTTTAGAGTTTCGGGGTTTAAGTTTGGGGTTTTGGGGTCTTTGGGGTTTAGGGTTTGACTGTAAGGCCACTATAAGGTTCTGAAAGACAGGTTTCTGGTGTTTTCTAGGAAGCTTTTACAAGCAAGCAGTTTGAAAGGCTTAGAAAATCTTAAACCCTAAATACACCCTAAACCCAAACTAAACCCTAAACCTTAAATGAATCCTATACCCGAACTAACCCTCAACCCCTGAGAGGCTGGGGGAGACAGGGGTTCAGGGGTGTGCCTTGACCGGCCTGCGGATCTCCGGTCTTTGGGAAGTCAGGGAGCTTCTACTTCTACTTCTAGTACCAGTACACTACTACTACTACTACTACTACTACTACTACTACTACTACTACTACTACTACTACTACTACTACTACTACTGCTACTGCGCGGAGCTCAGGGAGCTGAACAGTGGTTTTCAAAGGTGGGATGAAGGCAGGTGGGGTAATCCGAAAAGAAGAGTCGTTACAGGAGTGGTTGTCAAAAGTAGGGTCCCAACCACCCATATGGGGATCCTTAATCCTACCTACCTTCATCCCACCTTTTGAAGCCTCCGAGCTGATGGCTTTGAGGCTTGGGGCGTGGCGGGTTGTAAGGAGCTTTGGGGCGTTGGGTTGAGGGCTTCAGGGTTTCAGGCTTTGGGGTGTCGGGTCTATGGTTTTAGGGTTGGGGGTGTCGGGCTTTAGGGTTGTAGGACTTGGGGTACAGGGTTTAGTGTTGTAGAGTTTCAGGGTTTTAAGGTTTTTGGGGTTCAGGGTTTAGCTTCGAGCTTTCCCTTTAAAAACTCTGGAAGAAAGGCATCCACGGCTTCTTCGCGAATCTGCCCAACCCACCAAAGTCCTAACTCCCTGAGCCCTGAAGCCAAAAGTTTCTTTGTGCCTAAAACCTGGGAAAGCCCAAGCATGCCGAAGCCCTCCCGCCACCCGCCTTCCTCGTCCGCAGCAGCGGCGGCGCTCAGAGCGCCCAGGACCTCCTCCGAAGCAGAGACCGCGGCGGGAGCACCGGGAGGCAGCTCCTTCTGCCGGCGCTGGGCGCCTGGGGCAGTTTCAGGGGTTCAGGGTTTAGGGTTTAAGGGTTTAGGGTTTAGGATTTAGGGTTTAGGGTTTAAGGGTTTAAGGGTTTAGGGCTTAAGGGCTTAAGGGTTTAAGGGTTTAGGGTTTTAGGGTTTAGGGTTTTAGGGCTTAGTCAGGTTAGGTTTCAGAGCTTTGGGTTTAGGGCTCAGGCCTAAGAGTCTGCTTCGAATGGATTTCTCAGTTGAGTCATGGGTTAGAAGCTGCCCCCACCCTGTAATAGTGACTATAAGGATTATATTAGGGCCCTATTGTACTCCTATTATACCACTATTACATAATGTACTCTGATAGACTATCATAGTAGACTCTAATATACCATGATATCTTGGGACTCTTGGTTATACTTCTTCAACCCCCTGTATCAAATTCTTATTGGGCCCAGCCTTTCCGCTTGCTCTTGGGAACACACTCATCGTCGTCGTCGTTCTCGTCCTCCTCGTCAAAATCCAAGGAAACCCAAACCCAAACCCTAAATCCTAAATCCTAAAATCCTAAAACCGAAACCCTAAACCCCTTAACCCTAAACCCCTAAACTCTAAACCCCAAAACCCCAAACCCTAAATCCTAAAACCGATCGTTCTCGTCCTCCTCGTCGCTCTCCGAGGCCTCGGAGTCCACAAACTCCTCGCCCAAGCTCGCAGCTGCCTTTGCTCGGGCTTCCTTGGACACCTCCGGGCTTCTGAATTGTAGGCGCTCCTTTAAAGGGATCGATAAGGGTACCTTTAAGGGGCTCCTTTGAGGGATCTATAGGGTTTTAGGGTTTTTGGGTTTAGGGTGATAGTATACATCCTGCATTACCTTAATGGCCCTAAGCTATGGGAATTATGGTAAATTCTTTACTATGCGCAATGCAGGATTTGCATCATCAACCGTAGGGGCTCCTTCGTTTGCGGGGTCCTGGTACTAGGGATCCTAGTCTATAGTCAGGGTGCCGCACCTAGCCCTTTTTGGTTGAAAGTCCCACCTCGATTTCTTCCAAAGACCCCTCCAGGGAGTATCGGCGGGATCGCTTCTTCGGCAACTCTGGCTCTGGGTTCTCAGCAGAGGCAGCAAGGGCAGGCGACGTGATCTTATCCAGGGCTGCGGCCAGATCGCCAGCACGCTTTCCGAACTCGACGGTCTGCAAGGGGCCGGCACCGAGAGCACCGGCACCGGCGAAAACTGGAGGCAGATCCTTCAGAGGAAGTCGTGACAACTTCTTGGGCAGCGCTTTGGCGGCGCCCCCTCGGCCCCGACCGCGGATTCCAAGGCGGCCGTCGCGGCCTCTGCCCCGGGCTCGGTTGCGAAGTTGCTGCAGCGCTGACAGCTTCGGAGCTCGCTTCGGTTCCGGCAGCGGTTGTGGGGAGACGGGGATCAAAGGCGGCATCTCCGGATCCGTCGCAGAGTCATCGTCCCCCGCGTCGCCGGCCGCCATTTCGGCGCGTCGGAAGCTGCCAAGAAAGGCTTACACACTACAGAGACTGATAGGGGCCTTAATAAGTAGAATAGGGTTTTGGGGCCCATTATACTATAGTTATAATCAGCAACCCCCAAAATAGTATAGGTAATTATTTAGGCCCCCATATTAGCTGCTTAGCTGCTACCAGCTTCCTAAGTGAACTTACCAGGATACCCTCAAACCTAAATAAAGTATTGCACCTAAAACCTCGAACCCTAAAGCCTTGACCCTCAACTCTACTTTTGAAAGCTTGCCGGAGTCCTGCTCCTCCTCTAGACGTTTCTGATGTTTCAAGGAGACTTGCAGTAGGCGCTGAAATGCGTCTCGGTAGTCATGCATCATGTCCTGTCCGCGCACCACTCTGCTGCCACAACCCTGAAGCCTCAACCTGAGAATCCTATAGATTCCTACCTAAAGCAGAAGCAGGAAAGTTGGAACATCATAGTCCTTATGGCCTTAAGGTGAAGCATTGGGGTTCTCAGCACTGATCAGCCTAAGTCCATGTTCCAACTGTCTGAGGTTCAGTATAGAACCTTTATATACCCTACGTTCACGAGCGGCCATGTAGGGAGCAGGCATATACCATAGAGATCACTGCGGCTGCAGTCCCAAATGCCTTCCAGGGGATAGAGATGAAGCCTCTAGGGTGCGGAGCTTGGGGTTTTTACTTTAGGATTTGAAGGTTTGGGTTTAGGACCTGTGGTTATTAGAACTTGGCTACTCTTCTCAAGTATTTAAAAGTTTAGGGTTAAGGGCTTGGGTGTCTGGGGTTTCGGATGTGCTTGTCTTTGACTGCTCGTTCGCACCTTTACTCCGCTGTGCGAGCACCAGGGTTTCGAGCAAAAGACTTGAGATTTAGGATTTGAAGTAGGGTTGACAGCGGCACTGCCCGCCTGAGGACCCATGTCGTGTTCCACCAGCTTCGACATCTTCGTGCAAATCTGGCAGGCAATCGGTTGGAGGATCAAGGGACTTCGTAACTTGTCTACAGTCTACAAGCAGAAGATGCTGAAGTACGCGGACAAGCACTCCAACCCAATCTAGCAACACCATAACCTAAACCCCAAACCCTAAGTCCTGAACCCTGAACAATAAGAAGCTGCTTCCGAAGTGTCCGTGGGGCTTCTTGGCTTTCGATGCCTGCGTCAGTACCACAAAGAAGGTGCCGGTGAACTCGGCGGCCAAGGGAGCACTCTCCAGGATGTTGTCCTCAGGGTTTAGGCTTTGGGAGATCCCATGGTGAAGGTTGTATGTGAGGGTCCCTTCCCGTACTCTTTGAAAACCCCGCACTCATGTGCTAGATGTCTAATGACAATGGTAAAGGTAGTGCAACTGCAACAAGAAAACAGAGCACCGCTGATGGTGGTAGTAGTAGTCGACGGAGCTGTAGCAGCGGCAGTGGCCTCGGCAGTAGCACCAGCAGTCTTCGGCGTCGTCGTAGTTGCAGTAGTAGAAGTAGTAGAAGTAGTAGAAGTAGTAGAAGCAGTAGAAGTAGTGGTAGTAGTAGTTGTTGTTGTAGTAGTAGTAGTAGCAGTAGCAGTAGCAGTAGTAACAGGAGTACCAGTAGTAGCACCAGCAGCAGCAGCAGTGTTGGCACTCATTAGCAACGACAATCAACTCAAGGAGTCCTAAGTGACTCGACATGCGACTGCAAGGCGTCCTCGATGGTCGATGAGCCGCTGAGGAACTCCTCGGTGCATCATGGCATAGTCATAGTCTGGTCCATTATGCAAATAATCTCTTCTAGTATAACTTAACCCTAAACCCAGGGACCCACCCCAACCCCCAACCCTAGACCCTTGAAACCCCAAACCCGAGACTCCGAAACCCCAAAAGCCTAAACCCTACATAAGGCTTCGAGATGCCACGTAACTTGACAACTTCGATTCGAAACAAACCTTTCGCCAGGACCGAAGCAGCTCGACCCTTGATAGCACTGCCAACAAGATTAAATCATAGGGACCCTTAAGCTGGGTAAGGGGACTTCCTTAAATAGGCCTCATTAAATCCTTATGATGGGCATTAAGGCCCCCTACCCCCCCTAAGGTTCCCTAAGACTAAATGCCAGCAATGTGACAGTGCATCCAGAATCATCTAAATAATTAACACCAGAACTTCACCTAGAGAACCCAAAAGCCCTGAATCACTGGTTACACCACATATAAGCGTCCAACAAAAGCAATAACCTAGTAATAACCATGCAGAGAGGATCTCCCTAGGCTGGTGCGTTTAAGGACCCTGAAAGGAACACTCATAAAGACCTTTGTAAGAAACAAAAAAACTCATAGAAAACCCCTAAAAAACCGCAAAACCCAAAGCCCGAAGGCCTCGACCCCAAAGCACAAGCCAAAAAAGCCCAAACCCCTAAACCCTGAAGCTTAAGGCCTGAGCCTCAAAGCCTGAAGCCTAAACATGCCTAAAACCTACTTGGAGAACCATCGGACTTAGTAAGTAAGGTTATAAGTACTTCTACTGGGGTCATCAGAAACTACAAGTAGAGCTACCGCAGTTATAACCTTGCTTGTTTGAGTCCCCTGATCCTCCAAGTAGACCCCAAACAATAAACCCTACAGATCCCTTCAAGGAACCAATTATGATCCCTTCGAGGGCTAGCCCTTTAAGTGCAGACCCCTAAACCCTGTAGATCCCTTTAAGGAACCCTATAGATCCCTTCGAGGAGCCCTTTACGTGTACACCCCTCGCAGGCTCCAAGAGCCCGGCATGGGGTCGCACGACGCGGTAGGCGCCAGCTGCCAGGAATGCACCCAGCCTTAAGCTTCCAAGTCTAACCTTTTTTTTTTTAAAGTGTAGTGGCTCTTTCTTCTAATCGGTTTAGGGTTTAGGGTTTACTTAAAGGATCATGGGACTTAGTAACTGGGGTTATTAATAAGGTAACTAAAAGGTAACTATATGTATCACTACTTAAAACCCAGGTAAGGTACTTGTAACCTTACTTACTAAGTCCCATGATCCTCCAAGTAGGACTCCTTGAACCCTAAACCCTATAGTCCCTATAGATCCCTATAAGGACCCCCATAGATCCCTTTAAGGAGCCCTTTAAGGAACCCTTACTAAGTCCCATGATCCTCCAAGTAGGACTCCTGGAACCCAGAAGGCCCAATACCCCTTAGTTAAGGAATATGGCTCAAATTCTGAGGGGCCTCATGTTATGGTTTAAGCTATGTTCCTTAATTAAGGGGGCATTGGGCTCTCTGGGAAGGGATCTACAAGGGTTCCGGGTTCAGGGTTCAGGGGGGATCTTTAAGGGTTCTATAGAGAGGTTCTCTTTTTTTTATGGGATCTGAATACTTGGAGGCCCTTTTGACTTAGTAGGTCTGCTTAGTATCCCCTAGAAACCCTATTATAATCCCCATAACCCACCTTACTAACCCTACTTACTAAGTCAAAAGGGCCTCCAAGTAGGTTCTATACAGGATTTCAATTGCGCTGCGAGGGTACTACAGGAGATCTGTAAGGTTTCCGGGTTTTAGGGCTTCAGCGCTTGAGACTCGTAGGGCTTTTCGGATCTTAAGGCTCTAGGGCTTTTGGGTTCGGGTTGAGGGTTTAGGGTTTTGGGAAGGATTGAGGGTTTAGTGCTTAGGTTTGGGGCTTAAGAGCCTACACACTTAACCCCGGGATTTCGTACGGATTTAGGGGTGTAGTCTTTAGGGCAGCTTGCGCGTCGGCTCAGCATCCAGCAAGTCGTAGAAGAAGTAGCCCACGCCTGCGAACGGCGACTCTCAAAATCCAAGAAGTTACAACCTCCCAAATCCTTCGAAGAATGTTCTTGCAATGATATACTTACCGTCGGGATCCTCGCTCACATCAGGAATCCTCCTAACTAGGCTATGCTGGAGTTCTCGGATCAGGGTCTTCTTTCCTCCTTTCTGCCGGGCCTTGACCAAAAGATACGGAGTCACTCTGCCCCCACACGATCAGCGCGATCGAGATGGCTGAGTTGGTAACCTCGGTCGCTTCACGGGAGGCCCCGAGGCCTTTGGAAAAGCTCAGGGTTAGGGCTTACCGGAGCGTTTCCAAGCCCCAAATCAAGTTTGCAATTTTTGGGTGCCTTGGATTCACGGGTCAGGGTGTTGGGGCTTAGGGCTTTGTTTTGAACACCTTGTTTCCGTGAGTCCACCGGGGCTTAGGGCTTGGGATTCACTGGGGCTTAGGGCTCGACGCATGCTGGGGCCGGCACTGTCTTGCAGACTCCGGTTGCAGCATTGTGGCTGGCCAGGTAACCTCGTTTCTTTTTTTAATGGTAGCCTCGTTTCAATTTTTTTATAGTAACCTCGTTGCGGGCTTGAGGGCTTCGGGGGTTTGGGATTTCGGGGGTTTAGGATTTAGGGCCAGGTGCAGCAAAACGATCTCCAACGTCAGGAACATGGCAGGGCTGGCTAAAACCCTACCTCCCTTTTCAGGACGTCAGAATCCCTAAACAGGTTGGACCTTCCCAAAGGCTGAAAGCTGCAGCGAAAGCCTCTTTTCCGTTGCATGCCAAGCTGCACAAACCGTAGGCCAAACCAACGAATCCTGCATCTCGCAATTCACAGGATTCAGGGTTTAGGGGTTTGGGGTTTGGGGGTTTGGGGTTTAGGGGTTGAGGGGTATAGGCTATAGGATTCAGGGTTTAGGGGTTTAGGGTTTAGAACTAGGAGTGTAGGGTTTAGAATCGGTTGATGGAGCTGCATCTCCACCGCAAGCTCTCAGCCGCTTAGGCTCCCGCCATTCTGATCACCCTTTGGGTTGTTCTTCTTGGACGCTGCACAGTTGAGATAAACGATGCCTCAGGGAAGGACTCTGGAACGCGCATTGAAGAGGTGCACTCGAAGGCCACGACTGGGCAAAGGGCACATCATGGTGGCGTAGAGGGTTTCCAGCAAAGCCACCTAGAGGTTCAGAGTTGAGGGTACCAGAGCCGCAAGAGCAACCCTACACCCCAAAATCCGTAAACCCTCAACACCCCTAGCAAAAACTTAGCTCAGTTGCCTGGAACCAGTTGTGCCCCAGAATCGGTCCAAGTGTGATGTCTTTGGCGATACCAGCCTGCAGAGCTCTTTAGGGTCTAAAGGGAACTCCAGAAAGTTGGAAGATGGATTAATGGTAGGATCCCCTATAATTTACCTTAAACTCTCTTCTTCAACAACCGGACCCCGAAAAGTTCAAACTTTCTAAGATAGAGCTAATATATAAGGCGAAAAAGTTTAAAGTTCCCCCGTTCACTATCTAAGTAAAGGGATTACGATAATGACATTCCAACTTCCTGGCTTCTACTGTAGGGTGTAGGGCTTTAGGGCTCAGGGCTTTAGGATGTTTCAGGGCTTCAGGGTTTTCGGGTCTTAAGGTTTTAGGGTTTTAGGGTTTAGGGTTTTAGGGGTTTTGGGTTTAGGGTTTTAGGGTTTTAGGGGTCTTAGGGCTCAGGACTGTCGGTTTTAAGGTTTTAGGCTTTTGCGCAGAAAAGCCCTAGAAACCGTGCAAGTTACCCGCCTTGGTGCACATCGCAACGGCGGTGATAGCTCCAAGGATCTGGGCCTTCACATGCATTTCCACTCGACACTGCCATGCTAGCAATGACCCATTCCTTCGTAGTCGTCTTCGTCGATTCCGCACACCCTAAACCCACTCCCCCCTAAACCCCAAACCCTAAACCCCTAAAATTATACTACCCTTATAGATATCCCTTATAGAACCCGTTTTAAGGGTCCCTTTAAAGGAACCCTATTCTAGCTAAACCCGAATCTGTTCTGCACCCATGACCCTTAATCCTAGAGAGCGGTCGACTGTGGGGCCTGGGTTTGGTTTCAGTGCTTTTTATCGGGTTTCAACGTTAATGGCTCCAAAGCAGGAGCTTGTGTTTTGTGTCGCGTAAAGCACATACCACAAAGCAAGCATCACAAGTGTTTTTCGGAACAGCTTATTCGAGCTGTGCAAAATCGCTCTCCAACAGGCTCCACACCAGTGTGTAGGTCGAGCCTCTTAATCTGGGTTCTTGTGTAGCAGATCTTACAAGCAGAAAACGCTGTAAATATCGATGAATTCAAGACTCTCTAAAGAACGTCTTAAGGTAGGCTACATAAGCTCGACAGTTTCTCTATGCAGCTCTGATAATCGGGCCTTTAAGACTCTGGACTGTCTACCCAAAGCAAGCTTAGCCAACACCGCTGTTGGTAACAGTGTTTGAAACACCAATGTAGAGATTCAGCCTAATTAGCTGTCGAATTGCATTGGCATAGGGTTAACGAAATGTGGATGCACATAAGGGCCCTTGTTTTTGCGCGGTGAAGCAAAGTAAAGATGTGAGCGGGTTCAGCCTATGTACCTGTATAAAAGACTACCAAAGACAAACTGTAATCGATGAAGATCTGGCTGCTGTCCTAGACTGGAATCCTACTTGTGTTGATGCTTATCCGATTCTGGCTTCTTCCGATACCCTTGTTCATAAGGTACCCCGTACCCCTTCGAAATAGCCAGTATTTGGATCAAAATCATTTGGATTAGTGAAAAATGCTGCACTGGATACCGGGTCGGTTCCAAGCCATAACGGATCGTCCTCCTATAGTTCCTCAAACCGGTTTGGTCCAGGCCGTAGCACGCTCTCCATCCCTACACATAGCCTTACAAGAGATTTTGTATAGTTGAAATACTAAACACAAACATCTTGTGGTTTCACTCGATGAGCCTGGACGTATCAGCCGCACGCTGCTGCAGTGCGTTTATCTCTTTATACACAAAAGAGAAACACACGGGCCCGATTTCTGTTGCACCTAAACGACCCACATGTTTACAAACAAACAACCCGCAAGTTTATAACCAAGGCCCGGTATTTATAAACAACCCTTGAAAGTGTTCATAGAAGGACCAGCAGAAATCACCGCAAATACCAGTGTTTATTGATTTCAATTTATCCAACCAGGTCTTGGGATATCTCACATTAACTCCACACTTTCCTCCATTAAGAAAAAGTTTTGTGACCAGCACTTAAGACTTGAGGGTTGGCGTCAATTGGGAATGGCGGCGCGCGTCTCGGGCGGATGGTGGATTGGTCGGCGGTTGTACCTTGTGGTGAACGTGCTGGTGGTGAGGGGGGAGGGGGGGGTGGCAGGTGTTGGACGTTGGCCGCATCATACCAAGACCTCTGGCGCCCCCCCCCCCACCTCGAGCGAAGCGTTTGTTTATAAACAGCGCCTGTGTTTATAAACAGCGGCCGTGTTTATAAACACAGTAAAGGAAAACTAAAACAAGTTTAACAACCCAACACATCACGATAAGAATTCATGACAAGAATCCTTGACAAGGCGATACAGACATCAATCAATTCAACAAAAGATGCGTGAACAGAAGGTTAAGAGCAGCAAGTAAGCATCACGAGCCCGATCCAAAGGCCTACGTAACTTCAAAAACTCCTTATACACAAACGCAGGCCCCAGGATCGACCCTTCTGTAATCCTAAACCCTATACTAAACCCTATACCCTAAACCCTATACCCTACACCCTAAACCCTGAACGCCTTATAGTACCCTTTAAAGGAACCCCTAACAATCCTATAGATCCCTTTGATGAACCCAGAACCCAGGCCCCGGGCGATGCACAGGAACCCGGCGGTTCGTATCTTCTGCCGCCCTGCCAGGGCCAGAGCCAGGCTGACGGACCTTAAAGGGTCCAGGGTTTTTAGGGTTCCTTTAAAGGGATCCATAGGATTCCTAGGGGTTCCTTTAAGGGTTCCTTTAAAGGGTGCTATAAGGGCTCCTTTAAGGGATCTATAGGGTTCAGGGGTTTAGGGTTTATAGGGTTCCTTTAAAGGGATCTATAGGATTCCTAGGGGTTCCTTTAAAGGGTACTATAAGGGTACAAAGTTTAGGAGTTTCGGGTTTAGGGTTTAGGGTTTCAGGGTTTAGGGGTCTAGGGGTCTAGGGGTTAGGGTTTCAGGGTTTGGGGTTGCGGGTGTAGGGTTTAGGGTTTGAGGGTCTGGGGGTCTACAGGGCGTTTACAGGGGTTTATACGGGTTTATAGGGGTTATGAGAGTTTATGAGGGGTTATGAGGGTTTCTAGGGGTTTATAGAGGGTTATAGGGGTTTAGGGGGGGGTTGGGGGGTTTTAGGGTTCTGGGGTTTAGGGCTTTAGGGCTTTAGGGTTCAAGGATTAAGGTTGAGGGGTCAAGGGCTTTGAGTCATGGTTTTTTCGGGTCCCAGAGAGCCCAATACCCCTTAATTAAGGAATATGGCTTAAATCATAATATGAAGCCCTATATAATTCAAGCCATATTCCTTACTTGAGGGGTATTGGGCTCTCTGGGGTTCAGAGTTGAGGGTTTGGTTAGGGTTTTCAGGGAGCTTGGAGTCGAAAACGATTCATCTGCTTACAGTAAAAGCCAGAAAGTTGGAATTTGATTATCCTAAACCCTTTATGGCAAATCATAAGGTATCCTACCCTGAAACCATATTCCAACTTTCTGGAGTTCCCTTTAGGGGCTGAGGGCTTTGGGGTCTGAGTCTGAAGTTTTGGGGTGTGGGTTTTCGGGTTTAGCGTCGGCTTCCACTGCATTCAAGCCGGGATGCGGGTTCAGGCTGGATCCCGTCACGTGCTTCGTTGCTGATACCTCGCTCGCTCGGATGCTTTGCTTGACTGAAGGTGTAGATTCGGCACATCTCAGCATCGCGCCATGCCCACCACCATGAACGCCTGCAGCTCGAGCACTCGAACATATCGTCAATAACTCATCACAAGGGTGCAGAACAGTTCGTGACTTTTCTCCCTGGCAGCCAAGCCGCATGACAGATGGACCTGAAGGAAGGATCTATCCCATGGCCCACATCAACGTTGCACAGAAATGTGGCAGTCACGACCTGAGCTCTGTGAATCACAACAACAAGCATCACCACTTGAAGCCACAGCGCGGGATGAAGTGTGTGTTCCCAGAGAGCCCAATACCCCTTAAGTCAGGAATATGGCTTGATATATATAGGGCTTCATATTATGATTTAAGCCATATTCCTTAATCAAGGGGTATTGGGCTCTCTGGATTTTTGATGTCTGCGGCAAGCTTGAAACAATCGAAGCCGTAGGCGATGGCAGCCGGATCAAACTGAGACGTTGGCCAGTGTGCCCCAATACTCCTTGGATGGCAACCGTCAGGGCTTCATGGACGTAGTGTCCCACTACAGTAGAGAAGCCCAAAAGTTGGAAACCCAATAGCCTCCATCCTCAAGAGAGATGTAACGCACTGTCCGGTTTCCAACTTTTTTGGGGGTCTACTTGGAGGCCCTTTTGACTTAGTAAGTAGGCTTAGTAAGGTGGGTTATGGGGATTATAAGAGGGTTTCTAGGGGATACTAAGCAGACTTACTAAGTCAACAGGGCCTCCAAGTACTATAACACACTGCAGAAGAGCCTCGGCAATGTACGGAGTGAAACGCTCCCAGCGGGAGGCGAAAATCGAGTTTTCAGCCGCTTGCAGCTTTCCGATGGGCTCCGACGTCTCCTCCTCCGATGACCTGGGCATCCGACCTACGTGAGGGTTTCCGAAATCAGGGGACCCTCATATAGTACCGTAAATAGTAGGGTCCTGATTACAAGGATCCCAAAATAGGGTACCCCTAATTTCGGAAACTCCCATGTGATACATACACACACATATACATACATACATACATACATACATACATACATACATACATACATACATACATACATACATACACACACGTACATACACAGCTATGTGGTATTGCAATATCTTTTTTGTCTTATAGTAGAGTACTGTTGTCATACAGTGAAAACTTACTTACATTGTAATACCAGATTTATTTATACTGCTACAGTACGGTGTGTTGTATTGCATCGTACTATGTTATATTCTATTATGTTACGTTATCTCATAAGCAAACTAATTTAGCGTGCAATTTTACTATAACCAATGTGTATACATGCATACATGTGTGTATATATATATACATACATGTATACATGTGTATACATATATACATATATATATATATATGTGTGTATTTATATATACACTTTCTTATGTTGTTTCTGGTGTAAACCTATGTGTGTATGTATATATATACATATATATGTATACATATATATATATATATATGTCTGATATACACGTGTCCGCTATGTGTGGGTGTGTATATATATATATGGTATTTATATATATGTATATATATATATATATATATATATGCAAATATGCCACACGTTTGACCTTCCCAAGTTGAGGCTCCAGCAGGGGCTCACGCGACTTCATGTCGCGCCCCCCTCAGGGTTCGCTATGCAGATGATTATGTAGGGACGGCATGGTCCTCGCCATTCTCGAGCCCAAGAGGCAAGTGCCGTGATGCCCTTACGGTGTCGCAGGTTTGGGCCGGGGTGTAGGATTTATGGTTTACAACAGACCTAAGGTTCATATTTCACAGTTTGGGTCACAAGACTGCACTCGACATGTCTCGACACCGAGCTTGTCAACTACACAAAAACAGTGCAGACCTTTCACGCAAGTCGTTCCTGTGAAGTCAACAAGACATGTTGCGTCCTGGGTTCGGCACTGAATGTTGAACCAGAGCTGTATCTTATGTGCTAGCCTGATACCTCGTTCCTCTTCGAAAATAAGCGTAAAACCTTGACAAATCACACAGACTCCTGCCGTCCTACCAATCTGTCCACTCATCCCCTACAAGCGGTGCATTTCGACAGCGGAATGTGATAAAAGCACGTTCGGTGTAGCAGTTGGTGAAATGCTCTGTGCAAAATGCAGACGATCATACACTTCGGTTTACTAGGTCAAACAGTCTGGGGTTTAGGCTGTGCCATCATTTTGGACACTGCCACTGCCTCTGTCGTCTTGTGCTGACGCATCTTGCGCCAGTTGCATGAAGGCGGCATGCCATTCGTTAACTGCATGAAAGTTCACGGCAGTAGGGGTTTAGGGTTGCATAGTATTAGTTAGCATAAACACCCCCTGGCATCAGACCAGTCCGCGAACCTTCAAGATCCTTCCGGCACTTTGGCTCCCGGTCTTACTCAGGGAGCTGGGCACTTCGTTCTTCTCTGCCTGGCCCTGCCCTGGATGATCGCGTCTTCGGCACCAAGCAGATATGGAGACTGACTTCCTTGGCGCCTCCCTCTTCACGGACGAGAAGCTCACCGGACCAGTACTTGTGGGTCTACTTCTCCTGTCAAGCACACAAGATGCCCAACGATGCCCGACGATGGAGGTAACTCCACCCCTGTCAGAAGCCACCTGGCTTTTCTACATGCTCCAGCAGGTCCTGGACAGCATCTCCTGGCGGATCTGCATCTGCTTGCTCCTGCGCACACGGCCCTGTGCAACGACCACCCACTGGTCCCCTAAACCCCAAACCCTAAACCGTAAACCCTAGGCATGTCTTTGCACGTCCTCGTCACAGGAGTCTGCTGAATCTGCTTGCTCCTCCTACGCAAGGACATGGCTCTGATGTCTACACTTACGCGGTCTGCTTGTAAGCTAAAGTCCTGCTCCAGACAGTCGGGAACATCGGCACGCGCTTGCTCCTGTGGAAGTTGTACATTGTACTCGTCTCCGATGACCACCGCCATGCAAATCCATGTATGTCTTGCTTCGGTATCAGCACCCGCCTGCACATCCTGCTCGCCGCAGTCTGCCGGATCTGCGTGTGTTGGGTCCTGTGAAGCACTGCGAAGCCTCCCCAGAGGAATATTCGCTAAATCATAAGCTTCATCCATTTCATCCCTTGCAAATTGTAAGGCTTTTCAATTCCTTCGTCAAGGAGTATAGGGCTGTCTGGGAAATGTCTGTCCGCTTCCGTACGCGCCTGCAGGTTCTCTTCGCCGGAGTCTGCTGGCGCAGCACCTGCTTGCTCCTGTCCAGTCTGCATTGCACTTGACCAGAATCCCACCCTAAACGCTTAACCCTGGGGTTTAGGGTTCAGGGTCTCGGTGTGGTAATGCGGATGAGGGCTTATTTCTTCTTCTGCTACGAAATGTGCAGACAGGTCCTGTTCGGCACAGTCCGGTGGATCCGCACTTGTTTGCTCCTCCCGAAGTTGCACTTTGTTCCCATGACCACTGCTAGTTACATACGTATGTGTACGTATGTGTGGCCGCATACACACACACTCTCATATGTATGTATATATATATATATACACATCTAACATACATACATACACTTATACGTATGCATATACATATACATCCGCATCTACATCTGCATGGACATGTACATGTACGCGCCAACACATACACACACACAAAAGTAAAAGATGTGTACATATATGTGTGTCTGTGCAAAGACAGCCAGCCAGACAGACAGGCAGAACAATAAAATGTACGTTGTACGCATATTTCATACCGTTATGTGCCCAAATATGTGCATATATATATATATATATATATATATGTGTGTGTGTGTATATCTGATACATGAATATATATATATATATGCATAGATGTATATCCAGACATGTATGTGCGATTCATGGTATGTATGTATATGTATATGTATATGTATATGTATATGTATATGTGTATGTATATGTATGTGTATATGTATATGTAGATGTATGTGTATATGTATATGTATATACATACATGTGTGTACAAACATATACGCATATATGTTAGTATACACACACATACATATATATATATATATATATATATACATATGTACATATTTACATATTATACGATACAACTGATGCAACACAAGACAATAAAACAAACGAATACAACATAACATCACATACCACAGCATGTTACAATATAGTACGGAAAAAGTACTTTGTGACATAGTAAGATATAACAGAACATGACACAGTTTACTTTGACTTGTATTATTACAATGTGATGTGAAACAACATAAGACCAGTATGCTATGGTAAGAAACATCAGCTTACAACCTAACGTAATATAACATCATAAAACATAGCATGGTTTCATGTATAATACGATGCTGAAAACAATATGATACAATGTCATGTGAAACAATACCATGTGATACAACATGATATAGCATTGTACAACACGTTATGATAGAACCTACTTCTAATTTCACCTAACATAACCCAGTTCAATAGAGTATACCATACCTAATGTAATATAACATATCACATATGTATATAGAGAGAGAGATGTGTGTGTGTGTGTACATATACGTGTATATATATATATGTATATATATATACATATACATATACATATATATATATATATGTCTGTATGTATATGTGCTCAGCTTCTTTGTCTACGTATTTGTCTGTCTACTTCTTTGCTCATTCATCTGTACCTGTCTTTATGCATCGATGTGTCTAACTGTTATCTCACCTACTTATTTGTCTACGTACTTGCTTCTTTTATTCATTGTATCGGCCGGGCCTCCCGATCGGAGTCTGGAGCATCTGAACCGCTTGAAGCCGCTGGCTCCTTGGCGACCGCAACTCGGATCGGATCGAGGGCTTCACGCTTTACACTGGTGGGGTTTTTTTTGGGTGTAGGAGTTTCGTAGGGGTTTCGGGTTTAGGGATTACATGGTCAGGGTTTAGCGATGTCAGAGGCTTTTGATTTGAGCTCTTGAGCCCTCAACCCTCAACCCTCGCTCAGGATGTCCACAAGCATGCTTGGTTCCACCCTGAGCCCTAAACCCTAAGCCCTAAGCCTTAAAGCCCTAAACCCTAGGCCCTAAGCCTAAACTCCTATTTTCCTGAAGCGCTAGAGCCTAAACCGGCCAGCTCCTGCTGCTCGCGCGAGGTTGGCTGATCTGCATCCGCTGCCTCCTGAAAGGGTAGGGTTACATTACCTGGAGCCCCAAAGTATGCAGAATTATAGCCGTTTATAGGTGTTAGGCCATTATTTTACCTACTTTTGGGGGGTTAGGTAAGAGTTCGTATAGTTCCTCTACGGGTTACTTCACGGGCTGCTGTAAAGGCTAGTAACGGCTAGTAACGGCTAGTATAAGGGTCAAGATAAAAGATGCCAAAATGGGTTTCGGGTTTAGGGGGTTAGGGCTTAGGGTGAAAACAGCCGGGTAGCCCGAAAAACCAGCCTGAGGACAGGCACAGGCACTCAAAGGTTGGAGTTCAACCCTAAACCCTACACCCCAAACCCCTAAACCCCTAAACGCTAAACCTTCAAGGCAGGAAACCGACTGGTCCTCGTGCTGGCAACTGCCCTCCTGCTCGCCAGGGGCACCTTCACCTGAAGAACTAGAAGCCCTCAAAATGGGGTTCCTTTTAAAGGGGTTTACAAGGGTTACAACAAGGGCTCCTATAAAGGTTTAGTATAGGAAACCCCTTCAGCTGGCAGAGGCCTAGCAAAACTACAACTGGGATGGGGGCTGCAGCATACCACAACCTATAACGAAGCAACTCGGAAAAGGGCTAATGGCACTTATTCAGAAGATTATGTTGACCGTCACCAAAACTTGTTCGAGTTGCTAAGAACCCTCAACCCTAACAGCTACAGAAATCCCGTACAACCCCCTTGTAACACCTGTTCGACAACCTATATTGAGGCACCCAGACTCTATACCCTAACCCGAACCTAGGCCCTGAAACCTCAACCCGAAACCTTATACCCGAAACCCTAAAGTTAAGATGGCCCCTCGCCTTACAACTCTAGGAAAACCGCGGGCAATAAAAACGGAAAAGGAATGGAAAGATAATGGAACCAAAAATCAAAACAAGAGACAAGGACCGACCCAAGGAATGGAAAACAAAACGAATCCAAACATGCGAAAAATCAAAACAAAAAGAAATCAAAAGAAACCAAACAAAAACTGCCATGGCCATGGCATCAGGGGCGACAGGTTCAATCAAGGACCACCCTGGACAAGCATTCTCTAACCAGTGGTTTTGGGGGTTCCCTTGGCTCTTTAGCTCCTTATTTAATAGGGATTATCATGATCCCTGGCTCCTTAGCTCCCATGATATCAATGGTTAGTTAGACAAGCATTCTGAGGTTGTTTTTCCCATTCATTTCTATTGCGTGAGGATTTGACCTCCGCCCGAAGGGGCCTCAATCCTGGAGAAACAACAAATTCCCTGAAGCATTTGCAAAAAAATAAAAATAATTGGAGAAAATGGCAACAAACATAGAAACGGATTACACCAAAAATTAGAAAAAATGATGGATCGGGGCCGCACGGGCACTATGGGAACAAACAGATGCCAAGTGCACCCTCCAACCAAATCGGAAAGGCGTTGAAGTCAGAATGCAACGGGATTCCAACCCCGTCTTTTTCCAATGTTC